CGGAAATGAGCGCTGCTATGCGACAACGAGGCGGACCATAGACTGGAAAGAAGAGGTGGAGGAGGGAGGTGAAGTGAACTCACGGAGACGGAGCCGAAACGATGGGCATCAACCAACTAAGACTAGCAAAAGGTTTCTACATATAATAGAGCTGTGCCGAGACGCGGCTTCTGGAAGCCCGTAGGCAGTTGTCTAGTCCGCACATCCCATTTCAACGAGCACTTGGCCGAACTTCTACATTGAACAACTTGTAGCTTCCAAAAAAAGCTCGAAATGTTGCTGTTCACGAAAGCGTAAGTTGCATTTTAACAATTAGACACACAAACCAGATTGAAGAAGAAACGTTGCTAAAGTCACATTAGCAACCTCTTGGCGTGTTTGGCTCTGGTCCAGTTATGCTCTGCCACCGCGATTGATGTCACCGGTCTCAGCCCGCGCGGCGCCTACCGTGACGACTCTGGCAGTTCAGACTGTCTTCAGGTCGGCTGCGACACCTCGGTCTGCGCCAAAGATCCCGTCGACGCCCTCGCTGTTGCGTCGAAGGGAGTGAGCCTCATCTTGGGCCCCGACTGTGCTGGATGGGCTGAAGGCAGTCCTTCCGTGGTGCAGGGGGATAAGTCCTGCCCTGCGGGAACACAACTCTACCGTGGAGACTTGAGGGTCTGGCGTGCGTGGAACAATGTTGGCAAGAAGTTCACAACCACTTTCGTGGCGTGGGAGCAGTTCAAGTGTGCTACTTGCTGGGGCAGGAAGGATGTCACTTGCGTCAAGGGGCCAAAGCAGGTTCCGGATCCGAACACCGGCTTATGCGGACCATGGGCTCTTTAAACAAACGTCGGTCATCAATCGAAAAGGCGATATGGGAGGCTATCATACATGTAACGAAAATTGAGTGATTGGGTAGATATCTAACCTTAAAGACCTATGATATAACGCCCATTTGAGTCTTGCCATTACTAAGTAGTTCTATACTCCAGTCGTATCACCAAGTGACGTCCCCTAAGTCATAATAACTTGAAGACCTCTTCAGTGTACATGTCACTCAAGATCAAATGAGAAATGAAGGGCTGTTCCGAGAGAAATACTGAGTTTATTTCGTGAATACAGCCTGCTGAAATAAATTGAGCGCACTGAATACAAAGAGTTATCCAGAACCACAGCCTGATGTTCGCCTCAATTCCAAAGAACCCCGTAAGGTAAGGTAGCATGAGACTAAACACATCATCCGCGACCGAGTCGGGTATCAACCCTGACCGCACCATAGTGCTTCAAGAAGCGTCCCCAGATGGGAGGAGAGTACCATTGTCTGCCAGCCCTGGCTATGGGCCACAGGACACGGCTAGCACCATCCTCCCAACCAATGGGCCGCTCGCCGCCGTAGGCCTGCTTATATTCTGGAGCGGCACTCATGTAGCCTGGATCAACAGTGTTCATGGCCACGCCTAGCTTCCAAGCCGTGGGCGCCTCCGTCTCGGTAATCATGTTCAGTCCAGCCTTTGACCTATTGGTATGGACGTGCTTGCTATTCTTGGCGGAGCTGCGCTGAGTTGACTCGAAGATACCTTCTCTGGATGAGACGTTGATGATGTGGCCCCCTTTTCGCATCGAAGGCAACAGCTCCCGGATTAATATGAGAGGCACAAAGGTGTTGACGCTGTGTGCGGCGATGACATCTTCGTAAGGAATGTCTGAGAGTGACTGCACCCAAGATGATGGGGCTGGTTTCTCCGTGCCAGAAATTTGCAGCTCAGACATTGATCCAGAAAGAAACGTGTTCTGAGGGGCAGACGGCCCAGCAATGCGGCCAGGAATCTCCCCTGCCACACCATGAGGAAGGCTACCATCGCCACCTCGTACGCGAGGTGAGTAGTCATGGCGTACAACCACGCCTTTACCATCGTCAGGCGGATTGGCAAGCAGGAAACGCTCGTGTTCAATGGCGCGTTCCTCTTTCTCCATTGGATCTGTAAGGGTTTGGGCGGCATTGTTGATCAGATAATTCAGAGTCCAGCCTTCTTCCTGGAGAACTCTCTTAATACTCTGCACCAGGGAGAAAGCATCAGCTGCTGCTCGGAAGTCCGCACCAATGATTCTCAATCTCGGTGACCAGTCATCGAAATCAGCCTCCTGTCGGTACCGCGAGAGCGCATCTTCGGGGTAACGCGATGATACGATCACGGCCGCGCCGCAACGCAGCAGCCGCAGAGCCGTGTGAAAGCCGAGATTCACGCGCCCACCAGTAACAACAGCAGTCTTGCCCTTGAGTGAAATATTCTCCGGTAGCGACAAAGACCTTTCCGCGAGGTTGAACTCTCCACAAGGTATGCACATCGATCCCAGCTGCGGATGGGGGTTATCGAGAACCATGCGGCAGACGTAGCAAGTTCGTTTGCGACTGCCGCTTGGCATATGTCGGTGAATCCGGTCATGCGGACTATCATCGACAGCTATTTCAGGCATTTCTGAGACTTTCGTCTTGATAGTCTCAATCATTTGCTCGAATAGTAGCTGGCGCATGCCCGGATCAAGGATGGGCCAAAGTTTTAATGCGGCTCTTTTAGATTGGTCCGTAGAAGACGGAGGCATGTAAAGAGCGAGAAGGCTGGGAAGCTATGTTGCATCTTTTCCAGCCTTTTTCGACAGGTCGAAATCGTACCGTAATTGGTTTGCGACATCTTCAATTCGTGAGTTCGCAATGAAGTCTCGAAAGTCGGACCGTCCCAGAAGGACACTCGGAGGGTCCTTGACGGTTTCAGGACGACTGTCAATTTTCTCCTCGGGGGACTGATGCGCTGTTCTCTCTTTGATACTGGAAGCTAGGTCGGGCAATTGACTTTCCATCTGTTCAACCACACGCATAAAGGACTCTAGCCACTCCAACTCTGCCGGAGTACTGGGCATGGCATTTTTCAGCTCTTGAAGCTCCTGTCCCTTGGTTGAGCTCAAGCGCGGGAGGGTATATTCGAGTATGCGAATGCTTTGAATGCCGTCTCTCGTCTTTTGCAGGTCCAAATAGAACTCTAGCTCTTGATTAACAGCACCAAAAAGTTGGAGACACCAATCATATGGTACTAGTATCGGGTGTGCGTACCGGAACGACCATAGTGTACGTCCCGATCTTCGAGCGTACAGACGTAGTTGCCGAGGAACGTGGGCGATGTTCTGCCGTGGGGTCTGAGGGGCCAAGGGGGTCTTCAGGTATGCCGGGAATTGCTCATAAAGATCGGCCAGACGGTGAAGCTCTGATGCCTTTTCGTCATTAAGAAGTTCCTGTGCCTTGGAAAGACGTGGAATGATTTCGATGCAATCATCAGGTTTCCAACCTTTGGCGCGAAACCCCGCAACGGTCCTCGGATGTTGGGGGGTTGTTGAATGTTCGGGATTGGGCAGATACTGTATGATGGCGTAGAGCTTGGTGCCACGATCCCGAAACTTTTCCTTGTGAAGTATCATCCTGACAAAGGCGCGGACAAGGTCATCCTCAAGGGTAAAAGACAACTGCGGCCAGTCCGGAATAACAGAAGATGAAGCCTTGGCGTGCTGAGGCCTGAATTCGGAGTCCGGCTTCGTTGCCATAACAAGCTGCCCCTCTGACAACAAGGAGAGCCTGTTTAAAGCTACCCAAACTTTCGCCAATCGGCCTAGGTTTTGACTGCGTAGCACCGCCCATGCTTTGCTGTTGCTGAGAGCTGACTTGAGGACTATGCCGTGAGGTGAACTGTCGCCATACTGAGTTCCTAAGAGGTCGAGGATACGATGATATGGGAGATCGGCGAGGACAGGCTAAATGAGCTCGGTTGGGGTGACCGAGAGCTGTCGGGCGATTCGAACGATTCTTTGAGGGAGTAGGTCATCCATGTTTCAAGCCAAAACTCCAGTCATCAACTGGCGGTGGAGGATGTAGAACAGGGCTATCAAAGTACAGGCCGAGTCAAAGAGTTAAAGTCAAGGAAAAACGGCTCGTTAGCTTGGCCAAGCTTTGAGCGATGTTTTTTGACGGCCCTAAGAACCTAAACCTCAATATTCTTTACAGTTGATATATAATTTGGATTATTCCAAGCAGTGGGGATGTGGCAGCAGAAGTGACTCGACGATGAGGTGAGAAAGGTAGTAAGCCAAGACCGTCTCCAAGCTGACTTCCTTGGAGATAATCCGCATTGGGGAAATGCACGAACCCCTGGGATGACGCTGCTGACGGCTGCTGCCTAGTGCGGGGAGGACTAGCCTCCACAATACTATGAAATCGAAAGGCGGAAGTTGGAATAACAGGATGTTACAGATATCTACCAGCCTCTGTACAGGTCGGATGGGCCTAGATCAGCCATCCAAGGTGAGAGTGAATCGTCAACATGTCGAAAATTCAATCGGAAGGGCATGAGGGAGTCAAATTAAGCCTGTTTTGTGATGCCCTGTCGAATGCAATGGCCCGGTCAGATGACGCGGTAACACACTACTTACTTTTGCGATTCCTAGGTAAAGCAGTCAGGTACTGCATTTCAGCTTGTTATTTGGCCTACTTTCAAATGTTCTCATATGGCAAATCAAAAAGGCTTTCAAATATGATCTTCGGCATGCCTAAAGTCTTCTCGCATGGCCATTGCCTCCTCAATCTTCAACATTGATAGCTTGTTCCAAGTCTGATTATTTAGGGCAGAATTTCCTCAAAAAGGTAACTGGGGGCATGGGCATGAATAACTGATTTCTGAAAACGTGGACGACTGAAAGGTCCACCCAAGTAAGGTAGTGATAGAAGAGAACATGAAGTCTACCTCGATTCATTGCCGTGATCCGCTATGGTGGTGGTGGTTGTGTAGAAGCCCACAAGGAAATAAAAGAACAGCGTCTGCCTTATGATATGGCCAATCAAGTGGACGACACATGAAGAGATGTGCAAGTTGAAATATGGAGCCCCTACTGCGGAAGTCTTGCTTATCCCAGGTACTTACCAATTGCTGGAGATTCTACTGCCAGTCTTTCTTCTTGGACCGGTACAGTTGAGGTCGAGTCAAGCCAGCTGGCCATTTTCAAATTAAGGAACCCAGTATTAGTTACTAGCATAGTAGTATGCAATACAAGAGAAATATTAATCTGGCTTCCATTACGATGTCGTCAAACCTTTGCTCAAACTTTCCCACCTTCAGCACTGTTTCCACAGATGGACACTCCTTTCAGACCGTCTTGTGTTCGGCTAAAAGATTGACAAACTGATCTATCTTTCGTTTCCTCGTTTCTAGGCGTTTTGTCGTCTCGATCCGCCACAAGAATGCATAACGCTGCGTCTTATTCAAAGCATTAAAGAACTTGTTCGCTTCTTCGTTGCAGCGCAATGCCTCCGCAAAATCTGAAGGCACTTCCATCATGCTCGCAGAAGAGTAGGCTCGATCCCATCGCCCATCAGCCTTGGCGGCGTTAACCTCAGCCTGTCCAGCTGGCCTCACGCGTTCCGCTTGCGTCAAAGCCGCAACTTTCTCGACGTTTCTCTTTGACCAGAGACTGTTCTTCCGCCGTGGGGTGAATCTCTGGATAAAGTGCTGCTCGTCAAAGGCTTTGCGCTGTCCGTCGATCCAGCCGAAGCAGAGTGCTACATTGAGGGCTTGATCATACGTGACTGTCGGCTTTTCGGCGTTCTTCTTGGCTATCTTCAGCCAGACACCCAGGGAGCTTTGGTAGGAGCTCTCGAGGTAGCTCTCCCACTTAGATTGATCTTCGAAGAGCAGGGTTGGGATGGACTCCGATAATCTTGGTGAAGGAGTTTTATTGGTGGCTGATTGAGGCGAAGTTCTCGCTGCGTCCTTGATCTCGGCTTGGACACTTGCTCTGCTACGTCTCGACATGGTCATCGATGAGAAGTTTGGCCGGGGGATTGCCACGCTCGGCTTTAGACGCCAGCAAGAGGGGCACTGTGTGGCAGGCTGGTTCAAGAGTCGATTTCATGAGTCAATACAACAATTCAGGGGGCCCATGGTCTGGCAGAAGTTCGACGTTGGTGGAAAGAAGCCTTGATGTTGAGATTAGGCACCCGGGTACCCCAAAAGCCAGCCTCTTGGGTTCGAGCTAGTCCACTTGGGGATGGCGGCTGCAGGTACCTGACAGAATTCGGATTTGTACCGTTGCGCCATATACAAAAGAGAGATCCCTCTACTGCATTTAGGTAGTTGTGGGTACATATAGTTTCCGTCAGTACCCATCTCCGTTGTGGACGGAACTTTAACCATCGTCTTGGTGTTGATCTATATTCCCATATCCCAATCCCCGGTTTGATATGTTCCTAGATTCTGAATGGTTACATCAGAACGGATGACCATGAATGCGGTTAACACATATCTAGGCCTGCAATCAAAGAAATGTTGAGATCTACCAGCCACTTAATATTGCATGTGTGTCGTGGTGTTATCCCTGCGCAAATCTCGAAATATGCTTAAGCTCTTGAATCCAGTCAGTTTCCGTATATTGTGTAATCATCATGGTCAATGTCGGATACTGCACCCTCCGCAGCTCGTTGAGGTGTCGGGAGGGACGAGATGAACATAGTATCCTACTACGGCGCGGCTTCATTATTGACACTGTCAGTTGCCTCAGGCTTGTCGACATGTCCTAGACCGCCGGCTCATAACTGTCAATACTTATCTCCGAAATAACAAACTTTCCACACACTGGCCAAACGTCACGGGAAAGGAAGTATGATCACGATGTCAGTGGGATTACAAGACTACCGGGTCGAGAAGGCGTTCAGACCGGGAAGGTTCTCGCTGCTGACCCTATATATTCCCTTCTTTTTTTATCTTTTCTCCTACTTTCCTTTCAAACAGACATCCCCAAGCCCCAAACAACTTCCCACAGCTCCAAGCACTTATACCACCCCAACATACTCTACGCATTTTGACTGCATCGCTTCAACAACTTACCTTCACCCTCACCTGATAAACTTCTTCAATCACAAAGATTCTCTCAGACTCTCCAATCAGCAAGGATGAATTATACCACCGATTTATTGTTCGCCTCAGCGGCCAAATATGCCCGCACGGGACAGTCTCACAGCAACGACAACAATAAAGACAACGACACCTGCGTAAAGCAAACCATCGTTTATGGGACAGAGATACCCAGAAACATGACGATTACTAAGAGAGGTTTTATGGGGCTGCCGTTTCTGGCCTACATGACATCCGACTCGCCGACAGACGTGGCCAAGGCAGTCAGCGCTCGCGATGAGCTAGATTCCTGGGCTCATCGAATTCGTCAATATAAACCAGCCAAGAGCATGTTCGACTTGATTCGCAGCTGCTCTTCTTGGATTAACATGAGCCAACTCGACTCTTATCTGGAGGGCTTGACACAAGTTAAACTGGCACATGCCGTGCATGAAACACTTAGAAACGCCAACTTCGAGTGGTGGGCTACATCCTGTCGCTGCAAAGCCTACGAGGAAGATTCTGATGCCGACGATCTCCCGTTCTCACGCTCGCGTTGGCCGAGCCCCCCTCTTTGCACTACATTTACTACCAAGTTCGAATGGAACTCCGAGACAAAGATACTCTGTTGGTTTGATTTGAACGTAAACAAAACAATGGAGACCTCCTTCGACCAATTCATCGACGGCACAGAGATTTTCGAGTCCTTGGAGGACCGAGAAGCCCTCGATAAATGGATTGAACTCCGCAAGGAGTCCACCTTGAAACTCACTAAGAAGAGCCCCTCGAAACGCCTGGGAATAACCAGTTCCCGCCCTGCTAGAGTCCAGAAGCCCATCGAGGGTGCGGTCCGGCATACACCATCTGGAAGAAAGACAAGGAAGGGGACCAAGAAGGGAAAGGGAAGGAAGAACTAAGGGGAGCCAGAGGGTCAAGAGCAGGTCTCAGTGGCGATGTCGGCACAGAGGAGGAGTAATGAGATTCGGAAAAAAAAATGATTTCTTAAGGGTCTTTGTGGGACTCTGAAGCGTAAAGGCAAGGTATGGGACCTGCTTAGACAGCTCCTTACTACAACTAAGGTACACCATTGCTACATCAATACAGCATATTGTGTTCTACCTCTTGCTTTGCCACCTTTAGTTTCTTGATGTGTTGAACTAGGTGTCAACAATTCACTTTCAAGGTCAAGGTTTGCTGCCATGAGTAATGATAACCGAGTCCGCGAAGACAGGTGCAGACGAGTTCACTTCAGAAGATACTGTCTGCCCTAGCCTAGCAACGCTTGCGTATGAATATCTCCCTGGGATATTGTCGCTGAGTGTTCCCGAAATATCGCAAAGAACTGCCCGAGAAGACATCAAAATATCTTCTGACTGCCCCAAGATTATCTCATTTCTCACTCTCAGGGCGCTCAATGTTGTTTCCAACGATCCCTTTCATACCTCCGTCGGGTTTAGATGGCTAGATGCAATCTTGCGCGATGTCTGATTCGTCTTGAATAAGATCCGATGGTGCTACACGTGTAAGTGGCGTGAATGTAATAGCACGTCAACGTAAACTTTCGGCACCGGGACTAACAAGAGGCTGCAAAGCTTGGCCATAACAAACCGGGGGACCCTTGGCTGGTCACGTAATATCCGTCCCTAGATATGTCCCATCTTCACTTTGGCTGATGTACGGATGTCTTTGGGGTAATATGGGATCAGGGATGATCTGGCTAAAAGCAATGCGGGGAGGAGTTCAAACAGCCCAACTTCGGACGGCTTCATTCCGAGGTCTGAAACGAAGAACGACTACATACCAGCGATGAAGCCCGAATGCCTTAAGCCTTAAGGAATGATGAAAGCTCTGGTCAATTTCCCGAGACGACTTTTTTATCGCGAGCTTTCATGATGTTGGTAAACTGGCTGTTCCTCTGGGTAACGCTCACCCTCGCCGTCCCAACCGGTGACAATCTCTACGAACGACAAGACGAAAACCATTGGGTCGTGACATGGACGTCTATGCCCCAAGAGGTGGAACAAAGTAATCTTCCACCGTCGCCTTTCGTATGCTGCTTCCTCCCTTCGCATCATGCCTGTGCTAACCTGACTCCGCAAGAATGGAGGAAGTTTCCAATTCCGCAACGCAACGCTCCGCCAGACCTTTCACGCCTCCATCGGTGCATCACGTATCCGTTTCCAGCTCACAAACACCTTTGGAGGTTCAGATCTGCCCATCACAGCAGCCTCGGTCGCCCTTGCACTCGGCGGAGCAGCAGGCGTATCTGGGATCGATACTGCTACCATCAGGGGACTGACTTTCTCCGGGTCTCCGTCCGTGACTATCAAGCAAGGCGCCGTTGTCTACACTGATCCGATAGACTTCAAGGTGCTACCTCAGGCAAATATCGCGCTGAGTCTTTACTCTCAGCAGGGCCAGTCAGGGACCCGTATCACGGGACACCCCGGCAGCCGCACGACTTCATGGATGCAGAATGGTAATCAGGTGAATTCATCGTCTGTCGGAAGTGCTAGCACAAAGCACTGGTACTTTGCTAGTGCCGTGGAGGCGTGGGTTCCCAGGAATACGTCAGCAATGATAGTTCTCGGGGACAGCATCTCGGATGGACGTGGGAGCGACGACGACAAGAACAACCGGTTAGCTGACTTGCCTTTCATGACACATTCAATCTCAATTGACATGCCCTAGCTGGCCCGATCTCCTCATCGCACGCCTGCAAAAAGAGGGAATCACAAACCTCGCAATCGCAAACGAAGCAGCAGGCGGCAACGCAGTCCTCAGCGGCGGCCTCGGCCCCACACTCCTGTCCCGGTACCCTCGCGATGCCCTCACCCAGCAAGGCGTCTCCCGCGTTCTCATCTTCGAAGGCGTAAACGATATGGGCCCCGGCGGCACCGACGCCGGATCCCAGCAGCGCATTGGCGACGGGCTCATCGCCGCGTACAAACAGATCGTGGCCGACTGCAAGAAGGCCGGGCTTGCAACCATCGGGGCGACGATCACGCCGTTTGCGGGGAGCGGGCAGGCGTATTCGAACCCGGAGAGGGAGCGGACGCGGGAGAGGGTGAATAAGTGGATTTTGGAGAGCGGGACGTTTGATCACGTTGTTGATTTTGCGGGGTATATTGGTGATGGGGAGAAGTTGAAGGCGCAGTTTGATGGTGGTGATCATTTGCATCCGAATGTGGCTGGGTATCAGGAGATTGCGGCCAGATTCCCTTTGGATGTTTTCAAGAGTTAAGAGAGAACGCGCGAAACGTTACAGCGTGTGCTGAGGTATGATCAATATTCATTCAATGGCTTTATTGCGACAACTCTCTTAGTGCGACGTTTGAAATTGAACCTGACCCTCGGTCGTGAACATCCCGTTATCATCGTAATCTTGAGATGCGGTTGCGACTTAGTTGGTAGGCAGAATTGTTCCATTTCAACCCCTAAAGACACCTCACAAGCACGGAATGAGTCTTGAAGCCTGCTTTGAGCCGGCTAAGCGGCTTAGTTAAGCTGGATGAGTTAGTCTGGCGGGTTTGCCGATCCATGGGGCAGAATCGTGCTTGGCGGCTGAGGGAGGCCTTCGCCTCACTTCACGCCCGGGTGCCTGGTGAAGTGCCTGACAGCGATGTAGAAAAGTGCTCAGTTAAGACTCATAAGCTCTCATAGCTGATTCAGTTTTTCACGAGACTCTAGATTTTGTACAGACCACAATTCACTCAAGTTAAAAACACGCCGCACCGAAATTCATTAAGATGGGAAACGATGGCAACGCTCCCCAGCCACAATGGAGGACCCCTGGAACCAATGGGTCTGGGTTTCCACCACCGCCGCCAACAGCGCAATCTTGGACAGATCATTACACCAACACCGATAAGACTTGGAATTCGGCAGGCACGTTTAGCTTGTTCAAGACCCTTAGGAACGGCAAGAATGGTGCACCGACTAGTTCTCGAAGGTCTCGTGTGTGGCCGGCGTCATCGCGGGAGTGGTTCAAGCCAGAAAATGGTGGGACGGTGATATTTGCGGGCCATGTAGTCCTCATCATCTTCGAGGTCATCGCCATTGTCATCTCCTCGCAAGGCCTCGAACGGGTCAAGAAGTTTCCGGGATTGGTTCTTAGGGCCGAGTTTGCGTGGTGAGTTCTTACGCCGTCTCGTTGGGTCAGTTAACTAGTAAGACATTACGGGACTGACACATAGAGACAAAGCATATTATCGCTGATATCCACGTGCACCGAGGTTGGCATTTGGATCATTACCACCTTGGTGGCGTGTTCTTACGTCGGAATGGCTCTCTCCGTCGCGTTTGCCGCCCTTCTATGTCTTAATGCCACCGCAACGGGACCATATCTCATTTTTGCGATGAAGGCCAAGACAAGGCTCCCTGCGACGAGTACGGTGAGAACTCCGCGGAGTGCTGGGCTGGACTGAAGATGGGCATGGCGGTGGGCGTGTTACGGGTATTGCTGCTGTGAGTTCGGTACATGAGCCACCAGACTGGCAACGGTGTGTTTGCTAACGATGTGGCAGACCAGTTGGCGTTGCGATTGTGACTGGATACTTCATGCGCAGGAGGTCGAAGAAATATGAGAGATGAGTGGTGCCAAGCGTGAGGAAAGCAACACGCAGACCGAAATCGCGGCGTTGAGGACACAATGCGTCCAGTGCTAGATTTGTAGATCCATAACGTGGATGATCTATCATTTGGATCTGCAGTCTGGTCCCGATAGTAAGGGAGGAGGATGAAGTTGACAACCTTGATGAGATGTGATGAAGCAGACAAATGGTTCGCCAGGGCCGCCTGGGCGGGAAAATCTGTCAACACACAAGCTGACGGCGGGGAACGACCCAACAGAATGGTAAGGAGGAGCGGGCGCGACGGGACGTCCGGGCTGCCCCTGAACAACTGACGAATCTCTAGCCGTTCTCAGCGGATTGCCAACACCTCCCTGCATGGGAATAAATGCTGAGTCGAAGTCAAAGTTGAATGGCAAAGATAAACACAACCATAGAAAGTGAGATGATACGATGCTGTAAGAGTCGTGGGTTGAGACTTGAGAGAATGTTCAAATCCTGAAGTCTTATATCCGGATGAGAATCCCGTTGATGTGTACGGAGTATGCAAGTCTGCAACACAGAGATTAAATGAAGCCTTCAATAATTCAGTAATGCGCTCGGCTCTGTGCTTTTGCGATGGATGCATGTCTCTCCCGGATGGGCAAATGATAGTCTTCAATGCAACGTTCGAGTCCGCTTTCGCTCGTCGCCGCGAAGAGCCGACCTTGCAGCAATGAGCAAGCTTTGCTTTTTTCATTAATGTCGTGAGCTGTGCATGTCAATCATCGTCAAGCCACACGCCCATCAGCCCATCCACGAGTAGAGACTCGCAGACAGAGACATGCAGAGGATGGATGGGCAGAGCAAACCCCGTTGGCAAGCCAGGGGACGAGTGTTACAGCGGCATCTATCCATACCACCGGCGCATTTTCCAACCAAACGGCACCCTCTCAGACGAGGCAGCTGCTCCTCGAAATGAAGTCGGGGGTGAGATGCCATGACGAAAAAGAAAGGATGGCGACCAGGGCCCCGGTCAAGCCCTACTCGTGTCCCCCGCCGGGCTTCCGCGGTGGGAGCCACGGGGAAGGGTGGCTGTTTATTGCCGCCCAGGATCTCCCAGGAATTGGTGTGCCGTTCTGTCGGGAACCCTGCGCGACCCCACCATAGTCTACGAGTGGTCGTATCACCATCCTGCTGCCGGTCCCTTTTGTCTTGGCCAGGGAATGTAGGAACGGTCGTCTGCAGAAGAGGCTTCGGCCTGGGAGGATGAAGGTGGTCAGTTAAAAGTGTGACCATTCACTGTCTCGCCAATGTCCAGACTTTCACACGGGCCGGAACCCAACGCTCTGGATTCGGGATTTCTCAAAGCGTGATAGTGGTCGCCTTGCTGCGCCGCCAGCTTGGGACTCGCTCGTTCTGTGTTGGCGTGCGCAAGAGTCCAAAAGAGAAGAGCAGATTGTACTATACTCTTCATCCAACGGCAAGACAGACCTGTTCTGTGCAATCTTTGCTTTTCTCGTCCTACTCACTGCCTTACTCATTGCTGGCTGCTAGTACCATTGGTCGTTCCCAAATCGTATTCTCGCGGCGAAGAGAGAAAGAAGCCATACGCCACGGTAATTACGCGTATTTGTTCTTCAGGATGACCATACCGAGCCCTATCTTCTTGCCCGGCTTAGACGACCTTGAATATCATGGCATTGGTATGAGCTCGGAGGTCAACGTACCTGGCTTCTGCCGCGATAGATCAAGTTCCCCCGACGGATCTAGCATCAGCCTAGAACCAAGGATAGAGGAGGAGAATGTGCTCCGGTAACGGTTCCCCTCCCCAGCGCAATGAGAGACGTGTTCTAATCGAAGATAGCCCAGAGATTGAGTTTCCAAAACAAGCTTTCCGTCGGTCATCCGCTCCATCTCCTGAGTCCATCGTAGACGTCAACGGAATCACACCCAGAAGCCTTCCCTCGCAACATGACGAGGCAGGTCGAGCAGCGCGTTCGAGGCCTGGAACTCCACAAACACCCGAGGCTTCATCGTCCGATAGCTTGGCGACAAAAACACCACCAACCGCCGGGCCTCTAGAATCTTATCTGGCATGTCCTCAATCGCATGAGAGACGGGCGCTTTGGCTGCCTCCCGACGATGAGGACGACCGACAAGGAGACCAGAGCTCTTCGAACTGCGGATCGGTAGTCCTTGGTAAGAGAAGAGTGCCTGGAGTGTATGAGCAGGTCGAACGTAGCACGTCGCCGTTTGGGGCTACCCAAGGCGCCGACGATGCCAAAGCGGACCAGCCATTGACGCATTACCTGTCCTCGGTACATCCCCACGAAGTACTGGCGTATCAGACGTGGGAACTTGCTTCGAAAGACAAGGAACGAGATCCAATATTGGAACTGGATGTGCCCGGCCCATCGGAGAATGCGGTCCCGACTTCGAATCACTCCCTATCTCTAGAGGCCAGCCGTAAGGAAGACGATATCCCAGCAGCATCTGCGGTGCTGTCGCCCGCAGTATTCATACCCCAAGGTCCCATTGAGGTGGGATATGAACGTCGTGGTTCGGATTCAGCGATATCAGACTTGGAGACTGAAGAGCTGCACCAGCTTGTGTGAGTCAAATTTGCTCATCATCCCATACGCTTGCTGACGTTTAACAGGGCAGAAGGTCGTCGTGCGAGACAGGCAGGGAGGAACAGGACGATGCAGCCAGCGAGGGGCCAGAAAGGCAGAGTCAAAAAGTCAAAAACAATGAGGTCTCGGAGAGAATAGCGAGGTGATGGGTATGCTTCGCCGTACCCGAAGGCAACCTGCCGAGGTGAAGTGCCTCATCTTCGATGCACCCGACAATTGGCGGCGATGACAGCAATCGGAGGACTGAATAGCGGTGTCTTGCATCCCTGTCCACTAGATGGTGTTGCCTTTGCCACGGTGCGAGTTCGCTTTTGGAAGCAAGCGAGGTCGGGCTTGTTGGTATTTAAAAACATAAGGGATGATAAAGGGGAAATGAGGGCAGGTCGACTAGCGCTACGTCTGGCCAAGACGATGAATTATGAGATTGATGCCGAATGAGGTAAATAGAAGAATCATCCCAATGATATCGTGAATCTATAAAGTTCGGAACCAGCCAAGAGGTCGAAGAACGTAAAGGCCCGCGGATTGAGGAAATCATTACAATATCTGGATGTAAGTCGATCCAAGTGGTGGGATCTGGTGACCCAAGTTCGCACGCAGTCTGGGTACTGTCTCGTTTGTACCGGCTGTCTTCGATGGCCAGAACCGGCCGTTGTGATTCTTCGTCAATGCAGTGGCCGCCTCAAAAGCCAAGGAGGCGATAGTGGTGATGGTGATGTTGCTGGTGATGAAGAAGGAGAGAGCTTGCAGGAGGTGGAGGGAGAGCGACGGGGACCCCACTATCGGATTCTTATCTAATCTCATCTCGATAACTTATCTTATCTTATCGTTACATTCTTATCAGCAACACGCCGCCATTAACCCGAGCTTGGGCGCGCCGAGCTTCGCTCCCACCGTCCCCGATTGCCTGCCGTCGCTGTCGCAATCGCTGCTGAGAGCTGCGACTCAACTCATTCCCATCGCATCACATCCACCACCACCACCACCACCACCACCCGAATAACCTCTCGGTATACCGACCGCAACCTAAACGGCGTTGCCAATGGCGCCGTGCGAGCTCCATGTATAGCCGCGAAAACAAGATCATGAGAAAACTACTCGGCAAAGTAACTGCCGAAAGCAGCACCGACACCCACTCCATCGGCATCACCAGTGCGCCGCAATACCAGGCCTCTTACCGACCCAGTGCCTCCCAGAACGTCGTCTACCCTGCCGGCGCCCCCATTCTATGCCTCGATACCTCCACCGATCACCGAGCTGCTGTCATTGCCGGTAGACATGTCCTCAAGACCATCCTCTTTGACGGGCTGTCCGTCAGCGAAGGCACAGACCTCCGCGCCGCTATCAATTCGGCTTCGAGCAAGGGCGCATCGAGCTCTCTGACGGCAGACCAGCTCTCCATCCGAGACGTCAAATGGCACGGCGACGCCACAATCTTCACGGCCTGCGCCAACGGCAAGATCTTCTCCTACGACCTTTCGAGGATTGCGACAGGCGGCGCTGCGCTCGAATTCGTGCAGACGAGGGAGGATTCGCGCCAGGTCAACAGTCTCGATATCAACCCCCACAGGCAAACCACTTTACTCTCCGGAAGTCAGGATGGCTTGGTGCGGTATTTTGACATTCGCGCACCAGTACAAAGCAGATCAGGAGGCCTCACCTACAGTCCTCGAGGTGCATACAAGTGCAATGCGGACGGTGTTCGGCAGGTCAAATGGTCGCCGAAAGATGGCTTCTACTTTGCCTGCGGTACCGAGTCTGGTGTTGTGCTCAAGTGGGATGTACGCAAGATTGCCCAGCCATTGCTCAAAATTCCTGCGCATGACAAGGCTTGCGCCTCCATCTCATGGCATCCGGACGGCAACCATCTGATCAGCGGTGGATGGGACAGCAAATGCGCTGTATGGGACATGTCTAAGAACGCCGACAAGCGACAAAAGCCACGATGGGTTATATACACGCCTGCATCTGTGTCCGCAGTGGCTTGGCGGCCTGGTCTTTGGTCTGCCAGCGCCCAGGGAAAACGTGCCGCCCAGGTTGCTGTTTCCTACGACGACGGCAGCCACAAGCGGTACGGTATTAACGCCGTCCATATCTGGGACTTGGCCAGACCATCCATGCCATATAAAGAGATCGAGCGCTTCGAGATTTCGCCTTCAGGGCTGCTGTGGCAAAACCAGGACCTTCTGTGGACCGTCGGCCACGACGGCTTCTTCAACCAATGCGATGTAGCATTCGCGCCAAAAGTCCTTGACAGGCAATCAGTGTCGACCATGGCACTATCTGCTAGAGGCGACGCTGTCATGTTCCTCGACGAGCGACTACACGACCGCCCACGGCCTCCTATCGTCCATCATCAGCCAAGCGTTGTGCCTCCACGGACTTCCTATAGCTCAAGCCCAACAACACCGATGTTGAGCATCAGCCGCAGCGACTCTGAAGAAGACGTTGTGGGCAGTTTCTTAGGGCCTCGTCGGAGAGTGAGCAGGAAACGGAGGCATAGTCTGCGCTCTATTCCTGTACTCAGCACTACTCCTCCATCTGGGCCAGGCCTGGGCGACGATCTCGTTCTAGGTCTCGAGCAAGCCATCAAAGTCACTGGCACTTACAAGACTCAGCAGTCTATGGCTGTTGGCCACGTACCCGCAGCCGCAAGAGTCGATGTCTATCAGTACCTTTCTAGCTACTACCTCGAGACGATCGACAGAGAACTCCCGTTTGTCGAAGGAGCAAAGCCTCTAGCTCAGAGGATCGCCGGGATTATGGAGAAATACGCGCGCGCTGCCGAACACGTCAACCTGTTTCGTCTAGCACAAACATGGCGGATCCTGGCCTACTCCATGAACCTATTGTTGATCAGGAGAGCGCAATTTCATCTTGAGACAAGACTTGGACGATTTCAGAAGAGGCCGTCCATTTCCAAAGGCAAAGATATCCCCAAGCTGAGGGTCCCGAGAGCATTAGACGTTGTTGTAGAGATGAATGGGGAAGAAACTCCGCGACGGCCGTCCACTCTCACGTCGAATGGCATAGACAGTAAGTCTTTGGGACCACGGTCCTTGCTCTCCGAAGAGATTGAAAGCACCTCCAACGTTGCGACACCAATTGCGAGGGCCATTAACGAGGAAAATGCAGACCAGTTTGATGAAGCTCAGCTGCCGCCGGTCAAAGAGTTGGATAGCTTTGTTTTGCCCCCTGCTGCTCACAGTACGTTTAATATTAGTCCAAGGAGGCGACTGGACTCGGTTCCTTTGTCCACCACAAGTCAAGAAAGCGATCAGACGCAGGCCTCCATCACAGAGGGATACGACTTCTATGATACTGACGCCCTGTCTCAAGCGATAGATGTGCCCGAGCCAAAGAAAAAGGAGCAGAAGCCCCTGGACTATGGCCCCCGCACGCCAAATAGTCGACGCCCTTTGCGACATGACTCTGATGGCTTCTCTCAAATGTTCTCCATGTCTGAAAGCAGCCGGCAAACTTCTGGGCTGGCATCGTCCTCTGAAGGAGGGACGTCGGCATCGGCGCAATCCATCACCAGCTATCCTGCTCAACTCACACGTCAACGGAATGCTAAAGAACAGGGTGAATATGAGAGCCGCATCCGTGGCAGAGAAATCGAGGACTCTCCCGAACACGGCGCCTTAGCGTCACTTCATGGTCCTGGCGAGAGTGTGCCCAAGGATTCTCCGGAAGAGATTTTCATGATTTCACAGACGACCATGGCTTCTGATACAGCTACCGATGAACCTTCGACACATTCACAGCTAGGATCCCTACCTGCAACCTACGAAGACCATGCACCTCTTCATGTTGGTGTTGCTTCGTCGAGTCCTCCGAGGATCGCTATGGCCCTTCAACATGACACGACGCCAAACATCCTCGAATCCGACTACCTCCCATGGCCGGAAGACCCATCATACCCACATCCTCTAGCATCGAATCCAGAGGCAGATCACTCTCCGCCGCTCAACCCATATACCCTCCTCTCTCGCGCCCTGGACTTTGAGACTCGGACATCGGCACTGAACGCTTCCGCGATGGTCCTACTCCTGAAGCCCCTCGTGCCAGAATCCGTCATCGATCCCCATCGCGCATCCTCCATCCTCCGTCAGCACCACGCTCGCCTGACGGGAATGAAGCTCTTCATCGAAGCCGCCCTCCTCCGCAAACTATGTATCAAGGGCTGGCCCGAAGGCATCCCAGACTGGGGCGAAAACTACACTGCCATCTTCGGTCCCGCCCAGCAAGGCGTCAAGGGCGGCTTCATCTGCCCCAGTTGCCACAAGCCCCGAGAGTTAGATCCGTCTCTCGGCTCCAGCGCCCTTTGGAAATGCAGCCGCTGCCGTACGACAATGGCCCCTTGCGCCGTATGCGGCCACCGCGAGACGACAGCCACGATGCTCTCCCTCGCGGATGGTGTCGCCGGTACCCAGATACCAGCCGATCCGGTGATGAGTATATGGTGGTATTGTCCAGGCTGCGCCCATGGCGGCCACGCGACCTGTCTCCAGGACTGGCACGCGCCCTCGAACGATGGCAGCTACGAGCTAAGTGACGGGTGCTGTCCCCTCGACGGCTGCGGACACGCGTGTCTTCCAGGCAAGTGGCGGGACGAAAAGTCGACGACGCGGTCCGACGAATTGGGTCGCGCGGCTGTTGAGAAGGTACGCATCGGAGGAGGTGGACTCGGCGGCGTCGGTGGCGGCGGTAAAGCAGAAGGAGGACGGAGCCCTGTGATCCCGCCTGGTGTCCGTGGCGACAGCGTTGAAGTGCCGCAGAGCCGGGCGGTAGAGAGCGTTCGCGAGGCGTTGGCGAACGGCACACCTACGTCGGGAATACTGAGTTCCAGCCCGGGAAGCAGGAATGGACCTGGAGAGCGCGAGAGGAGGAAGAGCGTCAAGTTTGTGCCGACGGAGCGTTAGTGGCAGCTCGGTCGTCTTTGGCGGTCTCTGTAATCGCTGCAAGAGAAAGGATGGTGTTGAGTTGTATTAGATGAGGTTTCACGGCGTTGGGGAAGCAAATGGGTGTTTCCAAGCATGTTCTTCACGGATTTGCTGTTTGTACTTTTCACTTGGGAATTGGGGCATGGAGACGATTCCCATCGGATGTTGTTCGATACGATTGATTCCAGCATTAGCAATTTTTATTATGGCGGCGACGGATCGCCGGGGTATCTCAAACAATGAAACCACGTAATTTGACCAACATTGAACCATCCTGGACTTTCTGGTGATAGCTGCCGTCAGTTTCCAGCATTCTCTCTCATGCCCTTGGTTCTCAGCGAGACTTTGAACTCGTCGAACGGCAAACCCGCAGATCCACCATTGCCGTGACTGAAGTTGTAGTCGACCGGAGAATTTGCCCCATCACGAACCGTCATGGCCTTCCGGAGCTCATCGCGCTGCCGGCTGAGCACCTCACTGTCGGTACTACCACGGCGACTGCCACCGACGCTGCTCGAGTCTCCATCGCCAACGCCTGCTACCGACGAAGGGATGCGACCCTTGAACCGTCCTGCCCAGAGGCCACGGACGCCGCCTCTCTTACGCTCAGGAACTTCTTCGGTACCGGCGCTGCACACATACAAAAGATACTTAAGGTTAGGCAGCGTGTGGCGGATATCGACGACTTTCAATCCTTGGCTTGCACAGAGAGCCTCGATGTTCTTGTTGAGAATGAACCAGCCGTAGTCAAATCGATATTGGGCCGCGGTCGAGCCACCTCGCGGGAGGTACAAGGGGAAATCACGCTGTCGAGCCGCCTGCACCGAGTTCAGGTCGGTGAGCAGAGAGATATCGTCGCGGATGTAGGATCGCGAGCCAAAAGGGGTGATTGGGTATGGGAGCGGTACAGAGAGGTAGTATTGCAGCGCATTCGTCAGAGCAGCAACATGTCCCAGCGCGGCGGAGAGAAGATCGTCGTCAGGTCCGCGTGAAGTGGCGCTATCATAGCTTGTGTTCGGAAGGGGGAGGCCAGAGATCTGGAAAGAGAGGGGAGCGCCACTAGGACAGGGCGTGATCTGGTAGATGTTACCGAGGTCGGCACAAATGCGGCGTCGCTGGCCGCGAATCGTCTCCTTGGTCTTGGCAAGAACTTCTTTGGATGCTGACAGGTGCTCTGTTGCGTCTACAATGTCCTTCGCGAGCTTGTCTTGGAGAGCGCGGCCTTGGGCAATGGCCTCTCGGCGCGACTTGAGAGATTCGCGTAGCTCCTCTCGCCGCTTTTCGGCTGCCTTCAAAGAGCGCAACTCTTGCGCCACATATTTGTTGGCCAGCTTCACCTTCTCCTCGGCGGCTGGTGTCTCGTTGTGCGCGGTTTTGTCGAGTATGCCGTTGATCTGGCATGTGAGCTGCTCCTGCGTCGCAATAGCGTCCTGGATCGAGTTATCCAAGGTCGCGAGCTTCATCAGTGCGTTGTAAGAAGATGTGTGAAGGGGCGGCAGCTCCTTTGGGTGTGTGGGCTTGGCCGGGACATCGAGGGAGTATATACCGTCGGCAAGGTGGAAAATGAGGCCGTTGGGTGGGAACTTGCGATTCTGGAGGCTGCCGATGAAATGCAAGCTTCGAAGATCGACTGTATCGTGGAGTAGGAGGGTCCATGCTGTTCGCTTCGCCCAGATCTTGATAGTCAATACCGGAGAGCGAGTGACGGAGGGGCCGTGGTGGTTGAGATCGAAGAATTGGAAGTTGAAGTTCTGTTGATCTTCTTGTCAGTCCAGCTACCAGATACGTGGCTGAATTGGAACGCGACATACCGTCGCATGCTCCTGCATTTCGCTAATGTACACTGGCTCATCCTCGCCCTCGCAATGCAGCGAGAAGAAGACATCGGCGGCTCTACCGTCAATGGTCAACTGTAGCATGCGCTGTCGCGTTACTGGAGTAGCCTGGGCGAGAGCAGTGCTGCGGCGGCGCGGAGCTTTAGGCCGCAGATTGTCGCTGGAGAGAGCATGTTGGAGCTGGGGGGTGTCGCGGAGGGATTCGAGCTTCGAGGATGTCTTGTTCAGAGCAGTATCGTCGATAGTATGGCCTCGGGGGCGGATGAAGCTGAGGTTTCGGAGGTAGATGCCTCGAAGATGACGAAGCTTGCGGTTCTGAGGAATAAGGAGGGGGCGGGACTCGGGCGGAGGCATCTTGAAGTGCAGGTCAATTCATGGCCGGTGGGGAGGTTTCTGTCAAAGATTCATGAGACCGCGAGTCGCAGCTCTGCATGTAGTTTGACAAGGATGTGGTGTGAAGAGTCGCACGCCAAGTTCGTCAAAGGATTGTGATGTCGGGTGGTGATGGTCGGGTTGGGGTTTCCAAGCGGGCAAAGCTTCCCGGTTGCCCGTCCACGTTGCTCCTGCCACTGCTGTCACTGCTGCTGACGGAAGGTACTTCACCGATGCACGGTTCCTTTGCTGCAGGAAGGAGCTCCCTGGGTTCCTTCCTGCTCTTGAAATTAGCCCCACCATCGTCATAGCTGCTTAGATGCATTTACTGCTTACAACTTGCACTCGATAGACAGCCTATGCATACGTACATATCCTCCATTGATGCAAGTGAGCTGTGGTGGACTCGACCTCAGCACCTATCCATCTTTGTTTTTCCTTCACTCATAAGGATACAATTTCACGTTTTCCCAAGCACTGATACGCCTTCAATTCTGATCGCCAAAAGGCAACCCCTCCACCACAATTGCTAACCATCGATTGACCGAAGCTAGTCGTTCCTTGCAGCAACACCCCAAAAAATGGACTGTCCCCGGCTAGACATGCCTCTCTCTGATACCCAGCTGTCAGTCAATCAAGGTTAAGAAGGGCCAAGATCGATTAAGTCTCCGGTAACACATGGATACGCCCGTCGTATCGAGATTCCCTCCCCCGGTGGAACCGGCATCACGGCTTGTCCCTGACGGCGAACTGCAGAGTGACTCCACCTCCGATCGCCCCGCCCTCGCCGAAACCTTAAATCACTGCCAAAATGCCCGAGCTTGGCCGTATGTGGAATCCTGGGATTGCCCCGTCGTCGGCACATCAAGCTTCGGGGAAGGGAACATTGAGACGTACGTCATCGGAGAAACGTACGTAGCATGGCCGAGGCTCATCTAGTGATAGGAGACGGGCGTCTGGGGCTTGGTTTTGGATGGCAAGTGTGGCTCTTCAGCTCCCCTCATGGATCTGACACTTTGGTTCGCTCATCCGTCTCACCATTGCGCCCGAGGTTCATGGACGAACCGCTATCTATGGCCTTCTCCATCCCGTCTTCGGTCTATGTACTTTCAGGACGCCGTGGGATGCCGCCTGCAGATAGTCTCGCTGAGTAACTCTGAAAAACTTTGGCATACGTCAACGAACATACGAGATATCCGCGGAATACATTTGCTCAACGTCTTCCCAGCCCCAGGGGGTGAAGCATGATAATCATTCAGTTTATCCGCCGGCTCTTTTGGTCTCCTCCAAGCTAATTCCTCAAAGATGGAAACCCCACCAGAGCCGCAACACATCCTCGTCCTCAGTAGAGGTAACGACGATGCCATTATCGTCAACTTACTCAAACACACTGGATGTCTCACCGCAGTATACGCCATCAGTCATAACACCAAAATGACCAAAATGGAAATCCGGCGGGTAAACTGCGACGCCATCTCCGCAAAACACCGCCCCATCGCCGCTGTCAAACTCCGCAAAATACCCCCGAGAGCCGACGCTACCGTCCGAGGTGTCAAGTTTAAGATGGCCCGCAAGCACCCCCTGTCGAGTACTCTCAACTTCCGCTTCTTGGGCGCAGGCGAGATGCGGTGGGAGGAGCTGGGCAAGCATGGCAAGGGCATGAGGCTCGTCGATGTCAACGGCAAAACTTTAGCTTTTTTCCGTCCGAGGCTGCACGTGGTGGATGCTGGTCCTGGAACCGAAGGAGGACGAGAAAAAGTTGAAGAACACAGTTCGGGAGAGGGTGGAGAAGACGGGAGCCGTCCTGCACCTGCAAGTCATACAAACACCATGGGCAAGGCCGGGTGGGGACCCGGGTTCGAGCTGCATGCCGCTCTCGTAGATCTCGACCTCGATCTGGTGGTCACCACTGGCTTGGCAGCGGCAGAATATCGTCGGCAGTTGGATGAGGACTGGAACCTGGTTGCAGAGGAGGAGGCGGAGGCACGAGAGACGCAGGAACTGGACAAAGCGCGCGACGGCTGATCTGCTCATTACTCGTTCCATTGTACACACATCCCAAGTTTGATCGTGTTCTATACCCTTGCTGAAACATAACGGTATTCTGAATATTGGTATTCCGCCGCTCTCAAATCAATTTTCCAAGTTCGCCGTCGCTTTAACGCCAATGTAATACACAAAAGTTTATCCATAACGCTGGATGTGCTCAACTCTCGCTCCTGCTGTCTGCCTACTTGGCGAATTAGAACCTCCCATTTTCGTTCTTCTGCCACCTCTTGCTAGACTTTACATTTTGCAGCTCGAAATTGGCTACGTTGACCTTGACATCCTTGGTGATCAGAACCTGACGTTTCCCGTCAGCCCTTGCTGCCATCTCGTCCGCAAGGTCGATTGGCGTGGGCGGCATTTCTGATGCCATCGATGGTGTCTCGGGTATTTCGTGAAACTTGTCTTTGCCGATGTTGAGCATCGAGCGTCTCGAGTTTACCGTCCCCAAGCTGACGTTTTTGGTGTTGGTCTTGTTGCTAGAGAAGAGTTGCGGGACCTTCTGGAGTAAGGGCCGCAATGCTGGAAGACTTGCGCAGAGGATGGCGCAGAATTCCTCGATAATGGACCAGATTACAATGTCGACGTTGTCCCAAGTGGCGTCGAAAGTGCTCGAGAACATGACGAGGTACTTCAAACGGACCATGGTCGTAATGCAGGCGCTACAGTTCGTATTAGTTTCAGTCTTCAACAAAGACAGTCATTCGAGAAAACTCACAATGAGCCAAGGCTGAACATGAAGCCTAGTGCAATTTTCTTCCTGATGTTGAGCTGCAATTTGACCAACTCAGGAATAGGCAGAACCAAAATCACCACATCCTCCACAATACTGAAGACTGCTCCGGCGTATCCAATGGCAGTAACGTTGAGGCATGTCCGGTTCGGGTTGCTTCTATCCCAAACTGAAGAAACTGGCGTACACTGGAAGACGATGACCAGGAGGAAGATCAGGCCGTGGAGCAGCAAAAACATGATGAAGTAGCGGACGGTGAGCTGGAACCACTTTGCGGGGAAGATTCGGGAGAAGAACAACAGAATCGAGATCTTGGCGAAGACCTGGATCAAGATGTAGAGTTGCTGAACGGCGTAGAAAATCTTGAGTAGCTTCGTCCCGGCGTCGAGATCGATGTTCCAGTAGTGTGTTCCGAATCCTAGGTCGGCACTCGCGATTTCGATACCAGCCAAGCCGGCTAGTAAAATCTGATCTCTCGTCAGTCTCTGCCCTCTGTGTTGCTCGGGCTTTACTCACTGTTGTAAAGATTGCCGTCCAATCGTCCCACCATAGTCTATTGGTGGTCTTCCATCGCGATATGCACCGCAGCGCAACGACGGGAAACGTGATGACTGATAGGACGATGGCGATGGTCTTGACTTCGTTACTTCTAGACTCCTTGGGATACGCATCGCAAAGATTTGTCTCGAGCTTTGCGGCGCCTGATTACATTTAGTCCGGCGAAATTATTATTAAATCTGGCGCAAGACCTACGAGCTTGGTCTTCGAGATGACACTTGAGTTGCACACATGTCGATAGATCCGACTGTAATTTGATATTGGAACAGAAACATTCAGTCACGGTCGCAACCGATGTCAAGCTGCAGTTGCCATCTTGTAGACCTTGTGTGATGCATGGAAGCTGTCGCAAACAAACATGACTAGTCAGCCCTACTGTAAGGTACGATTCGGAGAATATTTGACAAGGCCCCATGGCGGGAATGCAAGGGCTTGCAAGTAAAAAAGCAAACAACAGAGTTGGACAAACAACAAGAAACCTGACGTCGGGGTTGACTTACTGCGCAATTAGGTACTTGTGTAAGCAGGCCGGCGACGCTCTGTGCCTCGACTAAGGAAGCAATACACCACAGCGGAAGCAGTAACAGCGAGCGCCGGCCATACTGCCTCGAATTCGTGGTCATCTCCTAGATACCCTGGTGGAACTCATGAACAGAAACAAGTAATTAAACCCAGGGAATAGCCAGGAGAAAAAACAAAGAAGCGAAGGGGGAAGAAAAGGAGCTTCTCCATCCTTCAGGGTGTTTGTGCGACCCGTCCGTCTTCTTTAATATGAAGCAAGGCCCTTTATCCGACCTACCTCCTACGAGAAAGAGACTGGAACGAATTAAGAAGGCTACGCAGTGGGCAGCATTGGACCCCTCCCTCTTCCACTCACACTTTCCTCGAATCCCACTCGGTGGCCAAGACCTCTATCGCGCGAGTGCGCGAGCCCATCTTTCACCTCGACCAACCCACCACACCCACAGATACCTGCGCTTGTCTCTGCGTCGACGCGGCAGACTTCCGGGCGAAAAGAGCAAAAGCGGGCCAGTCCACCGGGGGGGTCAGAACTGCTGTCAGCTGCAGCAAGGAGAAAAAAAGAAGGTACGTGAAGCAAGTGCGAACAGAGGTGCAAAAAATGCAGGGGAACCCACATGGCGGGTGGGCTTTTCCTGACACACGCCTCTGCATGAACCCTGGCCGACGATAGTTTAGACCAGAAGAAGGACTGCCAATGCGTCTAGAAACACTCGAAGTCGTTTAGTACATAGAGTGGTACAATGGTAGTGGCTGTGTGGGCCTGCGCCGAACGCCCTCCCGTACTTCTTACTATTGTGTAACTTGTTTTATTGTCTCCGTCATCTACCATACCCGCTTGGCCCAACTAGACCTTCTCGTTGAAAAAAGAGAAGGCAGTGAATACAATACTCAAAATGGGTGGAAGCTAAGCTGAAAGTGCTTCGTACGGCCGAGTTGGTAGGGTTGCGTTGGGGGCGATGAATCGGGAAGACCTCCCCGATGAAAGAACCACTCTTTAGGAGCTTTATCACATTTTAGGCCCTGTCAGTGCGGGGATGGGAAACTTGCGATCAGCGACATGCCAAAAGGGGGTCCCTCGCCTATGACGCCCCCCCACCACCCTTTGGCCATTTTCGTTCGAGATGAGAAGACACAGACAAGACAGGACTTTGAGAGTTGAGACTGAGAGGGAGGTTAAGAGAGAGCGAGTTCCAGCCACAGAGAGATTCGGACGCTACCTGTCGGCGAATCTGATGCCGCTCGGGCGCCTCAGGGGCAGCTCGTTGTTTACTGGCTGCGTCCATACCTTTGGACGGACACTAAGTCGTTGGCCATGTCGGGTAGGGGAGCGGATAAAGGCAGGCTAAATCCTCTGAAGAGGTCTGACCGGACGTCGAATTATCAGCCTGTCCAATGACTCGCGACGGGGGGTTAATTAGGCAAGGTCATGACTTCACTTCGTGTTTTGGTGATGTGCTTAGCAGAGAATGAGGACGAGCCCGGCACGGCCGGCTGCTAATTACAGTCCGAATGACCAAGTTGAATTACAGAAAGATGGTGTCGGCAGTTTCCAAATCAACACAGAGATGCAATAACTAAGACAGCACCCATTCTACAGAGATTCAATGTCTCAAGGTATGTTGTAACTGAGGGCGAAGGTTTTCTACCTTTCCACTTGCGTTCAGCTTCCTTTCTAGAACCCTTAAACGTAGATTCCAAGCGACTTCTAGCGTCACGGCGCGCAGGAATTGTTCACTGTTGATTCCCAATTTGCAGATTTAACCCCCTTTAAATAACTTGGGCCGAATGAACATATCAAACCACGGCCGAACTCTGTTCCAATGGTCGCCGGCGCTATACAGGCGCTAACTCCGCAGAAGCAAGTCTCTCCCGGCGCTTGGGTCAGGCGACGCCTGGACCGTCATTGCCGGGATTCTGGTTGTGGCGGTGGTGATGACTTCCTTGTCTGGTCCTTCTACTCGATCTGTTCTCTCTTAACCCGCGCGCTAGAACGGGAGAGGGGGGAGTGGCGGACGGGCGCGGACAACAACTGCAACCAAAGTTGATGTGACTTTTTTTAGGATTTTAGGTTTCGATTGAGATCGTGTTGATTCGAAGTGGCAGCACTTTTCTGAGTCGCCCTTGGAATGCTGCGTGACTGCGTCGCCGGCTGCACGTCATGATTGGGGTCCGGATACCAGGTTGATGGCTCTTCGGAGTTGGGCTTTCGATGGGGCTGAGATAGACGCGGGCCCTAGTTCCTTGTCCAGTGTGTTCCCCTTGTTGCTTAATGCGGTGTTCGTGCCATCGTCTGGCCCTGCTGCCCACGGCGTAGATGGAATGAAGCAGGGACGTGGCCCGAGGCGTGGAGGTGAGCTTGGTAGTTTCAGAAAACCCCAGAAAGAGCACTGGCACACTGGGTGGTTTTTTTCGCCTCTGTCAGTTGGTTTATGGTGCAGCCTAGGCTCTTTTAGATCAACTCTCACGTCAGTTTTCCGAAGGTCGAACCAGTATTTACTAGTCTCTTCCCTGCTAGATCGTATTAGATCTCCATCGGAGGCTCGGGTTCCTGGTAGGGGGCGGAATTTCTTCCGATTTTACGTCTACAGCATTGCATTATTAGAAGCGGCGTTGTGGGAGATTCGTCTCGAACTAATGTTAGTATGCTGCCTAGAATTCAAGATCGTAGATAGTGAGTTGACACCAGCATATCATTCTAATTACTTCTCGTATCATCTGGGTCATGGGAATCAAGCTATTCTGTTCTCGCGGGTTGTCGAGAGCTTCCGAGATCTCTCTACACGGAAAATGCCACTGATATCTGTGCTGTTCAAGATTCTCGTTGCCGCGTATTTAGTCCGTCTGTCAAATCCTCCCAGACAGCTTGAAACGAGGCCCGCGGATCCGCAGTCTAGCAGAGTCAGTAGCAAGCACACCACAGCTGTCAGCCCTTCTTCCAGCTTTGGTCCGCCTCGACCACCGGATGGTTCGACCACCGGATGGTTCGACCACGAGCAACGGTATAAGCATGAGACCATGTCGGCATGAGTCCAGACCACACCCGGATCTTGTCTGTACCCACGGGAGCCAGCAGAAGCTTCGAATATCACCCCATGGCAAGTGCTTGGGTTTCAAAAGCTTTGGCCGTGGGCGGACGACTTCAAGATCCAGCCCCGGAGACTGGAGGATATAAGGCGGAGACGTGACTGCCTACGTACTCCTGATTACCAGCGGCAATCGGCCGCGGATGGAAACCCCATTGGCTACAACAACGCTCACCCAATCAAATACGATGCTCTTCCTGAGCACCGGCGACGCTCCGGTGCCGGGACCATCACCGGCTGACTGGTTGACGGGCGTGCGAGTCGATATGGGAGAACTTCGGTAGAGTTGGTCTTCATCGAAGCTCGGCAGTTGACAATCCGCTGCTCTCGGGTGGATTACAGATACCGCACGGCCTTGATCACATACTCACCGACTCAGGTTACTGTGCGATGACACTTGTGATACTCGATCGATAGATTCATGATGACTTCTGTCTTGTTTTATACAAAGTCCGTTCGCAACTGTCTTTTATCCGTTCACCATCTGAATATATCCGTACGTCTATGTGGGAACCTCTCAAACTCCTTCGCTGAATAACTCGAAACCGTAACAAACAAAAGTGACGTATGACGAAGGAAGGTTTCTACAACGCAATTCCGAGAAACTGATCCGCCTTAGTAGACTGAGGGCTCCTGTCCCAACAACGGCCAAATCCTTGCTGTTCCAACCTCAACCAGTGGAACTCTGGCTTGTAGTCTGGGTTAACGGTCCTCTCGAGCGGTTGATCCTTCCACGGTGTCGCCATCGGCCTGATGACTCGCGGCGCCACAGCGCGGCTGAACGTCGGCTTTTCAGCAAACAAGGTATACCGCAACGACTTGCTTCTTTCCTTTCGAGCCGTGGGTGGCTTATTGCGGGAGCACTTGGTGAAGAGAGGAATGATCGGCGGTATCGACATACAGACGATGCCGATGGTGCATTCAGCGATGGAACAGAGCACCCACGAGACCCAGTTGTCTATCACGGTGAAAGTTAATACTGCGACTTTTTCTCTAGACATGCTATCTTGGGGTATAAGGTGAACATACAGGTCACGTCAGAATCGCTCAGGGGCTCTAGGTCGGCAAGCTTGAGGATCGCCGCGGCACATGATCTGAGTCTTTTGTCAGTTCAAACGTTCTTCTCCATCCAATACCATCCCGGTAAAAACTCACAGCCCAGAAAAGGCAAAGAGGATCGTAAGCAGAACTTTCTTGCCTGTCGCCATCTTCATGTTCCAGATATACGGCAGCGGCACTGTACATAGCAGCAGGTCGATTGCAATATTCAACGCCGCGCTGGCATGAAGGAAGTCGATGAATGGATAGCACGTCGCGCCGCTAGTTGAGGAATCCCATGCTGTCGTCATGGGCTTGCATTGGAAGATGACGGCAAATACGGATGCCAAGCCGAACCCTCCAGCGATTACCGCCGCACCGTACATGATCCAACGCGCGCTTTTTTGTGTTATGAGTCTGAGAAAGGAGCCGATGGCCGAGAGACGAGTGAACGCGATCGCGCAGGGGTATAAAGTATTAGCAATGAAAATGAGCTATACGGTCTGTCAGTCATTTCCATTCCCGAAAGTTGTCTTACTAGTCATTCGCAATACATACCTGAAGTAAGCTCTTGGTATTGTCGGGGAGAAATTCAGCATCGAGATTCCAGTAGTGCAGACCAAGTCCTAGGTCGGTCGCTGGCATCTTCGTAAGTAACAGGCTTATGATGTTTTCTTCCACGGAACAAAACCATACCGATTGGAAGTAACGCGCATACTGCGAAAGTAAAGAGTGCGGCGATGATCAGGAGCACATCGTCGCTAAAGAAATCCCGTGTTACAGTGCAGCGGACGATGATCCGAAGAGGCACTACTATCCCAACGAGAACGAAAGCCGTAAGATTGACTGCCCAAACCACTGTTACCAGACTCCTCTTATCACCAGTGTCTGCTCCCATCCTGACGACCTGCAGATTTGACCCGTTGGCGAGCTCGCTATTCATATTTGGTGTATCGAAATGAAATAAGTCGTATAAGTGTTATCGATTAATCATGGCGACACTCAATGTCGGAAGCAAGAAGTGAAAGGCGCTGGGCGAGAAGAGAAACAAAATTTACTGAAAAGAACCATCGAGCACCATGACGAAAGCACGTCGCGTGGCGGGAGGCCATTGGCTTTTCTACACAGACTCGAAAGTCTTCTACGCACATGCATCACGGCCGTTGTCATGAGCATCGACAAGCCACGGTGGTTTCACGAGTGACGTTTTGCGCCTCCTCCCCTTCGGCGCCACGCGAAGACACCAGCAGATCATAAGGAAATCCCACCGAGTGCCGCGTCAACGGGCGGGAGCTAGCAGCAGCTTCCAAGGCACTGCAGTGTGCAACGTCTTCATAAAATGCTTGAGGGTGGACGTGCAGACTCGTGTTTATGGAGCGCGATATGCTCTGGCCCTTCGGCTTTTGTGCGAGAAGAGAGGTTCTTGACAGCAAATACTTGCAAGGCAGGATCTTTTCCATCTTTTAAATCACCTCGTAGATTCGACTTCACATCACCGACTCGTTCTGCGAAGGGAAGGAAGACGAAGAGGATTCCCGTTTGGAACATGGAAAGAAGATTACGGCACAGCTTATCTCGACGCCAATCGACAAGAGGCCGCCACAAGACCATCCTCTCCAATTCCTCATGGGGAAACACGGCCAGAACAAAATTAGCAATCCCAAATTAGACCGAGATAACTCACCATTTCCAACCTAGTGCCTCGGACTTGGAGCAGACTAAATCGCGGCGCACTGACGCCTCGTTGAAGAATTCTGCCTTCGCCGACTCACCTGACGGGGCCGGACCGTCTCGATATGTTATCACGGCAGTCTCAACACGTGGGATACAGGCATCTGTGAGAGGTTGGACGTTGGTCTGGAAGCTGTTATTGGGATCTTTGTGACATATTGTGATGGTCCCAGTGCTAAGCATGCATCCTGCCGTAAGATTATGGTCATCCCGGGAGATCATCCTTAGTGAAACGTCATGTAATTATTACTAGAGGCTGCGAAATTCATTATCTCTCTCTGAAGCTCCCGTGATGGGGTTAAGTGTCCCTGAAATTCATTTCTGAAGAATTGGTGCGCGTTTTGGTTCCTTTGAGGTATTCTCAACCATCCTCACACCTCTTCAGACGACTATATCTCATCCACATAAACGCAGGCTGTGGATCAATGGTATTCTTCGTAAGGGATTCGAATGAAAGCTTGTTATGTTATCGTCTTCTGTATGATTGATCGTGTACATCTGGAGTAGGGTGGATGGAACATCTGTGTTGAGACCTGGACAAGTCTCGTCTGCCACCAATTGATCGTTGAGACTACCATTCTTGAAGAGGTGCAAGGCCAAGAGTCGACAAGTACTTGTTTGCTTCGACTGTGGTGTGCTCCCACATGCCCTTCACCTGCTTATAGTCCTTGGCGACTGGATTGGGGGTTACGATCTTGCCAAACGGCTCCAAGTACTTACCCTTATACTTGTCTGCGTTCTCGCGAACCTCGGTGGCAGTGGCCGCGAAGACGGACGTGATGGCGCCCTGGTCGACCGTGAGGAAGGCCGCTGATCTGACGAACGAAAAGAGGGCATTTCCAATGTCCTTGCTACCTGGACTGGCCACGCCACCCGGATGCACTGACATGGACAGGATCGGAAGGCCTTGCTCATCCAGAAGTCGCTGCAACTCTTGGGCGAAGAGCAGATTGGCGACTTTGGAGACGGCATAACGGATCATGTCGACCACGAATATACGGCTCACGATATAACGCCATTGCCACGGGTAGTAAGGCACAGGCTTCGTCAGGAACGACGCGGAATCGAAGGTGAATCTGTAGTTGGATGGCAGCATGGCATAGTTGACGTTGGAGCTGAGGGTGATGATGCGGACGTCGGCCCCAGGTTGTTTTGTAGCTTCCTTGAGAAGCGGCAGCATGCCATTGGTGAAAACAAAGTGCCCGACGTGGCTAGTTGCATGCAATATTAGCAAATATGCCCACGTGGTTTTTGGTGTACTTACTTGACCCCCATGTGCCATTCCCACCCGGGACCCATCGTCTCCGTCGTGCCGGAGGCTAGACCGGCATTGTTTACTTTGAAGGGTGTCCTATCAGCATGGTTCTGCCTCCAACTCTGAAAAGCAGGAGGGTAACTCACCTAGAATGTCTACCCTAGATTCCTTGCTCTTCAGCTCTTCAACTGCGGAGGCGACCAACTTCAAGTCTGCCAAGTCCAAGGGAAGCCAATGCAGGTTGGCGGCGTTTATCGCAGGGTTTTCGGTCGTCAGCACGGTGCGAGTCTCATCGGCTTTGGTCTTTGATCTTGCTGTGAAGTAAACCTTGGCACCTCGAAGGGCGAGGTACTTGACGGTTGACAAGCCAATGCCTGCACTGCGGGTGTGTCAACAGAATTCCTTGCTCTCTTTGACTGGGCCCACAACGTACTTCCCGCCGGTGACAACAACTACTTTACCCTCGAGGTTGGGCATATCAGTGAGGGGATCCCACTTTCCAGACATTTTGAGCTACTTGTTGTTCTCCAACTGAAACGTGTTGGAACAAGAAAAATTGAATCGGTCACGAAATTCTAGAATCGCAACAAGTTGTTTGTACGATGGTACGACGTTATTTACTGTCTTTCCACCGTACTTATTATCTTCAGCACGAAGGATTCGTCGATCTGGCATCACTGTATCAGATGTCGGGGACAAAAACAAAGGGCTCCCTTCTCGGATACTTATCAGGATTGCTCATGTAATCAACCCGCAGACCGATCCCGACGGGAGCGGGGACGACTGGGGGTTCGGATGGAGCCGCTGCCCCTTGAGTCTCGTCCGATTCGGGACAATGCTCACCTTAGCATTCTCCACCGTTGATGGGACGGTTGAACCATCTGAGATTCCGATTCGTGGAGAGTCCAGACGCTATCCACCGGGTGCTCTTTGTTGCCGGTGTTGGATTGAAGGGACAAGACACATCATTGGTCAAGTTCCGCATCATGGCCAGAACCAACCTGTGACCAACAAGCAAAGTGAGTCAAAGGCTGTCTATTCGTTCAAAGACCGCACGCGGTGGAGGGAGGAGGAGGCGGATGAGAATGAGGAGGGGGGCCGGAGACGAAGCCCAACGTCGACGACACAGTCAGCTTCTTGCATTCTCCAGACCTCGTCTTTCGATTCTGCCACACACCCTTCGCGTCAGTCAGGATTTCACTCCTCTCATCTCGTACACCATCAACCCTTGTATGACCTGAGCGTTTGCTGGAATAGGCAAATGCCAACCTTGTCCCCAGATTATCACGGACTTCTCCCGAGCCACTGAGGCCCGCTCAAGTCGCCCATCTCGTACGTCTTGTCCCGGCCTTGCGGTTCAGTTCGATTAGCGGGTTTCCCTCGTCGCCTTGCGATTCAGTAACGAAGGCCCTTGACCCCATTTTCGAGGTAAACCGAAAAGGGGTAGGAAGGGTACGCCATCCGAGCTCGTTCAACGTCGAGCCCCTACTCGTTCGTCTCTCGACAACAGCGGTCCACGGCTTCGCCCGCGATGCCGTCTGCGAGCAAGGGCGGCGGCAGGACCCGGGAGGATGGGTTCTTGTTTGTACCCATCACTCACCCAAGCGAGAGCAAGGCCTGGAAGAAAAAGGTCAGATCACACGCCGCGCGAAATCCAAAGGCCCGTCAGCAGCGGGTGGCCGCTTATCAGAAGTCAACCACCCCTCCCGGGCAAAGCCTAATCGAAGATTCCCCGGCTCGTCCATCGATTCAATCTGTGAGGTTATGGCTTGTCACGACCCTGAAAAACGGCTCGCGTTCTGGCCACACCCCCCTTCTCGCTGGCAGCCCCATATCAATGCTGGGCGCCGCTAGAACGGATCCATTCAATGCATTCGTCAGGAGGGTCACTACCCAGGAGCAAGGGCTTCTTGACCACTGTAAGTATGCGACCCGAGAGTTTGATTGATCATGTACATCAGCCTGTAGAAGTTGCGAGTCGTGACTGTCTACCTTGGAGGTATAAAAGGGTGAGCTGCGGCATAAGGGGACCTCTCCTCATTCCTTCCCGCTCATCCCTTTGCTTGCATGGCCAGACTGCAGTCTGCATCCTGTAAAGTGTGTGAATTTCTGCATGATCTGGCCAAGGCCCATGGCTGACTATGTTGGTATGCAGTCCTGCGTAGCATGGCGTTACTAGAGATGATCCGCTTGCCAGAGATGGAACTGATGGTGCAAGGCGAAAGAACAGCATTCTGCAAGGTGATGACGACCTACTGGGTGCAGTCAGCCCTCGCCGATCCAGGGATGCTTTCTTTGGTACTCCTCTGGTCAATGCGACACCTTGCCACTGTACGAGAGGAGGGCTACAGTGACCCTGTAATGACGATGTACAAGATGGAGACGATACGCCAGCTCAGCGCAACAATAACCAGAGAGGGGAACAACATCAGTAACCTTACTATGGCCAAGAGCCTCTGCTTGGCATCAGACGCTGTAAGAGATCTCCATGTTCCCAAGGGCCAAGACCGCATGCCCAGGTCCAATCGAGTACGAACAAAAGGTGCTAACACAATCATCTAAGAATCTGGTCGGAGAACCCGAAGTAGCTGAAAAGCACTTGAAGGCCGTGGAGCGCATGGCTCTTCTATGCACTGGCGGAACAAACTCAGTTGAGGGAGAAGGGGATGACTCGCTCAATGATCTGCAAATGTTCTTTAGCGAGAATGATCAGTCGCCTGCACACATGGCACAGGTCAACCTCAGCTTCAAATCAGAGGAATCAGAAAGGGCAGGAGGAGTAAACCGGAACATGGACTATGTAATACGTCCAACGAGGAGTCCGACAAGAGCTGCTTAGATTACTAATCTCCAATCTTATCACTCCCAATTTGATGCTATTGATGGTATCATTGCTTTTGTGTCTCGTTCAAGTAATATGCCTACGTGCCCCTGTGCAAAACCAATTTCAAAGTAAGTAAGTCAACCTACCCACTTTTCGCCACCCCAAAAATGCCTCCTAGCCTCCTTATTATTATCCTACCCCTATTGTTTAAATAACTGTAATAATTATAATTTTGTCTAAATACACGTTAGTGTTACGAGCTGGACAAGGCAACCAACTGTGGCACAAAGCAAAAGCTTCGATAATGATGACTCCGGTCATCATTGTCCCTTGTTCTGCATATATAGCTACGCGCCCACAGTGACAAGTTGCGGCGGGCGTAACAGTTAGTTACTTCTTTTTAACATACTTATTTATCGATATATAATAATCTTACATATTGAATTTAAAGTACGGTAAGTATTTAATATTATTTTAAACGGTCCCTTTTGTTACGAGCAGGTCAAGGCAACCAACTGTGGCACAAAGCAAAAGCTTCGATAATGATGACTCCGCATCATTTTCCCTTGTTCTGCATTATATAGCTACGCGCCCACAGTGACAAGTTGCGGCGGGCGTAACATGTGGGCCCCACAAGGGCAAATGTGGCAGCAGACACAACAAACCATTGCGCTAAATGCGCACCCGGGCTTATTCAGCCAAAAGATACGTAATGAACAGATCCCTCTGTTAATTCTGCTGCACTTAAGTACGTATGCACGGCTCGTAAGGCTTACGGCATAGCCTAAGCCCACACAGGGCTCCAGCCTGTGACAAATATAAAGGCGGTAGAGGTCACGGCCCAGACGGGCTATAGATAAGAGGAATACCTTTATTCTATAAGAATAATATAGAAAGGGATTAAGAAAAGTTAATTCCCCTTGCTCTGATTATAATAATCTACGGGCAATAAGAGCCCGCTAGACCCTAGGCAAGATATTAAGGAATAACCTTAGTTATTTAGAAAGATAAAAAAGAGCTTTAATAAGAAGGATTGCCTATTAGCTATATTAGAGTATAAAATCCTTTAATTCTAGGCCTTAAATCACTATATAGCTCTAAGAAAGAAGAGAACCGTCTAAATAGATTATAATATTAAGTTCGTAAATATTAAGGATATAAAGAGAGCTTAAGAGGATACTAGCGACCGTCTCGTTTATCCTAATCGACTTGTAAGGATCGATTTACTTAATAAGGGCAGTAACTATATTATAGTGGCAGTAGAAGCTAGTTAATTAATTGACTAGAAGTTGGTGGTGATGTTTTGAGACCATGTTGATTGGGGTGGCGAAAAGGGGGGGATGGCGAAAAGTGGGTAGGTTGACTTAGATAACTACATGTATGCGCGCAACGTCTTATGAGCCCACACCCTGCGGGTAGGTGAACAAGCCCTTGGGATCTAACTTGGCTTTGATGCTCTTCAAACGCCCCAGATTATCCCGGTAGTACTGATCTTGAGCATCCGCGTTGCTAAGCTGAGAGTCGGCGTAATTGACGTAACGCCCCCAATCACTACTTGCCATCGTATTTGTTACCGAAGACATCCACTTGCTGAGGAGCTTGTACCCGGATGTGGGGTACGCGTTACCACCGGAAGAGTCGTAGAACTGCCACATGAGCACCTTGTCCCGGTGAGCATAAGAGGTCGCTGTGTTTGAGACTTGAGCTGTCTTTGTCCTGCCACCGTGGACATCAATTAGGACGAACCATCCACTGTCCGTCGACTTTGCTGTGTTCTGGTAGTAGTCGGCAAAAGCAGTGAAGCCTGCGTTCGAGACCGTCTTGGTCATGAGACTCGAGGCATAGAAAGTATCTGACAGGCTCTGCGGTCCAGTTTCGTCAAGGCTTGCTGTACCGGCGTAGTGCTCCAGCTGACCGATCCAGTCAGTCTGGGTAATAGTGGCGCCACCGACGTCGATGCCCAGGGGAGACAGGAAAGTCTTGAGCACGGCGCGTGTCTGGTCCGCAGTTCCGTAGTAGAGGCCGTCAAACGCGGTGCTGTCAGCGGTGACGACGGCCCGCATGTTCAACTCGAGAGGCTTGTCATTTTGGGCATACTTTTGAAGAGCTACAAGAGCCGCAGCCAGCTTGTCCTTCTTCAATGCGGATGTGACCTTAAACCAGGTGACGACCGAGGGAGCTGCGAAGGTGTTGAACTTGAACTCAGTAACGATCCCAAACGAAGACCCCGCACCACGGAGGGCCCAGAAGAGATCCGTGTTCTGGGTTTGCGATGTTTTGACGACCTTTCCGTCGGCCGTGACTACGGTTGCCTCAACGATCCAGTCTTCCGCAAGGCCGTACATGGAAGATGAGAACCCGAAGCCTCCATGCAAGACATGTCCCATTCCAACACTGTCAACATGACGTTAGCCTCATTTCCAACTAGTCAAAATACTTTGATGCTTACCCAGGACATGATCCATGCGAGATAGCCCGACCTCCCTGGTCAAACAGCTCCGTCGCGATGTGCCCGAGCCGCGCGCCTGCTTGCACCGTCGCAGTGTTATCAGAGTTCAACGTGACGCCGTACATCTCGTCCAACCATACAACAACATGACCGTTTTCGCCACCGAGTCCTGCGGATGAGTAACTGTGACCACCGCTTCGGGCCGTGACCTTGAGATTGTACTGCGCTCCGCACTTCACGGCAGCCTGCACATGGCTGACATCGGTAGCCGTTACGATAACGGCCGGAGTATACTGCAAACGAGAGTTGTAGGGCCGAATGTCGTCGGACCAATCCGAAGATGAGGGTACGGCGACTGGTGCCTTGGCGGCGTTGAGACAGCCCTGGACTGTGTTGTTCGATGTGCCAGGCTTGCTTGCTGCTTCAGGTAACGGCTTGGATACGGCTAAGGGGATGCCGCCAAGTGCCAAGGAAAGAATGATATTCGACCGCATGGTATCAATGAGTGTAGGTGAGCTTGGCTCGTGAGGTGGAATTCACAATGCCTATCCACCATGCCTTGTAGGTTTATATGTCGCTGAAGGGACCAGGGCGTCTGTTCCTGGTGCTACGAGTCCACACCTGTTCGCCTCCACGGGAGCGGTAAGGATTCGGTAGGGCCGCTCATCATCTCTTTGATCTTTGAACACGATCCGAATTAGCTTCTCCACGGGGCCATCTGGATTTGTGGATTTTCTGGGGATCAGATCAGACATTGCAAAGAGGCGCCAAATCCCGAGGTGATGAATGGTCAATGTCTGGGGCCGTAGTCGCAAATAGTTTAGCCCGGAGCCGATCCATTTGCATCGACGGAAACGGCCCAATACCAAACTGGTCGCTGATGATAGATCCAGTCCTTCCAAATACGAATCTCCAGGTGCCCATAAGCGCCGCAAGGTGGCAGTGAGGCACTGGTGGCTAAGTTTCGGGAGGCCATATCACCGTTCCAGATAGGAGGTTGTCTCAGGCACTCCTAGGCCGTAGGCAATCTTGAATTCCTCGGACCTACCTCAGCACTAAGCAATAAAGGAGCCCATGTACCGCGGACATACTTGCGTGTTTGCTGAAGGCCTAGGTACACGTAGGCATCACCTTCATGGCTTGAGCATGACCTTATGGTCTGAAAACTTCGTAAAGCTCTCGCAAATTGAGGTGCTTGCCAAACGCTAGTGCTTCAAACCGTGACACAATAATGGAAGACTCAAAGGAGGTAGGAGTTTCGGGTTGCCTAGCAGAGGAACAAGCCAGAATTGTCAATTCCATCATTGATATGGTCAATGCCAATAAATCCACTCGCAACCGTGACCTTCAAAGATATTTATTCCAACTTGAACATGGTTTCAGTCAAGGACTTCCAAAAGGCGATCGTGCCAAGTATAAAATACCGGCCTTCTGTCAATGACCGCGCGTAGGTTAACAAAATGACAATTCTAAATATGTAATGATGAAATATTTAACGTACATGCATAGCGAGTTGCCCATCATAGCGAGTCGCCCACTTTCAAATACCCTCCAGCCCTTTGTGTAAGTCAATTAAGCCGCATCGTACGAAATCAATTGGAACTACTCATCAGCCTCTTCTTCAGAGGTCTCCCAAACTACCTGACATGTTCGTACGTTATGTCCAGTCTTTCCGCAGTTACCACATCGCCGCCCGCGCGATTCACCCCCCTCCGTACGAGCACCCTCCTAACGTATATTTTTGCCTCTAGCATCAATAACCCCTTTCTCTGCCCGGATTACCTCGGCCTCAGCTATATTAAGTGACCCTCCAAGACGCAGTTGGGTTTTTTTAGCCCTCCGGCGCTTACTTAGTATCTCATTTGCCGTACGAAGCCCGCGGCACTCAGCTTCAACAAGAGCTAGTTTATGTGCTAACTTGCTAATACCTTTAGCTTGCAAGTCAACAACTTCGTATAAATGTGTTAGTGAGCTATGTTGATGGCTATGAATCCTTTTCTTAAGTGAATCAGAGCTTCGTACGGCGTCATGTGCTGTGGTTGGTGTCTTTGGGTCCCAGGAGCCCTGGCTGCTTGGGCGTGAGTTGGATGGTGTTGGCGTCTTTGGCTTAAAATCAAGGCGGGAAACAACTACTTCTGAGTCAAAGGGTACAAGGCCAGCCTTTCTAAAACCAGCTCGTACGTTTCCTTTACTTATTGAAGTAAAAAAGGCTGCTTTGAAGGCAGGAAAGAAGTCGTCCTTGGTAACATGCGTAATCTGCATCCCCATCATCTTCTCGATTTCCTTGCCGTACGAAGCTTTTAGCGGACCAAAACAGCCAATATAAAGAGGGTGAAGTTCGTGCGATGAATGGGGAGGCATGAAAAGAGTAATAATGCCGTGCTCCTTGCAGTAATCGTCGAATTTGGTCGATTTGTGGCTATTATGGCTATTAAGGATCAGGAGCCGCTTAATACCCTTCGTACGAGATTATATATATTTTTTAAAGTGCTCTAGCTAATCTAGGCTAATCTTATTTGTAGTCTATCTATTTTCGCTAGGGTGGATGCGCTATTCGGGGGCAAATTGGCCATTAGTATACCACGAGAGGAGGTAGTATTTGCCCTTAACGATAACGTATGGAGGCAGCGCCTAGCCATCCGCATATACACCCTAAATAACAGAAACCCATTCGCGGTTACTAGGCTGCTTTATACGAGGCCTCTTACGACGATTAGAGGTTGTGATAACCTTTACGTACGATAGCATTCCCATTAAGAAGCCCGTCTCGTCAAAATTATAGATATTGTTATCGTATATTCCGTACTTTGCAATCGTGTTTCGTATGAGGGCAAACCAGGCTTGTATAATTGCAGGATCCTCAGCTAATGCCCTCTGATAGTCGATTCCACGTCGAAAACGCGTCTTTAGTTGTGGTTGGTGTCGTACGAAGTTCTCTGCCTATTGCGGTCCGATACGCGTCGCGTTGCGTTCGTTAAGGAGGCAATCGGCCATATCTCGTAGGTCGTCAAGTTGCGGTGGAAATCCTCCATCGATCAGGTCAATAACTCGTTCAAGAATCACGGTTTCTTCTAAAGAAGTTATTTTCTTTGAATTCGTATAAGTTTCGTATTGAGGTAATAGGCTAGCGCATCGGTCGCGAAGTGTTGTTCTTAGGACGTTATAAATAGAGGCTGCTTTTTGTACGGATAGTTTTAGGTCTTTTTTGATTGCTTGAAGTGCAAGGATAATACGACTTTTGTTTGAAGAAGAACTCATTATCGTACGTAAAGAAAAATGGTTGTTAAGATGGAAGGTAAGGAAGGAAAGGAAAGTGGGCGACTCGCTATGCATGTACGTTAAAGGAGATCTAAAAGTAAATAGTCTTAGACCTTAAGTTTATACAGTAACGTATAAAGAAGAACGCCGATAGATTAAGGATTAGAGGACTAACTTTAAAAGAGGGGGATAGCGCCTATCTCCTTCGACGCAATATTAAGATAAAAAGACCAAGCGATAAATTAGATTATAAAAGACTTAGACCTTTCGAGATTGTTAAAAAAGTCTTACTAGTTAATTACGAACTAAGACTCCTAGGCATAATAAAGTGTCACCCGGTATTCTATATCTTACTCCTCGAGCTAGCACTACGAGGCTCGTATACGAACGATTATATTGTTATATAACTAAATCAACTAGAGTATGAAGTCGAACAAATTATCGACTATAGAGTTAGGAACGAGATACGAGAATTCCTAATTAAATAGAAAAACTATGGATACGAAGAAAACACAAAGGAACTGTTGGTATCACAGGCGTGATACATTTCCTCATGAGGGTGTAGCCCAGTCTTACCACACGCACCACAGCGTCTCCGAGTCGGCTGGGCTCTCTTTGATGGACCCCCCTCCTCATCCTCTCGAGGTGCTGGACGTTTACCTTTTTGTTTCTCTTCCAGCAAACCCTGAGATTCCTCTATACTAAGTGCCCCTCCAAGCTGCACACGCGACCTTTTAGCCCTCCGACGCTTAGCAAGTGCTACATTCGCATCCTCAAGGGTACGAAGCCGATTAGTCAAAATAGTGATTGAGTGCGCCATTGCCTGCGCACCCTTTGACAATTGCTCAACTACAGCAATAATTGGTGTCGGTGAGCTTCCTCTATGAGCAGAGATCCGGCTTTTGATAAAGTTGGACTGCGAGACGGCTTGTTGTGGGTTAGAGGGCGTTTGCGACTGCCAAGGTGGTGGTGTTGAAGGGTTGGCCATAGGAGGTGTAGGCGTCCGTAAATGCACATCAAGCTTTTTGATGACATAGTCTGGGTCCCATGGTGAAATTCCAGCGCCTTGGAAAGCAGACCTGATGTTTTCCTCATTAAAAACCTTGTTGTGGGCCTGGTGGAAGGCAATAAAGAACTCAGACTTGGTAATGTGATTTATGGAGGCTCTGATAAATAGGTTGATTTCATCACCGTATGCGCGTTTCAAAGGCGAATAAAGCGCAATATCCAATGGCTGTAATAGATGCGACGAATGTGCAGGCATACTGACCCTTACAATATTGTTCTGCTTGCAGTAATCGTCGAATTCGGCCGATAAATGGCTCTCATGGCCGTCGATAATGAGCATCCGGTAGACGCCCTTAGTTCGGTTCTTAGTATGTTTGTCGAAGTGTTTAATCCAGTCAAGACCCGTCTGATTATCCGTCCATCCATTAGCAGTGGGCTTGATGACCCAGTTGCCCGGAAAACCTGATTCCGTGGTCCAACTGGCAAGGTGATATGCGCCCTTGACGATCACGAACGGAGGGATGCACCACCCGCCCGAATTGATACATTCAATGACTGTAGCCCATTCACGGTTACCCGGCTGGACAGACTTTGCTTTGCCGCGTCGATCGGTGCGTGTTACCACTATTGATGCGGTGGTCATGCCCATCATGAAGCCAGTCTCGTCGAAATTATATAGGTCCTCCTCTTAGATTCCATACTTGGTCATCATGTTGCGTAATAACACAAACCACTTTGAAATAACCTCTGGGTCTTCTTGAAGAGCCCTTTGATAATCGTATGGACGATTAAACTTTGTTTTCGGAGCAGGCTGTGAGTCCACAAACCGCCTGGCCCATCGCTTGCCAACAGGCTCGGCATTACGCGCTCGCAGCAGGAGATTGGCCATATCTTCCACACCGCCAAGGCGCAAAGGAAATCCTCTGGAATCCTGTTCAATAACGTATTGGAGAAGTGTTTTCTCTTCGATCGGATCGAGTTTATGTCGTTAGGGTTGAGTTTGTTCGCGTCGCGGTCGGTTGTTCATTCTATCGGCTAAGGTGCTCTTCGGGATACCGTAGGTCTTTGCGGCACGCGAAATGCTCAAGTTACTACCTGCAGCGCGTGTCGATCGGATCGCTTCAATCGCAAGAATGACTTTGTCTTCTTGGGTGTAGATCGGCATTATGGTTGTTGAGATTTTACGCGTCAAAGGTTTAAGTGGTTTGGACATAAGTGTGTTTAGAAAAAAACGTCCGGCTGACTGGTCCGGCCGGCTGACTGATGAACCACGTTACCCCTACTAATAAACCTCCCCTTATACGAGAGCGACCATTGTTTGATTACGGCCTCCTATTATTATCTGGCTAACTACTATTATCTCCCTCCTTAGAAAGTAGCCGCCCTAGCGTTAGCTAATTCTATGGAGTTGGTGATCCTTAAGGGCAGCGCGACCTTATTACCGAGCTCCTAGCCGATATATTATAAGATACGCGACCTCTTGTATACGATTACCTTAGTATGGAGCCTATGCTATATCTTACTCGTTATTTCCCTAAAGGAATAATAAAAACCCAGCGGACTACTCTCCTACGACTTTCTCTAGAGCATAGCCCCTCTCCTCCTAACGAATAGTCCCAACAACCTTCCTATCCTATAATAGAGTAGTTTAATAGTGCTCTTTAGCTTGTTCTACAGGTTGTTGGGACTAATTAATAGCTAATAACGGCACTCCTCCGATAATAAGAGTATGTCTGTTAATGGTAAGAAATATGGGTGTTACGACCCAACATGAAGACCAGGGCGTGCCCCGCTGACGCCTAGCGGCTACGGCGCATTATATATGCAGGACGGGACCGAACATTGGGGAAACCCCAGGAACGGAAGAACTATGGTACAAGTCACGTGATGATAAGAGATATGATAAGGGATAAGGATATGTTGGATATGCGACATATCCAACCGAGTCAAGGATATGTTGGATATTCGACATATCCAACATATCCAGACAAAGTGGACTGTTCAGCACTGCTCAGTTAGGATCGGACTTGTATATAAGGATGGACTCGAGCTGGGCTCTAGGACAGACTTTCCATAGCTTCTTCAGCAATTAACTTCGTATCAGGATTAACATCCGCTTTCAGCTACTACCTTGACAAGACTACGATTGATCACCGAAGCCTTACCCACCCTTACGATTGACAGACATAGTTTCCTTGAAACTATTCCACGACTACGATTACTGTTACCAGTTCCGCAGCCTCAACTTCTGCAAACTACCCCTACGACTAGCTGGCCGTAACAATGGGGTCCCTAAGTTAACCTACTACCCTATTACCCCCACGGCAATCCTCCCCTTAAAGCGAAGCGTCTTTCTGAACTGCAGCCTCCTACTATACTCTAAGTAACCGATCCTCCTCTCTTCCTATAACCGAAATCCTAAACCCACCGATTCCTGGCGATCTAGAGTAAACCTATGATGCCCTCTTCGACCGAGTTAATACCTTTATAAGAGCTAATGGATTTGGTATTGTAAAGCGGAATAGGTATAAAGCTCGAGGCCGAATCATTCAATATACCTTCTAGTGTAATCGGTTTGGCGAGCCTGGGCCTATATAAGGTGCTGGTATTCAATAGCGTAAGTTTCGTAAATACGGTTATAAATGGTAAGTTATTGCCGAGGCTTAAGAGGAGGGTAAGTAGCTCTTACATTATTACCTAGACCCCCAGCATAGTTAGTATAATTATGGCCTTAGCCTTGAAGCTACTGTATACCCTTTACATCGCAGGCTTACCTAGCCACTTTAGGATGCTATTAAAACTATAAGCCGACGAGTTGGGATTCGGGCTCGCGATGTACGTGCTATTGTCTAGGAGCAGTTCCTAGAGTCCTTATTCACCTAGCGAGATATCTACAACGTTAGGGCTTGTATAAACCGAGAGAAACTAGCGGGATATTCGCTAACTACAGTATTAATTAAGCTATTTGATAAGCAAGACATCCTATACGTGGTGAAATGGGTAGACGCCGAGCTAAACCGCCTTATTGGCCTTATCTGGACCTTTCCCTACTGTCTCTAAATGTGGAAGCGATTCCCTGAGGTGATTAGCTTTGATAATACCTATAATACTAATCGCTTTAAGCTCCCTCTCTTCCAAGCTACTGGGCAGACCTGCCTTAGATCTATTTATAACGCTGCATTTGGCCTTATCGATAACGAGAGACTAGAGGGTTTCCAGTTTCTCTTAGCAGGGATCCGCTAACTCATGGACCAACACTCAGTCCGTTACCCCACTATTATTATTACAGACTACAACAAGCAGATAAAGGCTACACTGAATGAGCAGTTTCCAGACGTTCAGTAACAACTCTACATCCACCACATCAATTCTAACGTTATACTCAGGGCTAAGCAGAAGTGGGTTAAGGACCGCAGCTGTAGCAATAACAGAAGTGGGTCTGATAACGAGGGATATCAGTGTTACGAGCAGGACAAGGCAACCAACTGTGGCACAAAGCAAAAGCTTCGATAATGATGACTCCGGCATCATTGTCCCTTGTTCTGCATTATATAGCTACGCGCCCACAGTGACAAGTTGCGGCGGGCGTAACAATCAGCTACTAATACAAGCAATAGCCACGCTAAATGATAAGGATGAGGCCTATATCAACACATCTGTTGATAAGCCCCCCCTCATACGTATCGTGGGGTCCTTATGATGTGGAAGCTTATTGTTTTTGCTAAGACCGAGCACGCTTTTAAGAAAGCCTGGACCAAGCTCTATAAAGAGTTTAACAACCAACGCCTAATCCTCTAGTACCTCCACACAACATACCTACCTTTAAGAGCATAGTGGGCCCGCTATTCTATCCGAAAATACCAGAACTTTGGTGTTCGCGTCACCTCTAGCACTAAGTTAAGTAATAATAACATTAAGAGTTATCTTTTAAATGGTCTTAGTTACCTATATCGACTTGTTGATGTTATGTAGGACATGATTGGTGACTAGGAGATACGCTTTAGGCAAGCTTGTACTGAGGATAAAGTGCTTATAGGCCGGGAGTATATAGGTACTTGCTTTGAGTACCTAGGCGAACTTCGAACGATGCTTTCTTTGAAGTGTCTTGTATTAATTAGGAAGCAATACCGGCTGGTAAAGAAGGTAATGCCGTCTAGCACGAGGCCATTCCTAGCCCCCCTTGGAGACTGTGGTCCAGACTGTACTGTTTTAATTGAGCTGGGTATCCTATGCTGCCATAAGATCTATTCTTAAAAGTTAGATTTAGCTACTTTCAGTAAATGGGAGGTATACCCTCGGTGGCTTCTTCGAGAGACGTCTTCCTTAGATCCATACCGCCGGATCCTTGACCCTAAGATTGCTGTATCCCTCCGCGGCAGGCCAAAGAACATAGTGTAGCCTGTCCTATCATAACTAGCCTTACCTATAGAGGGCCAGTTAGCCAGATAAGCCCGTACTACCTATAGTAGCTAAGGCGTAAGTAGTAAGAAGCGAGGCCGCCTACCTGGGAGTAAGAATAAGTCGATGCTAGCTGGGCTTATATAAGAGATAAGTTAGCTAAGTCAAAGCTAGATATTAAGCTTATCCTAGCGACAAACAAGGAGCTAGTCTAGTGTTCTTGGTAAGGGGAGGATAACAGGGAATCATGTAAGTGGACGGCCGATGTAGCCTAGTGTTCGGAGGAAACGGAGTCAGTGGGAAATGGTCTGTAGTGACGATGAATCTTTGTAACTACGTCGCAAAAGGTAGTTAGGTAATAGGCCTTTCGAGGGGTTATATAGTCTCTATTTGAGATTTACAAACCTGGGGTATAAGTAGGCTGTAATACGTACTTTTAGAAATCTCAAATCAGAGCTTAGGTTAGAGAAGAGGGCAGGAATAGCCATGTTAGTGCAGTCACCCTCACCGCCTTTATGGGGAGGTATTGTTTTTTTGAGCCAATCAAAAGGTCGAACAGCGACGCCGGTGTAAGGTCGACGCCGGTGTATCAATTTGCGACGCCGGTATATCAATTCCCCTTCTTATAGTCAGAAGTCCTATAAAGTTCGACTATTTAATCGTCGTTATATTGTTACGGCCAGCTAGTCGTAGGGGTAGTTTGCAGAAGTTGAGGCTGCGGAACTGGTAACAGTAATCGTAGTCGGGGATAGCTTCAGGGAAGCTATGTCTGTCAATCGTAAGGGTGGGTAAGGCTTCGGTGATCAATCGTAGTCTTGTCAAGGTAGTAGCTGAAAGCGGATGTTAATCCTGATACGAAGTTAATTGCTGAAGAAGCTATGGAAAGTCTGTCCTAGAGCCCAGCTCGAGTCCATCCTTATATACAAGTCCTGATCCTGAACATGTCCCTTGTCCCTTGGGTCGTCTTGGGTCATTCTGATCCAGAATGATCGTTTAGCCCCCAAGTCGTGTTGGATCATATTGATCCCAAATGATCCTTATCTTATCATCACGTGACTTGTACCATAGTTCTTCCGTTCCGTGAGAGGGTGCCTTGTGTTCCCTTGTGCATGTATGGCGTATCGTAACCGTCGTAAGCCTGCGGGGCAGGCCCTGTTCTTGGTCGTGCATGTTGGGTCGTAACACCAAGACTATTTAACGAAGTGTAATAATCATCCAATTATTACATCCGATCATTACTATTAACGTTATTAGTTCCGCAGCCTCAACTTCTATAAACATACCTCACTATGACTAGCTGGCCATAACAGTATAGTTAAAAAATAGGAAGGCCTCGGAACCTATCTAGTAAAATAAAAAAAAAGGGTATATATTACGGGCTAGACCCGATTAATAAATCCGGGCTAATATCCGGATATTTTAATATAATTAACTACGCGGGCTTTATTATGCCTATGCTCTACCTCTGCGGAAGCTCCGCTTGTAAATCTCTTCTCGTCAGCTTAGATTCTATATATAGAAATCACCTCTACGTGGCCACACGAGGGCTGGGCTCTTAACAGTTTCCAATGCGACACAATCAATGTCCATCGCAGCTTCTTATTTTAGTAGGGGAGTAAGTTCTGTAGAGTTAGCTGCGCATGCACGAGATATTAACGAAGAAGCACACGTACTCCGTAGAAGATAGGTGCCAATCGATAATAGCAACTCCAGCATGGACCGCTGCAATACCCATGATGTTGCGAGAGCCACATCTAGATCCCCTTCAAGAATGCTGTACCCTGAGGCCCATAGCGTCAAAACGTCGCAAGCCTTCTTCAAACAATGCTGGCTGTCTTGAGGAATGTCATCACAATGTTCCACGCTCCGCAAAACACTCCTAAATGACCGGATAGTTTCTGCGCAAAGAACACCCACAATACTTCGGGTGTCCCTGACGGGATCGCCAGAGTCCCATTCTTGACCTCGCAGCAGGCCAAGCTCGCTCTCACCAGGCCCCAAGTTTGGTTCGTCTAGACTTTCATGAGGATGGAATGACATTGTACCGAGTCGTGAGGTCTGTACATGCGTTGACTACCTTACCTAGGTAAGCAAGTTACCTGACAAAGATGTGAGGTTATGTGTTGTAAAAGAGGGGTATGTGGGCCGAATCACAACATGGCAGATCACGCTGCAGCCGTGCAGGTGAGGCGAATACCTCAGGTGACTGGCTCTGTCCTGGGCGAGCAAATCGTCGAATCTTCCATTTTCTCATGCTACATCTACAGCATCGCGTGAGGCATGGCGGAACTTGTGCTTGGCGCCATCGGCGTAGTGCCAATTGTCGGCTTTATTCTTCAGTCCTATAAGGCTATATCCAAGACGTTCCATGACTTTCAACACTACTCAGCCGTCGTGAAGAGAACCCGATTCACTCTCACGTTCCAGGAGCGATTGTTCAAGAACAAATGCCAACTTCTACTGCAGTTTGCGCACCGCGACGATCAAACAGTCGAAGAGATGTTGGACGATCCCAACCACCCCGAATGGACGAGCCCAGACCTAGAACGGGTGATCACAACGTGGCTGGGTAGCAGCCGCGAGGCATATCTGTGCACCATGAAGGCTTGCTCAGAAGCGCTCGGAAGTCTCCAAAAACATGCATGGAGTTCGAGGCCTTGTATGACCAGCAAAACACGGTATGGACTGGCAATTGCTCATGCATTGACAAAGTGTCTGACTAACTCACTGTACTGATGTATGATTTGTAGGGCGAACGATTGAAGGACACCATTCGGCGCCTGCGGAAGGTACAAACTGGTTTCAAGATTGTCATCAACGAGACCGAATACTGCCGAGTAATAAGAGATCTGAAAGAGTCCACCAAGGCTCTCACCTTGCTCAGAACACAGATTCTGCATCTTGAGAAAGGGGAATTGTCGATCCGCGTAAAGACGAGAGCGCCTCCGCCAGGTGAATGGGCAGGCTTGCTGAAAACGCGCCGCGCATCACAAGCCCTCCATGAGGGGCTGTCAGAGGCCTGGAATTGTCGACAGGTAGTGCACGAGAAACATTTTGTCAAGCCCTTTACCGGGAGCGAGCACTGTTGCAACGAGATACAGCTAAGCCTTGCTGTTGCCTGTCAAAGCAACTCTCAAGAGACGGTATCCAGCACGCTTGTAGAGCTTATCGTACGATCCGAGGCTCTGAATCATCCCAAGCTACCGTCTACAATGCTGCCTGCCGGCCAAGAGATACCCAGAGCGATCAAGCTGTCAGGGGTGATTCAGGTTAAAGAAACGGCCTTCTCGACAATCGCGAATAACATCAGCCCCCCGCAAATAGACTCTAGATGTAGTTCGTCTTGTGATCTTCGCGACACGAAAGACTTCTGCTGGGAACTGACAAAGGGGGCTCGGCTGCTATCGCAGAAGGCTATCGCAGCATGTATCGGCCATCTCGATGTCACTACAGATCCAGGCTATCGGCATTCGTTCTTTCCAGGCCTCAGTGATGTGACCTGTCGCAATCAAGCGGTGGCACTCTTACAGATACTTGACCCTTCCACACGCGACTTCGTGTCTGCTGTTGACAAGCTCAAGCTTGCCCGGTCTCTTGTTCTAGCGATTCTCAGGTTCCATTCGACGCCATGGCTCAGCGACTTATGGAGACTGCAAGATCTCTCGATCTTCTCACAGAGTCAAGGGGACTTGCCAAAAGCACTCGAGACACTACATGTAGGCGTTGGACTAACGCAGAAGAACGCAGACCGGCAAGTAGCTGATTTTGCAGAAGACTTCCGGGCAGCAGCAAGCTACCGAAGTACGGGAGTCGATTATGACCAGCTCCTCTGTGGTATTGAAAACCTCAGCTTACACAGCCTCGGAGTGGCGTTGATCCAGATTAATAAGTGGCAAATGCTTGAAGTCGAGACCCTGGACGACATTGTCAAGGTCCGACGAATGTCAAGGCAAGGCTTTTCTCTCGGACCGCAGTACGGCTAGATCACAAGGAAGTGTCTTTGCTGTGACTTTGGCCATGGCTACGACTTGACCAAAGCGGAATTGCAGGAAGCAGTGTATAACAACATTGTAGGCGTGTTGGAGGAGATGATAGCTGTCTTGGAACTCAGCGAGGAGAACGACAGTTATTTCTGATTGAGCTACCTTACGAGAGCACTCATTCCTACTCAAGGCCGCACATTATGATAGCTACAAGAGTCCGGTTAGCGCACGGCATCTTGAACCCTACTGCAGTCAAACACTCGTCCTGCAACGGCTGTCGATGCGCCATCCTGCTGCTTTGATAGTCTTGCTACCATACCCTCACTCGTTACCAGTCTTGTGATTCAATCAAATGTCAGACTCCAGCCTGAAGTAACGCCAGTGTAGACGGCAGAAGAAGAGAATGGCACAGAGCCGGCCATTACGACACTCAACCCTAGGCAGCTGACCATCTTCCCCAGGGGCAGTCTCCACACCATGCAGAATACAGGTATGTTTATGGTTTGTGACGGGGCGGCACGAACAAGTTCTTGGCTTATTGTAACCCCTTCGTACAGGGTGCGGCAATGCTATGCTTATTTCAGCCCTTGACTCCGATGACACGGGCACTTTGAGTATCCTCAACGGCCTGTTCAAGTTGACCAATTACATGGCTCAGGCTGCCTTTGGAGATGCTTCGGGATCAAATGGTACCGAAGGGAGTGGGAGTCACGTCCCTGCTGTCGGCACCGGGGCTGCTCCCGGATCCGAAGAGTGCTTGGCTAAGTCCGGCTTGAGAAAACACTAAAGGAAGGAATTAGAATGAGGATGATGCCAGGAGTTCGAAGGCTAATCAGTACTAAGTAGTCGTACTATGACGTAATGACAGCGCATCCTGCTCATTTTTGTCTGAGCAGGTTTTGCCAGCACATCAGTGCACTCAATCGAATTTTCGTTTCGACAGTCTTTGGAGTGATAGTGAACATCATGCATAGATTTCACTCCTTCTAAAGAGCACCTGGCAAGCTTCTCCAGAAGACTCTAGTAGACACAGTCAGGAATTTAAAGGTTTGGATTAGGACATCTACAGTTCGCACGAAATGCTCATAGAACGAATTGCACTACTCTAGTCTCCGAGGCACCGTGCTAGAGTCCATAAGGCAAGTTCACGACCGTAGTCAGTGAGTCAGTGGAAGCTCGCAGTGTTGCATTGTGTTTCTTTCTGGCTCGTATCCCGCCGAAGAGAACAAGCGTTGGAGCTGTGGATAAGTCCTCAAAAGCTTTGTGAAGCTGAAGTCCTCATTGTAATCAATATGTGGGTATCCCACATAAAGGCTTGGCAGGCGAGCATGGAAGCGTCAAGAGCCTGGCCTGCAGTGCCACTGAATTCGCAGGTTGGCGAGACTTGGCTAAGCGATGGCCAATCTAAGGTAGTCTACTATTCGGCGGACGTTCCTGCCTATAAAACGACGTAGAGGCAAAGTCTGGAGCATAGCCCTAAAGAGGACGATCTGTGCCAGGGAAGGAGCTATCCGGATTCCATGGGGAAGGCCATCTTTAACAATATGACTAGTTTTTCTATAGGACGTGACGATGCTACTCAGATAGATTGCTCCCCCACTCTAGTGCAACTCAAGATACTGCAAGCACTGGGGTTGACCCCGAGCCGCGGAACCGAAAAGCTCCCGACCAGTAAAGAGCTTATTCTATCAACTCCAGTTTCACAAACCTAAAATAGCTGTCTACAATTCTCGGTTGCCAAAAGGCTTGTTTGCAATTGAGAGTGACCTTGCATCAGAAATTACACCCGAGAGACTTAGCAATGAAATTAAGGTTATTTTCGGAGCGTGGGTTTGAACTCCTACCTTCTCTGTGAGGACTAGAGCCCTATACACCCTGTCCATATGCGAGTCACTGACTTAGACCACTCCGACGGAAAAGCAATTCAAGAACGTTAGCAAGAAGTTGCGACTCGTGGGTCTGCTCGTGCCATCGCGGCTGTTCGGCGCGCTTGACAAGGCTTGAGGGTGGTGCCCCAGAGAACAAGGTTCGATGTTGGAACCCACGCGCAATCCGCGCATTCGTTCCCTGAGTCGAGATCCTGTAAGCGATGTTGCAATCTACATTCTTCAAAGACTAGTATAGTATGCCACGAGATTCATGTTCCCGGCCCGGGATGACGCTGTCACCGCAACCGCAACTAGTCATATCCCAAATGGATCATGGATGGGTTTAGTGAGACCCACGGACACTTGGAATCAGGAGATTGTATAGAGTTCTGCAGTCATCTTGTTAGATTTAAGAGCTTCGTAGTCCGCTCTATTATCCGTAGTATCCTCGTCAACTAGTCTAACTATCACTCATAGACGGTGCCAGAAGGCCAAACTTCTAGCAGTCGAGCATTTTTCGGCGTCCACTCTTTTTCACCATGAGTCCTTCTCTTCTCAGCACCTTTTCGGCGCTTTTACTTGCTTCTTCCCTCTTACTTCCTGTAAATGCCGCGGCGCAGTCTTACAACCTCACCCAGGAGGCCATCAACAACGGCGACGCCCTCGCTCAACTTGCGGCAAAGGCTCTCGCCAATTCCAAAGCCCCTACACCAACGTCTGGGAGGATTTGCAAACTCAACATGCACGCCGGATAAAGTTCGCGTCCGTTGAGAATGGAGGACGCTTCCCGCAGAGCAGCGAAGAGCGTTTGTAGCCGCCATCGAGTGTATGCAGAGTTCCCCGAGCTTGTATAAGCTGGGAGTGATGCCTGCTGCGAAAACGTTGTATGACGACTTTGTGGCTATCCACCTCAAGCAGACTCCTGTCATTCACAGAACGGTAAGAGTGCATCTATGAATCGTATTGTGCCGATGGCTAACGTTCCTCTTGTTCCTCTGCTCAGGCCAACTTCCAGCTCTGGCACCGCCTGTACACCGATGTGTTTGAGCAAAAGGTCCGCGAATGCGGTTATACTGGTAAGCTCTCGCAATTTCAATAGCGTCTACCAGTAAAACATCTGACTTGATTTGTCAGGCACATTCCCCTTCTGGGAGTGGGGTCACGATGCTCAAGACCCTGCCCTATCACCCGTCTTTGACGGATCAGACACTTCCATCGGCAGCAACGGCGCCTTTGTTCCCCATGACGGTCTCGAGATTCATCAGGCTTACACCAACGTAACCCTCAAACTTGAGCCCGGATCCGGCGGCGGCTGCGTCATGTCGGGCCCCTTCTCCAACATGACCGTCAACCTCCCCGTCGTTCAGAACACCGACACCCCCCTCGCTGCTGACCCGCGCTGCCTGCAGCGCGACCTAAACAAGCACGTCTCTTCTCGACACACCACGTTCCGGAACACAACGCTCCTTCTGACTGAGCACAATACGCTTGAGTCGTTTTGGGGTTTCTTGAACGGCGATGATCGCTACATCAACCCCCTTGAGCTAGGAGTTCATGCTGCTGGTCACTGGCAGCTCGGAGGCGACTCTGGCAACAACTTCTTCATCTCTCCGGCTGACCCTGCTTTCTTCTTGCACCACAGCCAGATTGACCGCGTTTATTGGATCTGGCAGATTCTCGACTGGGAGAACAGACAGGATATCTTTGGTACTGTCACGATGCAGAATGTTCCGCCGAGCCGCAACGGTACTTTGGACGACCTGGTTGATCTTCGCCCTTTGGCCGAGCCAAGAAAGCTGAGGGACCTGATGAGCACGGTTGGAATTGGCGGCTCTCCTTTCTGCTATGTCTACGAAGGGTAATTGCTCTTGTGACATCAGATGGAGAGTGGGCCAACACATGACATTTGTTCAAGGGCCTAGACTGCCCGATAATTATTCTCCTATGTACTTTGAATACTTCAACCATAATTCATCTTTCTTCAATGCCTCCATATCCTCGTCCCTCAAACATATTGCGAGTGCGATGCTGCCATCCGATGCCTTGGGAAGGAGGTACCCAAGGCTTTCCACGGGTCTAAACTGCGGTCTCCGGACCGACTCAGGCTTGCCAAATCCCAGCCCAAAGTCGTGCTCATAGAGGTCGAGTTTCGCCCACGAACTGAAGGCCAAGTCTCTGTCGAGACGAAGGGTCCCAGTGAAAGAGAAGACACTCTTATCGGCTGCCTGATCCATGAGCGTCGCCAATGCTTGCACTCCATAGCTCAAGGCGGCGGGGTTCACTGTCGATCGGAGTTGAGATGCTGCTTCCCCTAGGGGTCTCTCGGCGAGGTTCCTGATCGCCATGGAGTTGTTCGTCATGCTTTGTATGAGTGCAGGGAATGTTTGAGGGATGTCCATATATCCTCGCACATTGATGGCTCGAGCGAGTTTAGTTTCCGCGTCATGTGCTAGGCGACTCGCGCGAATGCGACTGATTGACTGCCAGATGAAGGCGGTGATAGCATCATCTGTTGTGATGTAGCCCGACTTGACTGTTTCTGAAGCCATTGACTTGAGGGCTGATAAAGAAGCTGACGAGAAGTCAAAATAGGCCCAGCTGCATGTGGCAGGTGCTGTAGCTGGAGTTGCTGATGGCTTAATGATCATCGCATCGGTCTCGGGCCCGCCCTTGTAGTCTTCGAGGAGGGGAATGATATTGTGGCGCGTCAGGTTTCCAGTTGCTACTTCCTCCTCAGTGAAAGATTCACCCTTGCACGCCTTGGATAAGAGTTTGATGAGTTGCCCTTGCCCGGTGCCATCTAGTACTTGATGATGGCCGAGGAACGCTAGAATGAGCCCGCCTTTGATGAAGGTGGCTTGGGTGATGAAGACTGGCTCTGGCTTGCCTACCAGATTAGAGTCAATCGGAAGAGTTGAGCGAGGACAGATGATGCTTTCGTCTAGCATGCTGAAGGGGAAGTTGGAAGCTTTCATGTCTTTCATCGACGATACTGAGGGGTCGTTTCTCAAATCCTTGATGATCAAGGGCGGGGTAGCTTCATGCGGTGCGATTTTGAAGATACCTGTGTTACCTTCGCTCGCGCCCTCGTTTATGATCTGCCCCGCGACCCAGGGAAAACTCTCAGTCAGCCGCTCGAGACCGCATGACAGAGTTTTGGTGATGTTTGCGTATGATTGCTCATCTTTGACGGAAAAGCAGACCGCTATCTGGGTGTAGATCTTCAGAGCTGGCTGCTGGCCAAGAATCTCGATAGGTTCGTTCATGTTGCTGGAAGTGACTTGCTAGATAGGAGGACTAGAATAGGCAATTGAAGTGTCGGACATGTGAAGGGGTCAGTCGTACTGTTGTATAAATAGTAAAAGTGACTGCTGGGTGAGGTGAGGTCGGAAGGAAGTGGCCGTAAGCCCGGGATCGCATCCTGTGTGGATGATTGGGCGAGACTTGCAGGTTAGGTAGGTAGACCAACATGAACTATTCACAGCATTGTCACACCCACTAACGCTGAAAACCCACTATGAATCATTGTGGCTCAGCGCAATGTCCGCCCCTCATTGGTCTGGGCTTTCTTACATGCACAACTGTCCCCCGTCGCCCACTGAGGTACGGTACTCAGGCTGTGGTGGTTTTGACTTGTAGCACATTCCCTCATGTCTCTATTAGAATCGTACTTATTGTATGCATCGTCGTTGGTATTATCATTATCGCCAATATCCCTCACCCCGCTGCCATCATCGTCGTGCCTCTTTCTTCGAGTTTCTATAGCTATCAGATCGGAATACTCTCTCAAGGGACGAAAGGTTGAGGGTTTTGTTATTTGCCGCCCGGTGTAACTATAGATGCTGACATATAAATCAACAAGTACTAGTTAGTTAACTTAGTTAATTCTATAGTTACTAATAATAGTCAGACTTAAGAAGCTGAGAACTCGATGCCCGGTACGTACCTGCGCACGGGGCATGCGGAGACCAACTCATCGAAGCCTTATTTCCAATCATGGTCCAATCAGGCGAATCGTTCCCGAATTGATCCCGAATCGTTTCTCAATCACCTACCTACGTGATAGACTCATGTTCCCATCATGTTTCTATCCTCAATAAGACTTTGAGAAATGAGAGCAAGGGCTGTGTGAGAGATCACGTGGCAGTCTGTTTCACCTGCGATCAAAATTGATATACCCTGCAGCGAACTTTCTTGACACTTCTTCCACTCTCACAAATCATAGTCCTCATCATCGCCATCATCCATCCCCCCTGACTGGGGGAGTCTTTGGTGTTTTCAACGCCGCATTCCGAACCACACACGCATCAATCAAACTACCCGCACCTCCGTTATATCGACGCCGTCCACTATCCAAACATAGTTCATTATAGTAGATATCCAAATGGACTCCCCGCTGTACTTTGCCAGCCGCACAGGCGCCTTTGACGAATTCGGACCCTGCCACGGCTGCGGCACTTCGAAGACGCACACAAACCTGACCACTTTCGAGTGCTCTCTGTTCGAGAGGCTCAACGCCCAAATGCAAGAAGAATACACTGCAAGGAGCCAGGTAAAAGATCTTGAAGAGTAAAAGATGCCTGTCATCCAATTTCGCTTGTCCGAAATCCAAGGCAATGTTGCCCTCTTAGAGCGGCAGATCGAAAACGAAAGCCGTGGACGCGCCGCAGCCATAAGACGCCGAGACGAGCTCAAGGCCGAGAAGGAGGAGCTTATCACAGTGCTCAGCATGGCCAGAGAAGGTGTGAAAGTAGCGAAAGCTAGCCGGGAAGAGGCAGCAGAGACGGCTGCAGAGATCAAGAACGACATTAGAGAACTCCATGGGATAAGCGATCAGACGGAGAAGGAGCAGTGGATTTACCTACGTTTGAAGAAGCATGCCGAAGAGGAGAAGGTGTTGAGGGCACAGGCTGAGGCTATGTTCGGTTCAAACTGGGAGGAACACGTTGCTGCCCAGATGTGAGGCTGTGAATAGCAAGACCTATCACCTACGAGACAGCTTCTGGCTTTAGGATCGTTCATTGAGTCGAATCCTTCCGGTTCGTTCTGTCTCATTCAAAGCCCTGATTTGCACAATTACCCAGGTACTACCACCAAGCCTGCAAGGCGAGACCATCCGTACCAGCCATCGGCTGATGCACTGGCCGACAGACCCTCATCTTGCTTATTTCCGGGGTATCTCGGAAGTTGAGCGATATCCACATGGCCTGCGCCTGAAGCCGACTTTGATTGGCGACAGTCAGCAGCGGGGATACTAGCAACTACAGCGCTAAGAAGCACTTCCGACCTGCATGCCTGCCACCTGCTCAGGCACTGGACTCAGACAAACCCGGCCAGTCGGCGGGTGAAGCACCGACTTCTCAGGCGCCGGGCGCCGCTCTGACGTCCGGCAAGTCGGCGGGTAGCCACCGACACTGCACTGTGAATGCGATAACGAACACCGCGAGACGCCCTAGGGCGGAAAGGGGACCTACAGTTTGTCAGCCTGCATTCATAACCGTGATGACTCGGAATGAACAACTACCGATAATGCGGGGCATCTTTGAAATACAGATCAACTATATAATCAGAGCATATCTTGGTGTACTCTAGGAGCTTTGTAGACTCAGTCTTCATCATCGGGTTTTCAATCAACACTCACGGCACCTTACAGCTCAATCAAGTCTGTAGTTAGTTATCAGTTTCGCAATCATGGCACAAACACAGACACACGGGACTTGCGACCCTATATTCCAAGAGGTACGCAAACAACTCCAGGACAATATCGACTCCGGGGAAGAAGTCGGCGCTGCCATCGCCGTCAATATCGATGGCAACGACGTTGTAGACCTATGGGGTGGCTATACGAACAAGGAACGCACCAAGCCATGGAACAAAGACACCATTGTCACCATCTTCTCCTCCACGAAAACAGTGCTCAGTCTCGCCATCCTCATTCTTATCGACCGCAAAGTCCTCTCAATCAACGATAAGGTCTCAAAACATTGGCCCGAATTCGCTGCCAATGGCAAAGAAGATATCGAGATCCGCCATATCCTCTCTCACACCTCAGGTGTATCCGGCTGGGATGCCGATGGGCCGCTCTTTTTCGAAGACATATCCGACCTCGACGAAGCTGCAGCGAAACTGGCTACGCAAGCACCGTGGTGGGCACCTGGCACAGCATCAGGGTATCACTCATTCACGTTTGGTCATCTGCTGGCAGCCATCGTCCGTCGCGCGACAGGCACAACGCTTAGAGACTTCATCATGGAAGAGATCGCGAAGCCACTGGGCGCAGACTTCCACTTTGGCGTTTCCGAGAAAGAGCTCCCCCGGACGACGGATGTTATTCCTGCGCACATGCCTCCGATGAGTCCCGGAATGGGTCCCCAGCCGGGCTCTATAACGTTCAAGACCATGAACCCCCGGCCCTTCCCATCGGACTTTGGCAACGGCTCTACCTGGCGTCAAGGCGACATCCTGGCCGGTAGCGGGCACGCCAACGCCCACGCGCTCACGCAGATCCTCTCAATCATCAGTCTCGGTGGCAGCGTCGACGGCAAACGTTTCCTCTCACAGGAGACCATCGACCTCATCTTTGACCAGCAATCCAACGGGATTGATCTCGTTATCGGCGCGCCTATGCGTTTTGGTGTTGGATTCGGCATTACGGGCGAAGGTGGTACAGCGGCTGCTGATTTCCTGCCCAACGGACGTGTTTGCTTTTGGGGAGGCCTCGGCGGATCGTTCGTCGTCATGGATCTGGATAGGAAACTCACCATCGCATACGTCATGAATAAGATGTCCATGTCGGGATTAGGAAACAACGCTGCGAAGTCTTACATCAGGGCCATTTACAAGGCATTAGAGGAGCATTGAGGCGGGACTGTACAGGTTTCTTCCTTGTACAGCATGACCGCCTAGTCTCCAAGGCAGATCATGTACGTTGCTTAGCTAAAGATACCTCACCACCTGCTAGATAGCGTTAATACACCTGTATGAACTGTGTGAAAGGGCGTTAACAAATTATTGAATAATCCGACCTTATTTCCCTTGTATTCGCCTATGGATAACTTCGAAATAGAGCGTGCAGAATTCGAGAAAGACTGGAGACGGATGTGTTGACGCCTCTAGCAGCTGATCGGATAACACCACTTAAGGTAGAACTCTCAGTCACCCTTACTACCTAATTCACCTACGGAATTTATGATCCTGACATCGATGTGGCAAGGACTCAACTCAGGAGTACACCGAGATTGGTGCCTGCGTGAAATCAAACTTCTCAAGTTCCGCACACGGCAGGCAGAAGTTTAGAAACAAGCATTTTTTAGCTCTACCAAGCAATTGTGATTGGTTGGACAAAAGGCCTGGCATGAGCTCGCATTGTTGAATGTCATATACCAGGTGGGCCCAGACCATAGCCGCGAGCCGAACTCTCACTCCAACCGCATATGCTATGCAACTTTTCTCCACGGATATGCACCAACAACACAATGGCAACGTCTGTGGCCCCGCATAATTTTGCCCATTTTCTCGATACGACTGGCTCGGGTTGGTTTCCAGATAAACAGGCAGCAAGTATTCCGCTGCCGCATTTCCAAACAACAGTCAACCCCTCACCTGCGATGTACCTCTTACCTTAGGAAGCAATTTAGTCCAAAAGCGAACGACACTTGGCCAAGAAAAGACTAGACGGATTGTCTTATTTCATAGGCTTCAAAGAGTTTGTAAGTGCTTCAAGATTTTATAAGGGGACTGCGCAAATTTCTATCGTCTCAAGAAATCCTGAGCACAGATTGTGTGCCTGGCATCGATCTTGCATTGATTCTCGCTGTCTTCAATCTAAAACTCTCTGCTTGATATCAAAGTCCCAAAGCTATCTAAAACTCGGCAAATACGAGACAATGTCTCTATCCACTGTTGTACTCATCACCGGAGTCAATAAAGGTGAGCACTCTTCCTTGTCTTGACCGAACCTCAACCCGGTTGAGCAGGTTTTGACGTCTCGATTCTAATGGCGCACCAGGTATTGGCAAGGGACTTCTGGAGAAGTACCTCGCTCGACCCAACCACACTGTCATCGGTAGCGTACGAGACACCAAGGCCCCAGCATCGCAAGATCTAGACAAACTTCCCAAGGCAGAAGGCTCCAGGCTCGTCCTCGTCGGCATCGATAGCACCTCATCAACCGACACTCTTCAAGCCTTCAAGGACGTCGAAGCAGCTGGAATTGAGCATGTAGACCTCATCATCGCCAACGCCGGCATGGGTCCGATGCCACCCAAGAAGCTGGACACCGCCGAGATCGAGACCGTGGAATATGCCCTGCAGGTTAACACCCTGGGCCCCATCCGTCTCTTCCAGGCTTTTAAGCCGCTTCTCGACAAGTCCAGTTCACCGAAGTGGGTGTCGGTGTCGAGCGGTGCTGGGTCTATCACCAACTGTGAGAAATACATGGCGTTCTACGCCGGTGCTTACGGTGTGTCCAAGGCTGCCCAGGACTGGTTTACCATGTAAGTGATTATGAGAAGTGGGATGGTGGATGAGATCCTGAGATAAGTTCACTTACCACTCGTTCAAACCAGAGCTATCCACGCTGGGAACCCTTCGCTGGTCGCATTTGCCATCCACCCTGGGTAAGTGACTTCTAGGGCTATCTCAGGGGCTTCCATTAATATGAGGCGTAGCCACGTACAAACAGATATGGGTAACATTGGTGCACGGATTGTGGGACTCAAAGAGGCACCTCACACTATCGAGGAGAGCACTTCGAAGACGATAGACTTGGTGAGTCAATCATCTAGGTTTCTCCAGATAGCTCGGACTTTGGTGGGCTAACTCATTGTCAATAGATCGATAAAGCAACCCGCGAAGGTACTTCGGGCAAGTTCATCAACGTCATCAACGGCCAGGAGATTCCCTGGTGAAATGACGGCTCGAACCATTAATCATGTAGATGAGAGACGGGCCTTGCAGAGTAGCCAGCTTGCAACTAAAGAATGGAGTGATTGATGATCTACTTCGCTGGCTCGGCCTTGGTATCCTCGTGAGCAACAGCGTACAGGGGCTTGAGATTTCCCATCTTGTCACATGCGGAAAACTTGCAGCACTTCTTCTTGAAGCGATATGTGATGTGCCTGCAGATAAGTTTGACGACTGGTGGCGCAGGAGGCCAGCTAGCCCACTGGTCGTCTTCGAAAGCAACATCGTGATTCGACAAGCAGAATGGCAGGCCCTTGATCAAGCCGAGAGTTTTCTATGAGTAAGAGTTGAAAACGTCAGCCAATCGCGATGAATAGGTGGTTGAGGAAACGTAACTCACCATGCTTTTCTCTCCCTCTTCTTCAAATATCTTCTCCAACGATGCCATCTTGTCCACGCCAAACATCCTGAGCTCCAGGATACTTGGGATCTCATCCCGAAGATGTTTCGTCAACACGTCGCCGAAGCCATCGATCAAGGTCACAAGCTTTGCACCATCCATCCTGTCATTTCCGGACACACATATGTCGACGTATGCCTTGAACTTCGCCAGCGTATCGTGGAACTCTTTGTGTTGAGCGACGTTGCCATCCATCAACCCCTTTTGGCCCGACAGCTCATCGATTGCCGGGAAGAACTGCTCTTCCTCGCCGGAGTGGTGGACGTGCAACAGACTGTACCAAGCCAGAATGCACTGAATAAAATATTCCGATTCAGATGCCTTGACGTGTGGTGCTTGAAGGTATATTGAATTGAGGCCCCGGATTATCATGTTGTGGACAAGAGCCATCTCGGAGGCAATGCGAGTGAACATGTCGGGCTGCTTGGATTAGCGGCGCGTCAGAATCTCGCTGCTCTGTCTTGGCAGAAAAACCTCGGTGGCACCTTTCTCAACCATCGAATTTTGATAGATTGGTGTTGGTATCAGAGAGTAAGGATGGTCAGCGTAGACGGGCGTCATGGTTGTCAGTTAATGGTTGCAGGTTAGGCAAGCCTTCAAGGTGGATGAGGAATTTGGATAATTCTCGAGACTGCGATGTATCTATACAGCGCATCTAGCATTTATCAATAATTCGTGGACGTAATTAATGTGTGCACGAGTTCCATGCCTTTCCCGAAGCTGGTTCGACGCCATTTCTAAATTTGACGCAGCGGTGGCTTGCGATCATGGAAACTACAGCTCGGAGCAGGACGTAAGAACACTTGAGACAAAGTCCAGGCACACAAACCTCTCCCTTTAGAGAGTCTGAACGCAAGTCAGCTTCGTTGCCCTTTCTCCCATTGGACGCGAACACATTCGCGAACTCAACGTGGCGCGCTAGTCACATTAGAGGGTGCCTGACTACTGAGCCAACCATGTCCGTGGGCATTTGGCGTGGACGCCATAGATAAGCTGGACTGAGACTGAGCCCCGGTGGATATGATGGTCTTGGAGCTGTCGGCGACGAATTGAAGGTGTCTACTTGGGGAGTGAAATTTCTAAAATTCCTGGCTCTCAAGTAGGTGATAAGATAATATACAGTATAATACATAGCCAACCTCCTCTCTTATAATTAACATCATCCTCAATACCATTGTCTTTCTATAGTATATGGAAAGTATTCCCTCGAGAATACGTTCAACGAAATAGAGGGTAGGGTTCATGATAGGAGTAATAACAATATGAGAGAGAGAGAGAGAGAGAGAGAGAGAGAGAGAGAGAGAGAGAGAGAGAGAGAGAGAAAGAGAGAGAGACAGAGAGAAAGAAGGAGTTTAAGGTAGTGATAGAGGTAGACATGATAGTAGAGATAAACGCTTGGAATTTATGAAGCGGCAGATCATTCTTTCATCTACCTATACCTGTCTAGCGAAGGGACTGCGAACCCACTGGGCATCGCATTACTCCCCTTTCATCTAAGTGGCCTTATCTAATTCTTAACGATGGGATTGAAATCACGATAGTTAGACGGAAGTCTCAACTATAAGATGGAAGCACGAAATCAATATGCGCCTTGTATTATTACTGCTTGATGCAGTAAAGTATTGCGGGCGAGGGAAGGTCCATGCCAGATTGCTCCGGGCGTGATCCACTTTCCCGATGTGTGTGGGGCCGGTCGGCCGGCTACGCGGCTCGGAGCCGGAGGACCGCAAGAGCATGCGGCAATGATATATCAGCGTCTACCGCGTCAACCACTTCAACACAACAAGTGATATCCTTTCGATCTATTCATTACGATAGCAGCTCAAGTCTCGTTATGACTCATAATCAGGGCAAGTCCCTGGTTTCTCAGCTTCAGGCTGATGTTCTCATGTGGGTGAGAATCGAATAGCATATACGAAGTGAATATCTACAGCGAAGTACAGACATAAGCATGGCCTTAAATTCAGTTTAGACTTCCTAAGAGCACCTTCCTTGGGCCACATAACGCGCAAGGCTGAGGCTGAGCCTCATCTCCAACAGCCTCACGCAACATACCCTTTGAGCAAGGAGTTGTAATATACATAAGCCGTACCAGAAGGAGGCTCAAAGCTGTAGATATAATCACCCCACCACGGCCCACTAGCCCAGTATGCCCCCCCCGTCCACACGTCTGAGTTGGCCTTGAGGTAGTCGAGCATACCCTTGACGGCGGTCTGGCACTGGGTGTTGGCTCCGCCAGCGAATTCGCCCAAGAAACCAATCTTGCCGTTCTGGCGCAGCCAGTTCGTGGCAGAAGTGACCCTCTCGACACCGATAGTCGTAGAAACACACGCTGTTGAAGTGCCGGAGCTATCTGAGTCGAGGTACTGGTGCATTTCATAGACGATCTTGTTCAGGGGGTCGGTGAGGGCCTTCATGTTATCGTTCACCGTAACCCATGACCAAGCGCCGGACCACTGGTTTCCTTCGACGAAAATATACTGCGTTGCTCCTGCTTCGCGAATACCATTGATGGCTGCTTGGTTCAGGTTGAGAACGAGGGTTTGGTCCATAGTGTTATACTCGTTGTTGGTATCAAAGATGACGTGATCATTGCTCTTGAACTGGGTGGCAAAGTTCTTCCACCACGTTTGGAAAGCACCAGTATCAGTGATAATGTTGTCGTAGAACCGTCCATAGTTGTGGGGGTCCAAGACAGCCCAGCCTCCGCTTGAGGTAATGTGGTTGATGACGGTTGTGAGATTTGCTAGGTAGGCGGTGTTGAAACCTGCCGTCAGGGAGTTAGGAGTCATGCGCTCCATCTTGAATTGGACGCGGAAGGTGTTGTATCCCTGACCGCGGAGAGTCTAAAAGGTTGTAAGTCTCGCGTGCCATCACCCCGGCGTATGTTTTGGTACTCACGGTAATGGTAGATGTATCGGGGAAGATAAAGTCCGTACCCCAAGTACCAGGCAGCGTCTTCTCTCCGAATTCACCTCCGGCCTCGTTAACACCGAACCACTTCCAGCCTAGAGAGCTGGCAGGAGGAGAAGTTGCTGTCGCGGTTGACTTGGTGGTAGAAGTCGTCTTCGTGACGAGTGTAGTTGACGACGCAGCTGTTCCGGGAATACACTGGCTGTACCATTGGTTCGTAGCAGAGCATACATAGCCGCTGACACATGTCGTCGCACCAGTCCATCCTGAGCCACCACATTGAGCCCAGGCACCAGCTTGGGCTGATACGGCGCCGACGAGGGCTCCGAGAGAAACAATGTACTTCATGGCGAGTGAGAGTTGCGTGTACTCCTTGCGTCTCTTGAATATCTGGATGACTGGGTGAAGAAGCAGCTGTCAAATATGTCTCGGCGCATATCCTTGGCTGTCTTCTTATATGCCTGGCTTCCAGATGTATCCTACCAAGCTTCCGTTGACCCATGGTCATATTTCCGTCGGGTCATGGAACCCTCTACTCCGTGGCACCTTCCCTCTTTCACCATCAAAGTCGTGAGCCCCCGTGGGGTCGCATGTCCCGCCCGACTCGCTACCGTTCTCGCAGGGGGTATCTTAATGTGCTCTGTTGCGAAGTAGCCTTATATCATCGGCTCCCCGCCCCGTGAAGAGCGTGATATAGACCGGGGTCCCTAGCCTGTTTCTCCTTGGGGGCCGGCATTCCTAGAGCCGCAGGTGCCATGGACTCATGATGAGGACGACAACAACGTCGGACCGGCTCACTGGAAACACACAATCCGGAGAAGGGGCAGGTGACCTCGAAGAAATGCGACTACGTAGGACCAATAAAAATAAGATTCATTTCCAAGAGTGGAAGAACGGGACCTGCGATGTCGGAAAAGTTGTGGTCTTTGGTGGGCGGTCGAGCCGGAGTCGCTGCCTCCGAGTTTGCATCGGGCCATCGGAGCGCACTTTACAACACATGACTACGACTCGAGCATTTTTCGGTACAGCAGAATATGATGAATCCTTATTCACAATCCCACCAGTGATGAATCCGACTGGAATGAAGTTGTGAGTGAGCACAAGGGGTAAGAAGGCCCGGTTCCCGCCGTTGGATGTTCCCATCGCGGCTCGACGCCACGTCTCAGTGTTTCCGTAAAATTGGCCATCCACAAAAACTCGGTTTCGCAAGAGCAATTTTGAGAATGTCCACGATGCTTTTGGAATCATGAACATATGGCTATGCGGTCGTGAGTTTTGTGTTGACTTGGGTAACCTGCTGCAAGCCTTCGGAGAAGTCGCGGCTTGGCATCTTGGCATCAACGCCGGCAGCCACTTCACCAATGTCGATAGCCAATGCCAGATGCAGGTTACGGAACATGACTGCCGAGACAGTCGTAGATCTGTGCGACGGAAGGACCTTCTTGTCCGAACATCATCTCCAATCTCAGTTGACCTCGAATGTCGAAGAGGCGAGAGGGACATGACATCTTGCGAAAGGATAATTCGGGCAAAGTTTCAACACAAAGACGAAGGGCCTTATTAGATTGGTCTATGTATAGCAAGAAAGCATTCACATAGTGGTCCCTCGGGAAGAGGGGTAGCGGAAGCGGATGGGAAGTTTGTAACCGCTACTGGATGAACAGCACGTCTTAATATGGTCAGCACCAATCCCGTCTTCATCCCAAAGACTTGGTCATTGATTGGACGAATGGTATAGTCTTGAGCGAAGATGGTAGAAAGGCTGATGATCTTCACCAAGAGGTTCACACTGCTCTTTGACAGGTCATTCTTGATCTCAGGTATTTGGCTACAAAAGACACAATGGTATTGTGTTCCATCCACTCTAGGACAACAGTGCATTGGTTGAGATCATTATTAAAACCAACGAGACTTGCGACATTAACTTACACAGACCGAGTCCTCGAGCACATACCCAACAAGGAATGCTCACAGGTCGGTTTTGCCCAATCCAGCCTTGTACGCCGATAGGGCTCGCTCACGACATCCCTTGTGTTCAACCATGGGCTCGGGATAGCCTGCCTTCTTCGCCTGGGCGCCCGCACCGCGGTCATACGGAGCATGGATCGCCTTGCCCTTGATGCCCTTCAGCTCAGGCACCCACTTGCGGATGTAGTCTCCATCCGCATCGAACTTCTCGCTCTGGAGGAGTGGGTTGAAGATGCGGAAGTAGGGCTGGGGATCGACGCCGACGCTGGCAGAGAACCCCCAGCCGCCATTGTTCGAAGCAAAGTCGCCATCAATGAGGTTTTCCATAAACACCCGCTCCCCCATGCGCCAGTCGATGAGAAGATCCTTTGCCAGGAAGCAGGCGACGATCATGCGACATCGGTTATGCATCCAGCCCATGTTAGCCATCTGGCGCATCGCCGCGTCGACAATGGGGAATCCGGTCCTGCCCTCCTTCCAGGCCTTGAAGTCGTCCATATCGTAGGACCATTCGATGTTTGCGTACTCTGGCTTGAAAGGCTTGTTCATGCTAGGTAAGACTCGTTAGTGATCAAGGCTCAAATTGTTGACGGAAGAGGAAAGTTGTCCGACATACCAGACATATGGCCAATTTACCAAGACATGCTTGTAGAAGTCTCGCCATGCCACCTCGCTGATCCATACCCGGATCCCCTCGTTGCCCGCATCCAGCTTCTTGGTCTTGTTGCGGTCCCGAGCGTACCGCACGCATGTTCTCGAACTGATGGTCCCACTGGCAAGATGCACTGACAGGTTGGAGGTCCCTGCGTCGTGAGGGATGTTTCGTTTGTTGTGGTATTGGCCAACCTTTTCCTCGCAGAACTTCTCCAGACGGCTTCGTGCCTCATGCTCGCCTGCGGGAAAGAAGGCGCGGAAGCGTTTCTTTTGGTCGTCGTCCAGCTTCCGGTCCACTATCTCCTCTGGAATCTCCGTTTCAAACAGCTCGCTGTACTTCTCCCTTGCGCTGAGTGGGTTCTTCGCGGGCGGATCGTATAGCTCCAGCAGGTCCAAGTTCTCGTGGACGTGTCGGACCCAGGCCCGGAACCAGGGTGAATAAACGGCGTACTGTTTGCCTGCCCCGCTGGTCAAATTTCCGGGAGGGACGACGCACGTATCGTGCAGTACCTCGTACGAGAGGCCCTTGTCGGCAAACATGCGGACCATCTTCCCCTCCCGGCGAAGCTCGTCCACCTCGTACTCCATATTGGCAAACAAGTGGCTGGCCTCCCATTGATCCATGAGCTCAGCGATCCGTTCGGGAATCCTTTTGCGCTTTTCAACGGTCTCGACATAGAGCGGGATGTCAAGCTTGGCGAGTTCCTCCCTCAGAACATGCAGGGTCCTGAGCATAAAGTCGACGCGGATGGGGGCTGTTAGATGAGCCTCATAGTCCTGGGGGCTGACAATGAACATGGCGATCAGTGGGACCCCCGCCTCCTTGGCCTTCTCGCTCGCTAGGGACAGCGATTTGTTGTCTGTTGTCCGGAGATCCATCTTGAACCAATGTACCACGGCGTTCTTTGTCTTGACTGCCTTTCGCATTTTGGAAGTCTGCTCCAGAGCGGATGTCAGCTCCTCGATTGGTCGAGGAAGCTCGTTCTCGTTGTAGGCGCGTGCTCGGTCGTTGCTCATCTCGTGTGGGTAGAACTTGCGGAGGACGATTCCATGCTTCTCGGCATCCTCGTGGAAAGGGTGCGGCTTGCGCAAGGGATCCCCTCCGTTTTGCTCGGTCTTGGTCCTCTTTCTTCCAGAGTCACTGGACTCTGCGGCGGGTGCCGCCTTGCGCTTCTGCTTGGGTGGCATTGTGGTGAAGTAGCGAGGAGGAGAGGACGCTGTTAGGAGGTTGATCGGGCTCGGCTGGCGATGGCTGTAGACTGAACGGCAGATGTAGAGCTGAGAAAAGCGCGAGGCGACACGCGAGGCGACACGCGAGGTGAAGCGCGAGGCGGAGACGAAGGGGACAGTGGGATTAGTGGTAGCACGAGTATAAGAAGTAGCTAAGGATGGAAACGCGAGGCTGGGGCGCAAGACGCGACATGGAAGCATATGGTGAGGGAAACTGTGGTGTTTCGAGCCAAAAGACTGAGTATGGATTGGTTGCCTATCTGATTATTTCATAATACTAACTTTCATCTTGCCCTCCCATCAAGCTCTTCAGCTCTTGGGATGGGGAAGGAATCGATGGGATCCAGCTGGAGACAGGTCCTTCGATCGGCCGATGTCTTGTGCGTCATCATGTTCCTGAAATCGGGAGATCTGGACGTGCATCAGCTCTAGCGTGCCGTCCCAGGGCCCTGGTTTAGCGGGGGCCCCGCCCGATTGAGTCCGTAGCGGGGCGGAGAAACCATGGAAGGCAGCCTGATTGGCTAATCCGGATCCGTCCGTGCGGCGCAAGGTGAGGACCAACCAACGCTCGGTGAGGCTATTCACCAAAGGTGAGTCTCGGTGTACCTTAAGGTGGGTGGATAGTGCCGGAGATCAGCCGGACCCTCGCAGTAGGTAGCTCCACGTCACATGGCGATAAGAGCTGCCCCGTAAGGCAGTCGCCGATAAGCCTCTTTCTTGTTGTCGCAAGGCAACTGGCGATGAGCGACGACTAGATCGCCACAACTTACAACCTTCACGACAAAGACAGCATTTTACCTGACATCAGAACCGTTGTCGCCGATCCCCCAATTCCCTCAACGATAGCAAACATGGACCCGGGCCGTAGAGCCATGCTCTCTGGGCGCAGATCACCCAGCCGCAGAGATCGCGAAAGAGACAGAGACATAGCCTCTCCACGACGCGACCCGAATATCCGCATCACCAAACCCTCGAACCCTCCCCCTTCTTCGAGGCCACGTCAAAACAACAACTCGAGCTATATGACGCAGGATGAGCAGTCTAGACAGTTTGTTGCCGACGAGGACAAGTTCGTTCTGAAACAAGCCAAGAAGAAGGCTGATATTCGAGTTCGGGAAGGCCGAGCCAAGCCTATTGATCTGCTGGCCTTCAATCTGCGCTTCATCGACGACGACCGGGACGTCTTCGACGACGATGATGCTGATCTGCACCTCAATGTGGCTTCTCCAGATGAGGTCCTGCAGGGGCTCGACGAATCACAGCTACGAGACCTGGATTCTGACATCACGTCCTACCACACCCTCGAGCAGAACGACCGCAACCGCGAGTACTGGAAATCGTTGCAAACTATCTGTGCCGACAGGCGGCAGAAGCTGAAACCACAAGGCCCAGACGCTCGGGTCGTCAGCACAGTATCCGAAGACGTCGACAAGATCCTGCGCCCCAAGACGTACGAGCAGCTCGAGGCACTCGAATCACAGATCAAGGCAAAGCTCCGCTCCAACGACGATATCGATGTCGACTACTGGGAGCAGCTCCTGCGCAGTCTGTTGGTGTGGAAGGCTAAGGCCAGGCTGAGAAAGGTGTCCGAAGCAATCAACGACAGCAAAGCCGCATTGCTCAAGCTGCAGGATCCTGAAAAGGCAAAGGCACTAGGACACCACCAGGCCAACCATGCCAATTCTATTTCGGGCCCTGCAGCAGTCAGGAACCTGTCATCTGAACCAAGCAGGACGGAAACAAAGACGGTACCTGTTTCAAGTGCGCCCCCAGGAACAGCTCGATTTGCACAGATGGGCAACGAAGACTTCTCCCAAGCCACCAAAGCACTATACGACCGTGAGGTCGCGCGTGGCATTGGCGAAGACGAGGAGATATTCACGGCAGAAGAGACCGTTGCAAGTGGTTCGAAACCTCAATGGGCTGATAAGCATCGGCCGCGAAAGCCGAAATACTTCAACCGCGTTCAGATGGGCTACGAATGGAACAAGTACAACCAGACACATTACGATCACGACAACCCACCGCCCAAGGTTGTCCAGGGCTACAAGTTCAATATCTTCTATCCCGAACTCATCGACAAGACCAAGGCGCCCACTTTCAAAATCATTCGAGAACACGGCAGAAAAAGGGGAGAGTCTTTTGCCGCAGCAGGGGAGGAAGACACGTGCCTCATCCGTTTCATCGCAGGTCCCCCATACGAAGACATTGCGTTTAGAATCGTGGACCGCGAGTGGGATTACAGTGCAAAGAAGGATCGCGGCTTCAAAAGTTCCTTCGATAAGGTATGTTTTGTGGCGTTTTCTACACCGTCTTCACGTGGCCCTTTCTTTGCGTCTTGGTCTTGTTTCTCTCTCCCTTCTCATAGTGCTCGTGGCGGAGTCGACGCGGTGCATATGCACGGAGAGCACAAGAATCACTCAAGGGGGGGAGGACTGCAAAGAGGAACGCCCGCACAACTGTGCCCCTTACCCTTCTCTCTTTTCCTCGTTTCCCCAATCTGCCGTCATGTCGAAGGAACCGACCCTCCATGAGACGGGTCTCCAATGCCGAGACAGGCGGTCCACGAGGGGGACGAGGGGAGACAGCCTTCGCTTTCCGCCATTTCCCCCCCTTGCCCAACCGCCTACACGCGCGCCTCTGGACAAATTCTCCTGTTTTTCTGTCACATTACTGTCACCAACCACCCTTGTCATGGCGTTGAGCTAATCTTATACTCCCTGCAGGGTATCCTGCAACTGCACTTTCAATTCAAAAAGGTAAGGAACAAGTCCCACTCCCACGTTTGATTCTCTCTGATTGCAACCATACTGACATGATGCCCCCCTTCCACAGATCTACTACCGGAAGTAATTGCCCCCAGAATCGGGCTGGGGTTGGAAAGGAGGCTCGCTCGTATTGTCACGATGCATCTACGATGTCACGATGTGACAGAATCAACCAGGTGGGCGGATACGTCGTGACAACGTTTGGTGTTGGGAGGTTGTTTTGTTTTTGGCCTGGCCAGAAGTCAGGATAGATCTGTATCTGCTCTCCATCTCCAGATCCCGTCCGCCTCGTCTTCTTCTTCCGCTCGCTCGCTCGCCGCTCTCACTTTCGCTGGTACCACGTACATTCCTCTCCTCTTTTTCCGTCCTCTACCGTTCGGATCCTACACCCGCCGACGACCGCAACAGACCGCCGCTGGCCGCGGGCCGACCTCCTGGGAAGACAAGAGAATGACGCACAATCACACAGGCGACCATAGCTCTCGTCTGCAACTAATCAATCACCTCCTTTCCATCTTCTCGTGCAACCGTTGGTAGTTGGTACCAGGGCACCAAGGCATCAAGGCACCGGACGGGGCGCCAGGGCAACCCTTTTCGGACTCTGGCTGTACCTTTTCTTGGAGTAGCTGCCTGGCCCCCACGGCGCTCAATGCTGCCGGCCCCGGACAACTGACATGTTTCTAAGCAGACTTGTATGAAGCTATCCTGACCAGAGTCGGGGTACAATGGCCGCAGCTACTTGCTGATCTCCACGCCACCGCAGACGAATCCACCCACCACCCTGCCACGCCTGCCCTCTCATCTCTGGGCTGGCGATCCAACCCCTTCACCGACTTAGCCGTTGGGCGTTATCGGTGGAAGATGGGGTACTATGATGAGCAGCAGAATCCCCTGGGTACTACTTACCTGGAACGATCGGTCTTCCCCGTGATGCACAGATGTAAAGGCAAAGAAACCCGAAACACCACACTTGAGCAAGCGGCCACATTTCGGCATAGGCGGGATTGCATCTCCACCTTGACTACATGATTTCCCTGTTCTAAATCCGTATCGACATCGTTGAGCCTCTGGGAGCACCATGAACTTTCTAGAATTCGAAAATGATCTACGTGCCCGCGGGCTGGCATCAACAGACCGATCTTCCGCCTGCCTTACAACTCCTTTAGACTGGTACAAGCCAGGACTTTGAGGCAGCGCTCGTGGAGACGGCAGCGGGTGATTGGTCTTCTCGCCAAAGTCAATGCACGCGTCCGGTGTACCTGCTGCTGGTCTCCGGGGAGCTGTTGTTCTGCCCCAGATGACTTCTCTCAGCTCGATGATTGACTGGTTGGTTGGTCAAGCTGGCTGGCGGGCCTCACTCCAACCATGAGAATGACAGGCGTACATTATCTGTACATCTCACGTCGAGCTGTGCCTGGTACAATCGCCCCGCCACGACCTGCTACCCATATCGGCCTGGCTGTGGATGTGTGCAACAATCTTTCTTTCTCTCTCTTCTCCTCTCTCGCGATCTCGCTTGGTGTCGAGGTAGCCTCAGGCTTAGAGCGTGTACCATGCTGGTATCCTGCCGTTGACCTCCCACACTCCCCCTCTCCACCCGTGTCTCGTATGGGGCGATGGACTGGGCTGTCATGGCCGCCATGGTCGTCCCGTATGGTCACTGGGGCAGAGTTCCGCTCCTGCTATCAAACCGTGGTTGCACGCAGACGACCTGGATCAGGGGTCGACGGCTCTTGACGAATGGGCACCAGGTCGGTGGCGTTGTTAGTTCCAACGGTTTTTGCTCTACCTTCGGGGCAGAGACTACATGGAGACGAGGGAGGAGAGAGAAAGGTAATCCGAAGAAAGAAACGCCCTTGGAGGCTCTCCATACGGCCCAGTCCAGCCCCAGCCGTCCTCGACTCCTCGCACCTTTTCTTTGGCAACAGGGCATCCGTCAGTTCAGATTTACTAACCTGGTCCCTTCATGAGGATGCAGAAGCGTACGCCATCTCCAACATTCCTTCAATCAGCATTTCAGAATAGAAATTCCATGATCCCGGTCGACTCTTGCACTTGCCCCAGACGGAGCTGATGGCAGAAGCCACACCCAAGCCTCCATCTGTTTCCGTTTGCGTCCGGTCTTGGAGAATAGAGGCTGCAACGGATCTGTGCATGCAGCAGAGAGGTTGCCGCAGACGTGGATGGGGACCTCCATCTAGTTGACACACAGATGGGCAAAGACAGAGACGGACACGCAGGCGGCAGAGAGAGTAAAGGGGACTGGAGGGCGCGCAGACCAGCAATCGCGCATACAGAAGAACATCAGACAGACGCATATACGCACACAAGCATATACACAACAAGCAGACAGACACACATACACGCAGACACACGCACACGCACACATGGCGCCGCCGCGGCTGCGGGAAGACAACGCTAAAACAGGGCCAAGCACTGAGCTGGCACACGTTGCCCTCTCTCTCATTCTCACTCACTTTCACTCTCTCCCCCGATATCCACATGGCCATATTACGGTGACCCCCCCCCCTGCATCCCATGTCAGTTTTTATAGACAGTCCACACGCCCCTCCATCTTGCAATCACCCTGGCCCTGCGCCTCTTTGGTCCATCCCAGATCTGTACGTACCTATCTCTTGTACACAAGAAGACCAAATTGGGCGACATACGTCTCTGTTCCTTGCGCTACCTTCACAACGCTCTACTATCAACGTGGGAACATCTGGAAGATAGGACGGGCCTCTCTCTTGTTAAATCACAACGGGGTCAACCCCTTGCTGGAGGCACTTTCAACAGTCATCAGTGCTTTTCTGCTCTTGAACCAACATCGTTGAAGTCGCCTCATTGATAACCTCTCGTGTCTCCTCTCTCTTCCTCGAGACGCCTTCCTGAGACGGTCTTTTTACGATATCAAGCTCAACATCATTAACCTGTTGTCTCACCTCGATCATTGTTAAACCTCGACTCCTCTCCCCACCGTCCCTTCATCCTTACAACAACAACATCTTCAAGTGGTGTCTGTGACATCTTGACCTCTCCCTCGTTTTGAAACCTCTTCCCGCGCAAACTGCTCCCCAACTTGTTTCAGGCATCGTTACCTGATTCCCATCTTCCTCCTCTGCACCTCCTCAGTCACACTGTTCCCGCATCATGACGGCAAAGAACTCACCTCAACACAACATGCGCGCTTCCCTGAACCATCAACAACAGAGCAACACCACACAGTCTCCAACTACCTTGGCCGTCAGGACGGACATGGTGGAAACATACAACACCATGGCCCCCGAACAGCCACAGCAGCATCAACAACGATCTTTCACCGTCCAAGATCCTCAAGCATACTATACACAGCTCTCCGCCGTCAGCCAACATCAATATCAGTCGCCAGTCATGAACCAGACTACCTGGTCCTCACCGCAGTCCATGTCTACAGATGAATTTGACAACAACTACTCATACCGCGGCCAGGCCGTTCAGTCGGCATACAACCCGGCCTCTCTCTCGCCGCGAAGCTGGTCATCAACCCAGACTCCCCCACCGGTTCAAGCCTCTCAGTACGAGTTGCCCATCCGTTCACAGGAACCGCCCTTTGGGCTCGCCAACGACCACTTGACAATGTCCCCAGAGACTCTGCGCGGAACAGACCTGAACGTCTCCCTTCACTACAGTAACGGCGGCTACCCCCACGGCTTTGAACAGCGCCACTACGAGCCCGAGCCCTTGCAGCGCACTCTAGAGAGCGACAGACTCTACGCATCTTCGCCCGGTACCGACGCTCCTGGATCACCCTACGGCGGCTCTCCGACCTCATTCCACGTTGGCGACTTGCCCGATGTCATCCCGGATCTTGGTGGCCAGAGCCCTCCTCCCAAGGCCAACCCCCAGCCAGATGCTGCCAACAACAACGGAGAAGGCCCGCCTTACGCGAAACTCATCCACAGAGCCCTCAAGAACGCCCCAGACCACTCCATGACTCTGCAAGAGCTCTACAAGTGGTTTAGGGACAACACCAACAAACCTCAGAGAACCGAGAAGAACGGGTGGCAAAACAGCATCCGCCACAACCTCAGCATGAACGACGTAAGTATCTTGCCTGTTCGCTCGCCCCACGTCACTCCGGTAGGATCATCATCCTGCCATGGAAGGCCCCATGCACGTTATGCTTGGGTCCCACCCCCTGGCTAGAGAAGCACTTGCATCTTGCATAATCCTAACCGACGAGCTTCTCTTTGTCCCCCACCTTAGTGTAATGATCCTGTTCGCTAACACGACAACCCTCATCTAGGCGTTCCAGAGAAGAGAGAAGGAGATATACACGCAACCAGACGGCCACACGTCTAACGAGAAGCGCGTGTCTGAGTGGTATCTCAACCCCAAGTACCTTGATGACATCCTGCCGACCACGCACTTCCGCGATGGCAACCGCGGCGGCACCTCGCGCAGCTTCCTCGGCCGCCGTGCCTGCAACGCCGCCGCTGCCAACGCCAACGCGCTCAGCGGCGGTCCGATGGGCATGGGCAGACGCAACAGCCCTCCCCGCTCTTCCACCATCACGCACTACCCGAACCCCGACTACCCCAACCGCTCTATGCCCGGCCGTGCCATGTCTGGACGCCGAGGAGGCCGCGCCACGACAAACTCCCGCAACGCAAGGCGCCAGCGGTCCCAGACCGGGTCCATGAGCCCCGTCATGGCCTCGCAGCATCACCACCACCATCAGCAGCAGCTGCATGCGCACTTCCCGATGCACGAGGAGATGATGAGACGGAGCCAGGCGGCCAACGAGCAGTGCTTTCAGCAGCAGCAGCGCGAGGTGCAAGCCCGCGGCGGCGGCCCTCTAAACCTCAGTCCCATTTCTCCCACCGGGACCGTTATCGTTGGCAGCACGCCCGGCGGCGGCAACATCACAACTCCCACCAGCGCCCCAGGATCCTTCATGGCCGTGGCCCAGCCCTATCAGTTCCAGGCCTACACCATGGCTGATGTCTCTGGGGTGTACAGCACTTCCACACCCACTGACGGTGCCATCTACAGCTGGGGCTCCAACGCCCAGTTGTGAGCACTGTTGGCATATCACATCTCATGATTTGGGAACGGTTTGGTGTGGCTCTTTGCCGTGTGTGCTTCGTCTCTGGGGTGGTCTGTAACTCTCTTCTTTCCTCTATCTATTTTTCTTTTCTTACAAAGGCGTTTACCGGGGGTAACGATTGTTTCCCGCCCCCCCCCCCCCCCCCCCCCCCCCCTCGCTCTACCAGAAGCGTAGAGCGAGTTGGGTGGTCATGGGTGGGTGGCTTTCTTTCCCGCTTTTCCGCCTTTTAGGGCGATGATGTATTATTTTACGGCGGGTTGGACGGTCGCGGGAAGTCAACAAAGTCTCCGCCTCTCAATGTCATGGGTCAGAAGAGGGCAACAAAAAAAAACCTAGACGCGAAGATCAGTTCCCGAGAGGAATAGAACTTCCAGTTGTTTCTTTATCCACTTCATCGCCTCTTCCGTTTGCTCTTTCTCTGTCGATTTGGCCTGCTTACGCCTATCTCTCCCAATCGACTACTTTCGCCTTTTCTGTTGGGACGGGAAATCAACAACGACGTCTTGCGGCGGATTATTCCGTCTAGTTGGATGGGCACATCACGAGAGCGGGACGGCTATCTTAGCTAGCTGTTCTCGGGGCCCCCGGTCCCGGTCGCTCCTCTCTCCCTCCCCACCCCTGTTCTCTCCTACGTCTTTTCTTCCCGCCAAGATCTGGCTCTCCGGGGACAGGTTCGGATGAGGGTCGACGACGCATATCGGGGGCAGAGAAAAGGGCCAAAGCAGGGGACGGGGATCTGTGGTCTGCAATCCGCTCGACGATGAGATGGGGGGCCAGGACAAGGGTGTTCGAGGCGTGGGCGGTGGGGAACAATTCTCGGAGAGAGATTTCCCTCCGATGCTGTCTCTCTCTCTCTCTTCCCAACACCTACCACACCACGCTTGGCACACGCAGACACACAGACACAAGCACTCCTCCTCCCCTCCCCTCCCCTCCCCTCCCCTCCCACACTGAATTTCCATACACCCACCCCCCCCACCCCACCCCCGTCTCTTCCTCGGACTCGAAGAGTACAGTGCCCGTCTTTGACACCTGCAGGGTTCGAGACTCGTTGGTGCTCTTCACTACCACCATTCTTTCTTTTTCCCTCTCACTGTCTTTTCGGTGTCCTGCCTGCTGGGTGTGCGTGTCAGTGGTCACTGGTGGTGGTGGTGCGGCAGCGCGGAGCGTCTTGCGTGTTGTAGGCTAGCTTCCTCCTCTGTTGGAAGCAGTAGCCGCGAACCCAGGTGAGGGAGAAAAAAGCAATTCTGAACATTCGGTCAGGATCAGGGTGCGAGAGGAGAGGGGACGAGAGAGGAGAGAAAGCAGAACGCGAGAAAGAGAGAGAGAGGAGGGAAGAGAAGAGAGTGGCGAATGTCTGCCTGCCTGCCCAACTCCCGCTTGTCTCTTTTCTTTTTTCCTCCTCTCTCGACTGTTCTGGTTTCCCCTTTTGCTTTTCATTACGGCACAGAATAGGACAGGATGGAACACAACACAGACACGATATGAGGGCATACGGAAATAGGAACGACGAGGATATCCGGAAACGACCAAGTTTTTGTTTTCTTGCATTTTTTTCGTTCGCGTTCTTGTTTTCTTGTCATTTTCTGTTACATTCACGACCGAGGCGGCATCGATGCAAAAAGAATAACACATCTCACGACAACGAAACCGCATCAAATTCATCCATCATCATTACCCTGGGCCAGGCAAATCGTCGACGAAAAACATCAACATCCACCAACAAGTCAACATCATCATCATCATCATCATCATCATCATCAATCATCAACATCATCATTATGATCATAGAGCGCGTGCAGCCGCCGCTGCAAAATACCCCATGTTTCTCCAATACCTGTTCCCTTTCAAGTTGTTCTCTTTTGCGGTTCGGAACTAGTTTGCTTTGATTTTTGCTTTCATAGTCTCTCTTCCAGTTTTGCATTTATCTCGAGTTAAGGGTTTCACAAGCGAATAGCTTGATGAGTCAGTACGATTTTCTTTTTTGAAGGTGGACAGTGTCTTGATATCTAGAAGGGACAAGAAAATTAATGTAGTTTTTTGGCTTTATGATCTGAATTATGAGTAGCATGATTATCTCGAAACTAAAGTCCAACTAACCCATCTTCTTTCCTAGAATGGTGATGAAACCCTTTATGACGACGAGTGGTGATGATGCATGCATGCGCTCATATGAGCTAAGAGGATCCTCTCTGCGTGAGCTTTCCAGTCCGTCGGGCATTTCGCTATTGCATCTAACCCACGCGTCAAGCGAAAAGTCTCTCACTCCTCTCTCCCCAGCTACCTATGTACATACCTACATACCTCCCACCCTCCATCATCCTCATTCCCCTCTTTTCTTGCCATCTCATCTCAATTGGGGATGTTTAATTTACAAGTTCATCGTAAAGGAAAAAAAGGAAAAATAACCGCCAGGGAGCTTGAAGCCTCGGGAGCCTCGAGAACAGAACAGACTCGCAGAAAGCAAAGCCATCGAGGGCCAGTACAGGCGGCCGCTCACAATTCACACACCCCCTCCCCCTCGCTCCGACACCCCAGTGAAAGTGGAGCTGTAGGCAGCGAACAAGGGGGGGTGGTTTCCGAGAAGACCTGCCCGCGTGGGACCCCGTTTGGGGGTGGTGCGTGGATAGAGATAGACTTTCGGGAGCAGGACGGTTAGCGGACGGACGATCGATCAAGCGAACCTTTGCTTGTTCCTTGCTTCCCATCTGGCTTCATTGGTCACTTGTGCCTTTTTCCCTTGAGAGAACGCACAGACGATGGGTTGATCGTACGGTAGAAAGATAGCCAGGGGGGGGCGTGGAAGAGGGTAGGTTGTGGGTGACTGGCCCCGTCACTTGTTGACTTGTCACTCGCAGGTGGCGGCTGGAGGTGCCGCAGTAGGAGGAAGAAGAAGAAGGTCGGACCAGGGTAGGGTGAAAGGGAGATCGTTGTTCGTCGGGGACAGGAACAAAGAGAATGTGTCCGCAGAGAGCGTACCGAAAACTGAGAACGTACAGAGTTCTACGGAAGCGTGTGTCATCTCCCGTCTCTGTAACTGGGTAGGCTACCTGGGGGGGGGGGGGGGGGGGCGTGAGAGGTATCCGTAGGTAAAGAAGGTAGAGTACTGCGTACGTGTAAAGGAAACCAGGGGACGGGGGACTGCGAGTGAGGGCGTGAGCTAGGTGGCCTGCACAAGGCCAGAGGAAGATCATTCAAGGGGACAGTATGTAGCAAGGTCGATGAATGCCCATGATCGACTCCAGACTACCAGACGCAGTGGCCCAATATGGAGTGCAAAATGGCGATGGTAATGCCAGATTTGGTGGAATGCCAGCCTGCTAATCGACACCAAAGTAATCTTGAGTTAGCGCCCGGGTGGAGTTGCAATCTTGAAGGTCGGACGATGAACCCTCCCGCCAGTCATGGCGTTCAGTCTAGACCCGGATTCTTCGCGGCTTCCCGGAAGCCTCAATGGCGCAGAGGGTAGTCGGACCGCCGGACGGGGCGCAGGTAAGGTAAGGTTTGGTGAGCCTGGTAAGTCAAGGAAAGCATACCCAGCTGCGGGCCCATCAGACCTAGCCGTTGAGTCAATGAGACGACGGGATCGTCACAAAGCTTCTATTTCCTCCTCATGTCTCGCTCTAAGTAACTCGTCAGCCTACACCCTCAGATCCCTGACCTTGATTGGGTGACTATGTCCACGCAGGCGGGAAGACCTCCTCAGTCACAGGATTTGAGATGAAGAGATGCCATGGAACGAGCGCACCGGGGGCGTGGGCGGTTTGCTACGAAGAACACACCAGGTTTCCTCGAACCGTCGTGGGAACGTGGAGAACAGCAAGCCCCCGAGTGTTGAGGATCGCCAGGATGGAGCTTGATGTGCCTGCCGCAGGGCCGCGCTCCATAGCCATGCGGTCGTGGCGTTGTATATCTTCCAGTCTACCTCCTTCGCCCTGTGGGGTTGGCGATCAAAAGCCTCGCAGAACGTAGCCCTCATCGCTTCAGGGTTAGGCCGGCAGGCAGTGATTAGGGTAAGCGATGGAACATGATAGGTCCTGTAGACGACGACATCGACGGTTCGCCCCGGCTTAGATCGGCCTGGACTACTGGGCGGCAAGCCTCGGCGGCGGAGGCGGCGGCGACAAGGTTATCGTCCATGTCGGCGGTGAATGGATGTAGAGGGTAGGGCAGTCCACCCCTCCAAGGGTATTCTTCAGGGCCCAGTATCGAGTCAATTTGTCAAATGTCTGCCGCTTGCTTTTTCCTCGTAGTATTTATTGTCTCAACCCGCCTGCGTTTTCCGCATGTCGTATCGCGGGGGTGGAGAGGAGGCCGACGAAAAGATGGCTCCATATTCCCTTTGTCGAGATGAAGGCCATCATCCCCTTCACACAGGCCCGTCAGAGAAGCAAGTCCTGCAAGACGTGTTCGCTTTTCTGCTTTATCTGCAGCACATCGAGGGGAGGGAGGAGATGGGTATGACAGGCGCTTGAGTGTAACAGGACTAGCCGCTCTGCGATCCCGACTTCCGCGAGACCGCGTATAACCCTGCCGGGGATTTTTAATAACTGGCGAACCACTTGTCCTGCCGCGCCCTGGGTGAACGTCATGCTTGTCCGCAGGGCCTGTCATTGACGGGTGATGAGAGGGTTGTGACTCTCGTCCTTTTCTCGCTGTCATTGGTTACCGAACCCTCGGGTCGAGACTAGGCACGGTGTTCTCCCAACCCGGACTTCTGCTTGTTAATCCCGGACTTATGCTCGTTCTGGGTGGGTTCGAGGCGGCAGGTGTGGACATGCCAAGGTCCCGGGATGAACAGGAACCATACTAACATAGCTAGCTAGCCCATGGACCATGGAGCAGGTACTTGGACTTGAGACGAGGTTGCGTGGTCCCACTGCTCTCTCTCTCTCTCTCTCTCTCTCTCTCTCTCTCTCTTGGTAGATACGGTTTGCTCACACCCTGCTCAAGCGCCCTCTTCGTGCTTCTTTTTTCCAAAGGCTAGGATGCGGATTTGGATTGATCTCGCAGCATCATTCCAGGGATCATACTCGCAACTGGAACTGAAAGAAGCCATCGTCTTCTGCATACGTCCTCAAGGCGGGGGTGCCCTCGTCGGGAGTCGGTATGCTTTGAATGGCTTTAAGTCGGGTTTGCGCCAGACTTATCAATCAAGACACTGGCAACGACGACTGACAGAACCCGAGGATAGCGGCGCAGCACGCAAAACAGCATAACTACAGATAGTGAGGTGCGTCGCAGTGTCGAGTTATGTCGCGAAGGCATCCCTGGCTATGGCCAGATGACCCCCATCTTTCTTCTACACGAGGCATGGAGCCAAGAGAACCGGCAAGCCACGAAGCTGGGCGCGAGCTGTTGACTGGTTCCCCGGAAGCCGTCCGGCAGGCGGACGTCTTTGCGGGACTGTCGGCTCTCGAGTGGCTGGTTTGACAATGAAAACCCGCAGTCGCACGGTCAGATGGTCAACGGCTGAGGGTGTCATGGGTACTTGTCTCGCATTGCGACTGGGACGAGATACCTTGCACAGTAATACGATGTGCCGTTGTTCACGGCCAACATAAGAGTTGAGGCGCAGGACTGGCACTGTCGAGCTGTTGTGAGACTGTGAGTAAGGGAGGGGGGGTGGTCATCCAAGACTCCAAGGAAGCCACGCTCAAATTAGATGCCGCTGAGCGATCCAGCTGCTTTGATGTAGGTCCAATGTCTGGGGCACATCTTGTGCCACATGAGATGCAGGCAAAAGGATCGATAGACCGATAAAGCCTTGATTGACCGCCGGTAATTGTTTGTGGCGGCATGCAACAAACCCTAAGGGTAAAATAAGCGTCTAAGGTGTTGAAGAGGTTTGTTACCACCCCCAGATCGGAGTTGGTGAGAGTCCGCCAACACCGATGATGGCTTGTCTGGCTTGTCTGGCGCGTCTAGCTCACCAAGAAGACGCACGTCGTTGAAACAGACTTGGCTTTCCTCTCTTGGGCGTTCCTCTTTTCCGATTCTTTGCGGCGGGGAGACGGGCAAACGTCCGATAGACATGGTCCACAAATCGTCCACTTTTTAACCTGGAAGTGCCAGGTACAAGTGGAATCCTTCTTATCCCCCTCTTCGACCCCTTGCATCCCTCTTTGCGGAAACACCTCGTCGCCTCGGACAACTCCTCCGCTTCATCCAAGAGGCCCGCCCACCGCGACCGCCGTTCCCTCGAATGAGACCCCTGGTCTGTCGAGACTTGGGCTTGGAGTCACCAGGGCGAAGACTGTCACTGGAAACACCCAAGTGGCAGCCAGTGTCCAACGACAACTCGCAACCTTTGCCCTCTCAAGCCCCCCCCCCCCATGGGTCGAGTCCTAGAAACGAGATCTTGGTACGGATATCGGTACTAGGTCGCTAAGCCTCCAGTCCTTGACCCTTGTGCTGGCATCTTTTCAGAAAGGCTGAAGAGACAACTAGCCTAGTCCAGGGCCAGGAATGGACAGATCACGCTTGCAAGGTTGGCACCTGGGGGGGGGGGTTTGCTTCCAACCAACCCTAACCTGGCATCTTCAAAGGTGCGAGATCCCCGCGCCAACGACTTCGAATCTTCGGATAGATGATCGGGGGAGAACAGGAATATACGAAACGGCACTCGTTAGGTGATCGGGAAACGCCAGAAGAACACAATTGCGACGAGATCCCTTCCAAGAGGGTGCTTCTAGATGCCGATAGGATTCGCTCATAGTCGCTCATCCCTCAACATGTGCCAATACATTCGAATAAAAGATGGTGTCGAGTGTCGACTGGCTGTGCGGTTGACAGATTTGACAGCCGTCTTGCCGGGCGAGCTAGCACGCCGTTTTTTTCTCGCTAATCCTTCCTCGTCGACAGTTGAGCACCTCCAACGGTTTATCCACTGCCATTGCAAAGACGGTTGCGAGACAGGTAAGTATACCCTGGCTCTCGGGTCCGGTGGGGGTTAGATCCCGCCGGAAGAGCCAAGCGTGTCTGTTCAGGACTCGAGTTGTCTTCATTGGTCCAACGGTCCAACAATCCAAATGGAGTCCGCGGTACAGATACGGCGGCACAGATACCAACTCGCCAGACCTCTCTATGTTCAAACATGAGGGGGGGGGGTGTGCTTCCACAAGTCCAGGTCTTGAGCTGGATTATCGCACACCACTGTGGCTCGCCGGGAATCCACACTACCAAGCGTCACTTGTCACAAATTGGAGAATTCGATGGCCGAATTTTGTGATAGATCCTGGATCTCTGATTATCGAGATGGCGGTTCTGACGAGTTCCCGGCCGTTTTGTCGCTGTCCTTGCCAAGTACGGACGTAAGGCCATGAATGGTCTGTCACACAGGACGCGGCACTGATCGGTGATGATGAAGTTGGAGGGAGCCAGCACCCAGAGACGTGTGTGCAAAGTCGCCCACCGCCATTCGGCCCTCCCTCATATGACCATAGAATGCATGGTGTGTGGTGTGAGTTTGACGTCAAGTCCTTGTTACTTGGAATCCAATGCATCCTAGAAATGTCGAGATCACCGGCTTCTGGATCCAGCAGATGAAGTTAGTAAATCGATGATTTTCGCCTCGGGAATCCGGGCAGTCGTAGCCTGTATGCTGCTACCCGGTTGACAGGCTCGAGTGCAACCCCAAAGGAACATGTATACAGCGCATCCTATGCTTCATTGCGTCGCACAGCGCCGCGGAATCGACATCACCAAAGGGAAGCCGCAGTCCTCTCGGCCCACATCTATGGCTCCGGTCGAGTTTTTGTGCTGCCCTTTTCTGGGATTCGTGTTTGAATGCTTCATCTTCCCGTCTGATGCGCCGGCGGCGCTGATGAGCAATAATCAACCGACAGCATGCAGGGCACATACTCAAACACCCTGCAGAAGTCCTTTGATGTCCGCCCGGACGACGAATACTGGATGCAGTGTAATGTTACAGTCCGCTCATCTGAGATCTGATTCTCGACGGGAAAGAAACATCGTCTGGTCAAACCTTCGATTCCTAGCAATAGTCGAGCGTACCCACGGTATGGAGTTGCTGGCGATGCTGAATGACCCCTTCGAGTTTTCACTGTTAATGATCATCTTCATAGTCTTTGCAAGGCTTTAACGCCTCGAAAATCTGAGTCGAAGACGCTTCATTGCATCTTTCGATGGCGTTTCGTCGCGTCTTGCGCCCGTCATTCCGAGCCACACTCCAGTGGTTGAGGCCATCGAGGCGCTTTCTTTTCTCGAGCGATGACCTTGCGACGGGAATCATGCGTGTGTGTATCAATGTGCACCAATCATCCAGCGAATTCCACTGGATTTCCGCCATCGCTAAGCTGCAGACCGGTGCTGGCAGGCTGAGAACGGCCGTTTGAGCTTGGTTCTAGTCGGCAAAGGCGATATTCACCAGCCGATGGCTCCGCCTTCGGCCGTTAAGCTAGAGTGGGAGAAAGCGAAAATCGCACGCATGTCGACGACAAGTCGTTGAATTATAACGTACGTAAAGAAAGACGCGATGAATCCTTGGAGTGTAGCAGAAGCTGACGTGTGGGTTCGCTAAAGCAGTCACCCACCCACGACTAGAGGCGTCCCGTCGTCTTACTTGCGATCTTACGTCCGAAAGAACTCAACGTGGTGCCCAGACTCCAGAGAGATCCTGCTCGGTCGACGGGACGAGCCACCGGGGCATTGTTCCGGTGCAGCATCAGCATGACGGTGATGCATCTGTCCTGTCGGAGCTCGAGGCGTCCCCGGGAAGTCATCAACAGAAGTGGCATAGGTCGTAATCTGCGCATGCCGGCTGTCGCTTCTGCAGAAAGGCGGAGGTAAACTGCCAAGTTTCATTGCAGAAATCTCGAAGCCTTATCGCCACCTGTTACATCCACAGACACATGAAAAGGAAACATGGCCCGCAATGCTGCAAGGTCGCATCACGGGCCGCTGCCTCGGGCAGATGGCAGGAACGCAGATCGTGCACCATGCCTTGCCCGGTCTCGATTCTGGGCAATGCATCAAAGCGAGTGGCTCTGTTTGACTTGCTGTCGTATACAAGGTTTTGCGTCTCGTTGAATATACGATCAATACTCCTTAAGATAGCCGCGGGCTTCACACTGCAGCCGACAGACGGGATAGGCGAGCGCGTCTCTGCACCCCGTTTTCCGACAAGATTAGTTCCCGTTAATGGGCCGCGCCGTCAAGCCGCGAGAGAGATTTCCCGAGAATGGGCGCGGTTTGTCAAATGGAGAAAGCAGTGTCACACAGTGCCACGTCGAACAAGGCGGAGGGACCTTCGGTTGACTTGTGTCAAGACTGTAGGATGGTACGCCGGGTGTAGATTTTTCTGGTTGCCACGTGGGGGGATATATTTTGAGATGTAGTTCGGTATTAATTGACGTGTCTCGCACAAAAGAAGAGCCTTTTGAGTCGACTGCTGATGTGTGACTTGGTGCCGTCTTGTCATCGGGAGTTGTCATAAATAGAACGGCATGGCCATGCTGAAGTGGAACGAACTCCACGAGCAATATCCATCTTCCGAAAGTTTTTTGCGTAGGAAAGGCTGCAACGTTTCATCCTTCCATTGCGTCTGTTATTGGAATATGTTACTTGCCGTCAGCTGTGTGTCGCCATGGAAAGTGAAGTTTCGCCATAGATCGTTCCTCATCAGCCTCCAGGCTTCTAGAAACAATGTGCGGAATCCGCGGCACGGCCAGACGCATTTCTGCCGCCATACATGCTCGGTCTGTCTCGCTTCAGATCCCGGTATCACCTCGGAGGAAGACGCAGCTGCGGACTTCTCAAGGAAGCCAGCCTCCACAGTCGTATGCAAGATTCTGCTGCTCAACATCGGGGCTCCGGAATCGAACATCCTGTGTCGGACAAGCAAGCTAACGGCATGTAGATCGTTTCGGTCCGTTATTAAGCGTCCTTGCATGGCTCTTGTGGAATTCTGGAGTCTTTTCAGAGTCCGAGCCAAAAGGTGTCTCATGTGTAAGGCAATCCGCACCGGATAGATTCCGGAGTGCTTTGCCCACCTGCGCACCCGCGTCCGACGGCACGTCTATGTCTATTTCGAGAGTAGCCTTGTTGCGTGGATATCTTCCTCTCCTCAGGAGCACTCCGTTAGGATATCATCCAATCCAAAAAAAAAAGCAGCATGTATCACTTTTGATACTCACTAATTGCAGTATCGTCAGAGCCAGAGAGATGTCCCACGATGAGGGGTAGCTTCGAGTGACATCGAGGTGTAAAGTTTGAGACTAGGGTCGATCTAGAATTTCCGCTTCTTCCGTGCGGGTCCCGTTGTGGCCTTCTTCTGTATCTCCTTTTGCAGTTCGTCCCGTTTCCGATCTGCCCGCTCCTGTGACGTCTCCCTGAGCTTCGCCAACGGCTCCGTGTCCTCTTTAGACCTTCCCCTGGTTTCCGCATCTTCGGCCTTCGGCTCTGGAGTCTTTGATGGGCGCGTGTCTCTGCCTATCCGGCCCATACCAGTCTTCTTAGGTGGCTCTGGTGATTTAGAACGTTGACGCTCGCCACCAATGCGACTTAAAGCCCCCTTCTTCGGAGATTCTGGGGTCTTTGAGCGACTGGTACTACCACCACCGATGCGCCCCAAGCTCCCTTTGATTTTACTTGCGGCAGGCTTCAGTGGCGGCGAGGCCTCAACTACCGAGACCGCACTTTCATCATCAGACGCCGTTTCGGTATCCGAGCCCGGAGCAGCTGGCACCGGGTCCTCGGGGACTGAAGATCTTGTTACTGGTTTAGGGTGGTCTTTCTTCCCTATCGTACCCAGGCGGTTAGATTGAATGGTGGGCTCTTCAAGAGGTACAGGTACGCTGTCTGGAATGTGAGATTCATCTTCGTCCTCAGTGCTATCATCGTCGTGTGTAGAGTATGGCGGTACGGAACGTTTTCGATTGGGCATGAGATGGGGAGGCGTCGACTGGACTTGAAAGTCATCGTCTTGATCCTCTCCCGCGATTCCCTTGTTTGCCGGCTCGCTGTGACCATGCCCCTCTCGTTCGGATTCGGGAAGCGACGTTGCCGGCTGGCTTGAACGGGACCTCGTCTTGGGTCCCACAATCGGGATGCACAACGCCTCTGGCTTAGCCCACCATTCATCAAGAGGAGTTGCAGTGACCACGTCGGCCTTGCGACTATACTCAAGTCCATCCCCGCCGAAGACACTCTCAATAACACCGAGAACGTCGTCAGGGCCGTCGTCAGGGCCGTCGTCAGACTGTGCCTTCCAATCATCGAAAGAGAAGGGAGCCAGACCCTTGACCTTTTCCTCTGCCATCTTTCTCGTGGGCTTCTGTTTTGCTGACAAGACGGCGAAAACGTTCTCGAGGCGAGTTCCAGTAGCTTCCAACTTATCCAGAAGCTTCATGATAACCGCATCCTTCTGCTTGATGGTTTCTGCAAGAGACTCCACTTGTCGGCGGCCTACAGAGTTTGCTTGTGCGAGGGGTACGACGAGTTCTGTCGTGAGCTCAGACTGGGGACACTTCTGTAGATACACCGGCCATTCCAAAGGTTGCATGTTGTCCAGCTCGCAAGTAATACTCATGGTCAAACCCCGCTCCCCAGCTTCCTTGTTGGAGCGTGTTGATATTGACATGGATGCTTTGTCATGATCTCGGCGGCTGGGATCAAAGACGGATCGAATCTTGGACAGGAAAGCTCGCATGTTGCTGTCGCTGTCCGTCGGGTCAATACTGGTGGACTCATTGAGGCTGCGCTTGTAAATTGCGCGCCGATCCAAAGACTCAGACCATATGTTGGCCAGGTCTGTAACAAATATTGTGTATGATGTGGTCGTGAATGTTGTTGATACCAATAGGTTAGGCAGGTCGGCTGAAGTGGGCATAGGCAGCCGTCGCCAAACGGGCGGTGTTGTCATGGCTGGGCAAGTCCCGTATACTCGACAACCAAGAACAAACTTCCGTGGTCTATCAGGAGAGAGAATACGCAGGTGGCCGTCCGCGAAGTCGAAGCGGCGTTATCTCGCAGCTGGAGGGCCGTTGCATAGACGGCACGTCAAGAGCCGATTCAGACGAAGCCTTGCAGCAGGTAGCTGGGGTTCGAGCAAAGAGACTGCCGGTGCGACGTTACTGGAGGATACGTCGGCCCTATTTTCGACAGAGTCTTTGACGCAGCCCTCAATGAAGGAGCTAGATTGAAGTGGGCGAAGGATACGGCGGTTGTGCTAGTCGCGGCATCTATGAGTTGCCCCGCGTGGGCGTAGAAAGGTAGTAGTTGGTCGGTCAATCTTGGGGGCGTTTGATGCAGAATTGATGTGGTGGTTTTGCAGTGATACGTATGACAAGTAGTGGTAGCCCCGCGGAACGGAAGGGATGGCGGGGATGTTGAGGATGTTGGAATTCGTCGGGTGGGAGGGAGAGCAAGACGTGGAGGTGGAAGGTATCACCAGAGACTTGGCGCTGCGGTGCATCAATCAGGCAGCGATGTACAGTGAGAAGCAGAAGATGGAGACTGTGGCTCATGGTTGTCAAGCCACATTGGCAGAGAAATATGGGGCCGGTATCCACACTCTTTGCACTGTGCAGGGGAGGACAGGGTCATCCAATGTACAGTACCACAATGAGAACGTGCGTGAGAGTGAGAGCATGAAGACAGCATGAAGAAACGGGTGCCAACATTCATACGTCTCATCTACTTCAGCCAAGTGAGGCTGTCGAGGACAGCGTGCCACAGCATGGGGTAGGTACTACGGCATTGACAGGCAAAGTCTTGAGTACATGCCCAAATACCTTTCCATAAATGCAAGTCAAATGGGGATGTGAACGTATCTTACCTACCCTAGTCTCACAGAACTTCAATCTTCACCTGCAATCCAAAACTCCTCTTTCACGCCATGTTGAAATAGGCTGCAACCGACTGAATGTGACGTGTCTCAGAGGCAACGTAGGTCCCAACTCACTCAGGATGGTTGGAGATCTGGATGACTTGAGGCTGAAGTTAGATTAGGTTTGGACGAATTCACGCGACAAGGGCATCCTGACATTGGCAGTGCCATAAGGTCACGTCAAAAATGGCGTAGAATTGTCTCAGTCAGCTTCGGTACGACTTACACTCTCTCAGCCATATGCTTTCCCAGCTATTTATTGTTTATTCACTTAACGCACTCACTCATTCATAGTCTTCAATGCCTCACTTACTCAGCTCACTCGAGTGGTGAGTGGCACATGCAGAGAGCCTTATGTAAGTCATGATGATGGAGGACTCATTCCAGGTACGTACCCAATCTCCCTTGGCATCTGAGCACCTTGGAGGTCTATGTGTGTCGATTCAAACGTTCTTCCACACCCACCTTTAGGACGACAATGTTTCTTCAAGTGAAGTCAAGCGCCTTTGCAGCATCGAGAGTCCAGAACTCCAGCTTCGATATGACTCCCATCAACCACTGACCGCTTCAAGATCGACAACCAACGTTGAAAGGTGAGACAGACCGTTGCAATGCTACCATCAACGCGGAGCTGGGCCGATCCAGACTCCCTGAAAAAAGACCTGAGAAAGCCGTCACTCATCATCATCTGAAGTCTGTGATTGGCGCAGCTGTGCACCGCCATAGCGCCCCCATAATTCCACCTCGCGTGGCGCCTGGATGCGCCACTCGTTTTCCCCCATTCCACCAACATTCACGCTTCAGCATCATTGCATGAGAAACCCCCAGTCTACCGCCAAGATCCCACGCGAGCCTGTTAACTTGGTTTGACGTCTTTCGGTGCTACGCCACCCCCGCTGAACAAGCTTGATTCACGATTCCTGCGAGCCTCTTTCCAGGCGCTGACTGGCCCGTCAAGGCACATCACCAGTGCCATGCTTGCCAGGCACGAAAAGCAGGGACAGGGACATGGAGGATGACGTCCCCAAGTGAGGGGAGTCTTCATCAATTTCTCGCACCGCACCATGGCATTCATGGCAACAAAGGATACTGGTGGCAATCTTCCACGCCGCTGGCAACACACCATTGGCCATCTTTTCTGTGGTCCGCCATGCCAGCCACACCTCAGCCATGCCTACAGTCATGGTGCTTGCGTCTGGCTTGTAGGACAGACCTGGCCTGGCTTTCAAAAAAGAAGGGGATGACGGCGGCGGAAGGCGAAACTGGCAGGCGGCGTCAACGTCCACTACCTTGCAATGGGATGATCAGCCAGGAACGCTATCCGTGGCCCGTCGCTGCTACCCAAACACTGGGGATCTTGGTCATGCTTCGGCCTATCCCACCGCAGGAAGCTGGATATCGCCTGCTCTGCTCTGCTCGCCCATAATTCGTTGCTGGGGCCTCCAGAGTACCGGGAAGGATTGCAACGCCAGAGGGGATCCCATGCCATGTATAAACTGAGTCTACCCGCCGCCTTTAACACCTCTCGACCGCCCTCTTTTCCGTCCAGCGTATACTGTATTATGCTCCATTGCCCTCGATAAACACCCTTCGTGGCAGTAATCATGGGACAGAAGCCTAGCAGCCCGTTGGCGACTTGTCTCGACAACGTCTGCGACAGCCGTTCCTCTTGCGTTGGATACCCCAACGACCCTCTCTTCCAGCTTAACTGGGTGAAGCCGTACAACCTCGATATCCCGGTGGTGCCTATTGCCGTCACCAAACCGTCAACAGCGGAAGATGTCGCCGGGTTCGTCAAGTGCGCTGCGGACAACAATGTCAAGGTGCAAGCCAAATCAGGCGGTCACTCATACGCGTAAGTCCCTTGAGATGTCTCCATGGTCTAGTCAACTACTAACGTCGTTGTCTACTTGCAGCAATTTTGGCATTGGTGGCACCGACGGCGCTCTCGTCATTGACTTGGCCAACTTTCAGAACTTCTCCATGGACACGAACACTTGGCAGGCAACCATCGGCGGAGGCCACAAGCTGCACGACGTGACGGAAAAATTGCACGACAATGGGAAGAGAGCCATGGCTCACGGCACGTGTCCCGGTGTAGGCATCGGAGGCCATGCCACAATTGTTAGTTCCCCGCGATGGGCGATCCATCACGCCTTCGTGCGCCCTGCTAATGCAAGTCACGTCCAGGGTGGTCTCGGCCCCAGCTCAAGAATGTGGGGAAGTTGTCTAGATCACGTTGTTGAAGTTGAGGTGGTCACCGCAGACGGCAAGATCCAGCGCGCGAGCGAATCCCAGAACTCGGACCTGTTCTTTGCTCTCAAGGGCGCCGGCGCCGGCTTCGGCGTCATCACCGAATTTGTTATGCGGACCCACCCGGAGCCCGGCGATGTTGTGCAGTACTCGTACGCCATCACTTTTGCCAAGCACCGCGATCTTGCACCTGTCTTCAAGCAATGGCAAGACCTCATCTCCGACCCCGAGCTGGACCGCCGGTTCAGCAGCGAATTCGTGATGCAGGAGCTCGGCGTCGCCATCACAGCCACATTTTACGGTACAGAGGATGAGTTCAAGAAGACAGGCATCCCAGATCGCATCCCCGAGGGCAAGATATCCGTGGTAGTTAATGACTGGCTCGGCGACGTTGCTCAAAAGGCACAAGATGCGGCGCTCTGGTTGAGTGATATCCAGTCGCCCTTCACCTCCAAGAGTCTCGCCTTCACCCGCAACGACCTCCTCAGCGAAGATGGCATCCAAGGAATGATGGACTACGTGGACGGTGCCGACCGTGGCACCCTGATTTGGTTCCTCATCTTCGACGTCACCGGCGGCGCCATCAACGACGTAGCCATGAACGCTACCGCCTACCGCCATCGCGACAAGGTCATGTTCTTCCAAGGCTACGGTGTCGGCATCCCCACGCTGAGCAGCAAGACCAAGGATTTCATGTCTGGAGTCGCCGACAAGATTCGGAAAGCGAGTCCAAACGAGTTGAGCACATATGCTGGGTACGTCGACCCGACACTCGACAACGCACAAGAGCGGTACTGGGGAACCAATCTCCCGACACTGGAGCGCATCAAGGCGACGTGGGATCCCAAGGACTTGTTCTCAAATCCGCAGAGTGTGCGACCCAACGCGAGCGCAGAGATTGTTCAGCCCACGACTAGTGGTGGCTCGAATGGCTCGAATAATAGCGACTCGGCAGGCGGAAATAGCTAGGAAGGGGCCGGGAGCACCCGGCATTCACCTGGTCTTTCGGGACTTGCATTCATGACAGTCATGGTTTTGGCATTTTCTCTCTTCTTAGCATAAGGCACTGGCTCGGTAGACCATGAGGCAGTCGACTCGTTTCTCAAAGATACCCGGTATCAATTCAAGCATATTCTATTTGATTCATAATCTGGCCATGCCGATGGTTACGCAATATGTGCTGTGAATGTTGAAGGAAGCCTGCCAGGCATTCGAGTTGTTGAATGTACAATTGAAGTCGTATGCGCGGAAGAATACCGACTTGAGCAACGGTAAGCCCATAGGCACCCGCCATACGATCCTGGTCCGTACTTGGTGGGGGCCGTAATTTCGCCTTCTCGTCGACCAACACTCTTCATCAATCAACACCAACAGCCAGCATCATTTGAGACTTGGCAATCCTACATCTTCCACGATACTCGCACTTGACAAACCTTTCAACCTTTAGCAAAAGTCTAAAGCAATGTAAAGAGAACCCCCCCCCGCCGCGCCGAAAAGCTCAGTCACACAGCAACATCAACTCCAACCATATACTCAATCACTTCACACCCTCAACCCACCCACCATGCCCTCTATAATCGACGGCAGCCTCTCCCACCGTGCCTACACCACCCGGGAATCCGCAACCCGAATAACACACATCCTCCACAACCCCTCCCTCCTCACGCCCCGCGAGGTCGTGCTGGGGATCTACCTCCTCTACATAAGCTACTGCACAGCTCTCACCCTCCGGAGCATCGGATACCTCGTCTTCGAGGCGGACGGGCGTGAGATGTGGTGCCCGGCGGACCCGCCTGTACCGGAATGGTATCCGCCTGGGTGGAAGGTGGAGCTGAGTCGATGGGATTGCTTCCGGATACTGAGGTGGATGGTGATTAGGAGGGTTTGGGTTTTGGGGTATGAGGTTTTTGCGTGGGGTGTTTTGGGGGCGTTGGTGTCGTTTGCGGTTGAGGAGGGATTGAGATGGCTTCGAGGGTGAGTGAGGTTGGTGATGTGTGGGCGGGTGTATGGATTGAGTTGAGGGTGGTGGGCGCGATGTTGATGTGGGTTAGGCAGCGAGCGACTTTGAAGTTTGAGGGTTTGGATGGGGACTCTGGAGAGCCTGGCTCACGATGAGAATGGTAATGTTTTGACGTAGCAAGTCGGATGAGGAGCGACGAGTGTATTCAAAAGGTCGACCTTCCTTAGTAACGGCCAATTTATCTAGTTCATTTCAAGGACTCATTTTCTCCAGGGATCATATCTCAAAACGCATGATTGATCACTTCTAGTCATAGAATTTGTAAAGTCACAACAAGAACAACTTGTGATCAGTTGAACGACGGCCAAGTCCAATATCCCATCAAGATGAGAGAATTCAACACCGTGTACAGGAAACCTCCTGCATCGCGACCCCTCGTAGCTCAGCATGGCCATCTCGCTCGCAATTTTGCCCAACCTAGCCTGCGAGCCGGGAGTTTTCTAGGCTCTCAACACCAATCGTCGTCATCATCCTCCTGTTCACTCAATAGCCACGGTTCATGGTCACGAAAGGGGTGGCAGAAAGGGTTCAAGCAATCTATCCCGGAACACCGAAATCAAATGAGCACCATCTACAGGAAGAGTTGGGGCATGGGATATTCGCACCCTTGAGGTCTCTGAGTTGGGTTAGTTCGGGAAGAACCTTTCGTGTCATAATGACACCCTTAGTGTTGAAGTTAAGCAGGAGGTTATTCGACGAACAAAGTTCTGCAAATGAGATTGGCGGTGGATGAGATTCTTCAACTTTTGAGGCCGGTCAGAAATATATATGAGACCTCGTGACATCTCAATACATTATAAGAAGGTCAAAATGACAGCCAACAAATCGTTGTCATCAACAGAAGTGTATCATCCGCAAACATCTTGACAGGTAGTTACGAGACTGACTTGTTATTGGACAGGCATAGCTACCGAAACCAGAATCACGAGTTTCACTGCATCTTGAAATCCCCCAAAGACAATGAAGTGGGGCGACTCGGTGAGAGTAGTTGATCTTACGGATACTGATTTGGGAAAACGAAAAGTACCGTACTGATTTCACTGCAATTTAGACTCTTCCCAAGGCGATGATGGGACGCTAGGCATCGTAGGAAAGCAAGTCCTAGAAAAGTCCCAGACATTCACGAAGTAGCTAAGTAAGAAGTCGACCCTTTACCTCCGCGACCAGTTGTTCTTGACAGATTGGAGCACTGCAACTTTATCCCACCTAGGGCGTTGGGCGAAGGGTGAGGATCCACCTCTAACATCCTAACCAATTAACAGTGGAGGGGCCGCGTTAAGCTTGCTCGTGTGCAAGTTACGCAGCATTTCGAATTTTTCCAAAGTCAGAAGTTCGCTGTCTAGTAGCTGGCTGATATTGAGACTGGGTATCGCGCATTCGCGATCTTCACTGCGATTCCATCCCCCCCCCCCCCAACCCCCCCCAGAGGCATTCAAATGAGGTGGTGATCTTCCGCTTTCCACAGAGAGTTGCGCTTGACTGGCTGACCCCCTCCCTTCCCTTCAGCGGTCGAGGACACGTCGCACACCGACAACAGGTCAGGGGTTTTTTCCACTGCGGTCTTAACTCATCCAAAGGCGATGAATCCAGGTGACACGGTGAGAGCAGTTGCTCTTGACCAATACTTGCTTAACGACCTAGACTTCTGTGATTTCACTGCGATTTTGACTCCCCCCAAGGCGATGATGAGGGGCCGTGTGAGGGAGTGGGGCAAGACTGCCAGCGGGGTCTCAGCGCATCAAAAACAGGAGGCAAAGGTTTTCGTGGTGGCTTATCTAATCTCCACGTGACCTATAATTTTGGCTCGGGTAAGGGAGGAACGTAGGGTTCGGTGCTCCACACCAGCGATTCACCAAAAACATTTTCGAAGTCGTGAAATTTCCAGCCTAGTTCACGATTCCACGTCCGCCATCTAACCCTCCAGCCAGCCCCGTAGTTGAATTCGACACCCCCAAACCGACACAATGGCCAAGCTCTCGTAAGTCATTGTCATTCTACTCTTCGAATCCAGCGACGGCGCAAAAATTTCGGCTTCTTTTCACCCCTCCTCCAGCGACCACGGAGGTTTTTGGTGGGATGCACGCGACAGAAAGCGGGCGGGCGCTCAAGATTTCAACGCACAACAACGACGACCGACGCAGGGAAGGAGGAGAGAATTTTGACGATGGCAAGGCAAAGGCCGGAAGTGTAGGATTGGGACCCGACTGCGATAGAAACACCGATTGACGGCATACACGAATGGAAGACAAGAACACTGCGGAACGATTACCCCCCGCCTACCGCCTGCCCACCACGAGAAACGAAATTTTGCGCCGACAAAGGAGGAGACATGAGCAGAGAAAACTCTGGCGAATTCCCAGAAGCGGAAATGCTAACCAGATTCCTACAGTCGCGGTGCCCCCGGTGGCAAGCTCAAGATGACCCTCGGTCTTCCCGTGTACGAACTCTCCTCTCCCCGAATGAGAGAAACCCTCTCTGGTGTGGGAACTCGTCGCTGACTCTGTTGCTTCAGTGGTGCCGTCATGAACTGCGCCGACAACTCTGGTGCCCGTAACCTTTACATCATCTCCGTCAAGGGTATCGGTGCCCGCCTCAACAGACTGCCCGCCGGTGGTGTCGGTGACATGGTCATGGCCACCGTCAAGAAGGGAAAGCCCGAACTCCGCAAGAAGGTCCACCCCGCCGTCATCGTGCGCCAGTCCAAGCCCTGGAAGCGTTTCGACGGTGTCTTCCTGTACTTCGAGGACAACGCCGGTGTCGTAAGTACTATCCGATATCTATGGGGGATGGGACGCGTCGGAAGGGATTTGGCTATGCGGTTTTCGCATGGCCAGCCTCTGACGATGAGATTGCTGTTTCGATGTGACATTCACTAAGAACTCTCTGCTAACACAACTACTACAGATCGTCAACCCCAAGGGTGAGATGAAGGGCTCTGCCATCACCGGCCCCGTTGGTAAGGAGGCTGCTGAGCTCTGGCCCGTAAGTTCTTCCAATATCAGCAAGTTTCCCGGGACATATCCAACTAACACCCATCAACAGCGTATTGCCAGCAACTCTGGTGTCGTCATGTAAAGGAGTTTTTTTTTTTTACACAAGTCAAGAAATAAAAGGGCGAAAAGGACGACGTTATGGCTACGGATTAGGTCAACCGGTGCGAACCATTGGGACATACTTCATCACCCCCTCTTCCTCCTCTCTCTGTGACAACCTCTCTCCCCCTACCATGTCGTCATGAATGAGAGAGCCGAGGTCGAATGGATTCATCACACAAAACACCATCTGAAAGAGGGTTGTGGGCCTGGTTTTTTCTTTTTAGTTTCCTCGCTGGACTGGCAGGCTCTGCATTTCGGCTGTGGCGTGTAAAGGGAAAGAAATTCATACCAGGCATTTCGCATACAGGAGAGATACAAAAATCCGATTCTTTGCGCACGTTACACATATTTGCCTCCTCCTTTTCCAATGGCTCGCCATTTGCAAATCGACATTGCCTGTGATGTAGTTAAGCCGACGACCGACCAGGGACCTTGCTGTAGTGCGGTCTCCATGTAGGTGGTGTTTCCATGCGATGTTCTCCCCATCACCAAACCTTCACCCAGGCGACGGGTTTTTATATCATCAACGAGAATGTCCGCTTATGTCAGCACGTTCAGCAACATCTTGGAAGAATAATTGGTTCGACATGTTGATTGCGGCTCTGGGTGCACAGCAATTTTAACCCCCCTCGCAGGCCATGGCTTGCAATGACATTTCCCCTCAATCATGCCGAACCAATCCAGCCCTACTTTTACCCATCCCCCTTACTAACCTCTGCCTGCACCATTTGCCTTGATTTACCTTGCTTGCAGTATGCGCCGTATCGGTACTAATCCTGCCCACGTGTCAATTTGACATCGCCAGCTACCTCGTCCAGATGGAACTTGCATTCTGAATAGGTGTTTCCGAATCGCCCGCACTGTCGGCCTCCAGTCTCGATGCCAATCCGGGCTAGACGTACTAGCACCAAGGTATTCGCTAGCTGATTGAGGAAGAGGCAAACCACAGCTCGAGAGATAATCGAAAGCACGAGTCCGCGGACCTTGTCGTCTCAAGTGATTGTAAGGCTATCAAGGATCAGGAGCTGCCGAAGGACTCTATCAACGGAGCTTTTCTTCATCGCCGGAATTGCCTGGGCACCAGGCCCCCGCACTTGGGCATCCGTTTTGACTGTGAGTGGTATTCTCCCGGCTCAGTTGTAAGCACGTAAGATCGATAAAGCCTTGGGGTGAGCCAAAATTGCAATGCTCAGGCAACGACGCATTTGATGCTCTTGCCACTGTCTCGCTCAACTCAGCCGAGTCGCTGCCTTGATGAGGCAACCTGCGCGACCAGGATGGGCCGTGCGTGTGTGTGGAAGGAATGGAAGAAGTCATCAGCGTGATCGCAGCATACCAAGTAAGGTTGAATCCGGATTATTTCGTTGTTTAGTCTGGCTGTCCTGAATGAATGTGCGAGATAAAACTGCAGCTTTTAAGCTGCTAAAAGACATTCAGACCCGTGGGGCGAGTTGAAATTGCAGTGAAGTGGATCCGTTGAGGGTTATCTAAAAAATGAGGCTTACCTATCACTCGATTCGCTAGAGGCCGTCGACAAACGACTTCCAGCACGAAGGCTACCAAGCATTACCCAATGATGCCTCACGAAAGAAATAAAGTCATTTGTTTGCAATGCGAATCTTCAATGATGACGAGAGCCAACAATATTATTTCGGAGAGATCCAGACCTCAGCAAGCGGCAAGCGGTCACTTTTTGCAACTCAGATATAACGCTGGGTGTATAGAGAAATGAAGTAGCCAAGGATGCAATGGAACGAGTCGATAGATGGATAAGAGAGCCACTGCGGGTTAACGACAGGTCATTTCAAATGTGAAGCTGTTCACGCACAAGACGCTCTTGGTAACAGCACGGCCTCCCGGGGGGTGTTAAAATTGCTGTGAACATAAGAGCTAGAAAGCAGGCTGCCGTCCTGCCCAGGTACAATTATGCGAATGCCAATTATATCGTGGGCGCGCAGCCTATACGCAAAGCTGACACTACCACACCCCAACCCGAAGTCCAACGGCATGGTGATGGAACTGTGTAGAGAGGAGGAGGCGATTCCCCTGTGATGAGGAACAGAAAGGCTTTTGCATTTGAATTGGCTAGGCTACCCCGTCAGCCTCATGTGTTCAAGATGAAGGCCATCGATTGCCTGGAAGATCGAAGGTAAGGAACATGACAAGCGAGTCGATCTCACGAATTGTATCTAGAGCGAAGGGCACTTGTGTGGGAGGTCTTGGAATTACTCTGAAAGCGTTAACAAATTCGGCGATGGAGGCTTTCCGGTCTCTCGAGGAGTCAGGGAAGCTGAGTTTGTGACGAGGGACTCATCTTATCAAGTGAAAGAGTCGCCAAACCGCACTTTGATACGGTTAGATAGCGTCGACGGCCAGGTAGACAAGAAACTCCAAGGATAGCAAAGGGGTCACAGCAAGAACATCATGTATATATGGCATCAACGTCAATTTCGTCAGAGAGTATCGACTCTATCCTTCCACCGCCCTCGTACCAGAAGACGAACCCCCACTCATCCATCACAAACCCATATCCTAGGGCGTCTCAACGAAATCATTCAAATAGGAATTCAGAGCCAGTATCCCTCATCCACAAGCCGCTCAGAAATGCGGAAACTCTCTCTCCTACCCCGAGGCCGAGTGCCAGATAGTCCACGACTTGACTCTCCACTTCCATTGACGTGCCACTTCTGGAAACCCGCTTACTGTAGCGAGGTGGTACCAAATCGACGAAATTTCGTGTTCGTCGTATAGAATCAAGAAAAGGTTGGCGCAAATACACAAGAGCCGAAAAAAAGACTTTGATAAAATGAAAATGTGACGGAGACGGCGGCACTGTAAAATCCTCGGTCGCTTTGGAAGCCGACGTTGGTGTGCCGTTGCGTCGATCCATCAATGCAAAGATCCATACGCTCTCTCCTCTTTTTTGGTTTCCAACACTCGAATTGAAAATGAAATTGTCGGATGCCCTCGCTTCCCGATGCTGATGTAAGAGAGATCATCTCCCAAGGTGCCTCTCCCGATATGTGTACTCGAACAAGAAAACCGAATTAGGTGTGTATCGACGCGGATCTTTTCGTGTTCGTTTGCCCGAGGTCGTCCACTGCCATCCGGATGCGACTTTCGTCATGCGAATGGGTATACAATGCTGATCGTAGAAGACTGGAAAGTAGTTGCTCTGAGAAGCACGTGATGCTGGTAATGATATTCATGGGTCTCGTGACCTTTTGTTGGTTGTGTTATGTTGATGTGATCCATACGGGTCATCATCTTGCTCTGCGTGGTGGTTCCACTGGCCGTTCTTGACGGACTGTTATGCAAGGTTAGTTGCTCTTGGTTTCGTTACTGTCCCTTTCCCATGGGGAAGGGTGCCGGTTGTCCAGATTGCTGGAGTTGCATAGCTTTCTGCTGAGCGACTCGGGCCGCATCAGCTTCGGCTGCGGCAGCAGCTGCCTTTTTCGCAGCCAGAGTGGCTTTTCGCTTATTGACAGCGCCCTGCATGCTGCCATTGAGCCATCGTTCTGGAAATATTGTTAGTGGACTGTGATATCAGTGATGGGGTTAGGTGAAAAAGTACTCTTCATCGAGGCGGACATCTTCTCCGACTTGGTCATGGTGGAGTAATCCTTCTCCTCCCCTTCGGCCTGGCTAGGCGGGGCTGATGACTTGGCCGAGGTAGGTGCAGACATCGGGGCTGGCCGAGGGGTCGATAGGTTGTACTCGCTGACGTCGGTCGATGTTTGGCGCGGTGAGGCTGGGGGCTTGATGGTCCATCTGGAGCCGTTGTTGATCAACTTGAAGGACACTATCAGCCGGGGCAGAGGTGATTCGGGTGTATCGAGAGTCGCAGCGAAGCGGTGTATGTCAGCTAGAATGTGTTCGCTCAACGTCTCCTTGGGTGCGAGCTCCGGTGCGCTTTGCTTTCTGTTAATGCGAATGATGCGTGCCTTCTTGGGCTGGGGTTCGGCCTCCACTTCTTCCTCGTCGACTTCCTCCTCATCCTGCCAGTTTCGCTGTCGCTTCTTCTGGCGCAGTCCGTAGGTAGATCCGGCGTCCGAGATAGTGGCCATGGATGATGCCGAGGTAGGGCGAGATTCGTCGGTTGTCTCGGGTGCAGCAACGGCAACATGACCGTTGCTCTTTCGCTGCGCTGCGCGACCTCTCTTGGGGGTCGGTTTCTCGGGCTCTTCTGGCTCCTCCTCGACAATGGCGGCTGACTTTGGTTGTCTGCCACGCTTGCGCTTGGGAGGCTGTACCTGCTCTGGCTCCGGCGGCGGGACGATAGCCTCTTCTTCGGGAACAGGCGAAGTCGGCTCCGAGACCACCACAGCAGACTTCCTACCCCTCGGTCCTCTCTTTTTGGGGCCGGGCTTGGCAGGTGATATTGTTTGCGGCTCAGGCTCAGGCTCCTCATCGGGGTCTTGAGCAGATGCCGCCTTCTCTGCAGCGGCGGCCCTACCGCGTTTCTTCGGGCCTGGTTTGTTACTTCCCGGAGTTGCTGCACGGTGGTCGTCCTGTAACACGCCGTCAAACAACTTCGGGGGGTTGCGAGTTCTCTTGCCAGAGACGATGACTCCATCGCCCTCGGCAGCCTTGGCGCTTGCTTGCGGCTGGCTTCGAAGTTGGCGAACACCCTCTCCTCCACCACCCTTCTGGGCGCCGGGATCTTGGTTGCCGACTTTGTTGGGGTGAGGATCGTACTCGAAGTGATACGTAGCGGCCATGATCCTGTCTTGCAAGCGTTGTTCGAGAATCCCGGCGTCTTTCTCCTTGATCGTGGCTCGGGAGCCCTGCACCTCAAACTCCTTTTCCATGTATGAGTCTACCTTGGCAAAGGCATTCAAGTCGGCAGTCTTCTTTTCGTAGGCGGCATCTTGAATTGCGCGACGCTGGGCATTTTCTTGATCGTCTACGATCCTGCTGCACTCCTTGTACTCTTCTTGATAGGCAAGGAGGCATTCGTTCGCCTGAGCCAGAAGGTCCCAGAGCTCCTCTTGGGGAAGGTCCTCAGAGTCCTTCAAGAAGGCTAGGAATTCGGTAGGATCTCTGACCTTTTTGAATCTGTACTGTTTTCTGAACCGCTGCTTGGGCATCAAGGCTGGTGTGCTGGTTCCAGTGGCAGCCGAGGGCACGACTGGCGACCCTTGCCGGGGCGTCAATGCGGGAGTCGGGGCAGCCGAGTTGTAAGCGGATCCTTGGGAAAGTTGCTGACCCTGGCTGTCGGGTGCGAGATCCTCATCGTGTTCGGCGTCGCGCTCAGCGTCGTCAACTTCACCGTCCGCATCGACATTGGCGCCATCCTCTGCGTCTGCTTCGGCACCTTGACCATGAGCAATCGCATTGGCATCCTCGGGCGTCTCTTCAGCGTTCTCTCGCTCGCCGGAAGCTTCAGCGGCGTCGACGTTTGAAGTGGGCGCAGACGCTTCGACAGCGACGGGGTAGATGGAGTGGGTGACATATTCGCCATCAATGTAAGGTGTAAGGTGGGACCACGCATGGCGCTTCTTTTTCGCCTCAGGAGCGGCGGGCTGGGGCTGCGGGGATGCTGCTTTGGGTTCAGGAACAGCAATATCATCCTGCATCTCTGCATCGGGTTCTTCTGCGATGTCAACGTCCATCTCGTCTTGGGGCCGGGACAAATCCTCGGACTGAGTCGTGAATGATACAGAGACGTCGACATCTTGTGAAGGGGCGGTAGATTGTGTATTCAACGGCTCCTCTTGAGGCGGAAGCTTATTTTCGGTCGCTTCAGCATGACTATTTACCTTTGCGTCCTCTGTTGACACATCGGCGATAGACTCTCGTGGTTCTTCAATCGGCTGTGCGACGTTGACATGGTCGGTGTTGGTGTTGGTGGCGTTGAAAATCTGAGTAACGGCTGGTGCGGAATTTTCCTGGGTACCGGAGACAACAGCAGAGTCGGTGTTGGCTGCCGGCTCAGCCATCTCCGGTAGAGCCGTTCTTTGCGGTACGCTCTCAGTAGGCCGCACGGGAGAACTGGCTTCTCTCTTGGGCTGGATAGAATAGTCTTCGACGAATTCGCCATGATGAACTGCTGTCGCCTCGGTGTCTGGGCGGGGGCCAATGTTTCCGAAAATGGTGACTTGGTTGACGCGGATGGGCTGAGGGTGCGCAATGATAGGGCTTGACACCACATTCGCGGCGGTAACAATGTCGTCGGGGACGGGTTGTGCTTGGCTCGATTGACTCTCATCCTGCTTGATGATCTGATGGTCAATGGGAGAGGCCAGCTGAAGTATTACCTGAGTCTTGCGCTGGATGGGTGACGAGAGCTGGTGGTCATGGGTTTCTGGAAGGGAGGCGTGACCGGAGATGTCCTTGTCATTGTCATCATGTTCAGATGCATCATCGGAGCTGATGAGGTCAGAAGAATCGCCCACCACTTCAATAGTGTCTTTGACAATATCTTCGTCTGATTGCTGAGAGTAGAAGGATTGTTGCTCGACGACGTTCTTCCGGGCCGGTGTCCGACGACGAGCGGCGGTAATGCTAGCGACGGAAAATTCTCTCGAGTTGGCGCGGCGTTTCTGTGCCGTGGGAGTGTAGTACTCTTCGTCGACGACTTCACTATCAGCCCGCTTCTTGCGGGTAGCAGTGCGAGGAGCCGGGATCGCAATCTCGGGCAGCTCATCCTCAAAGTCTGCGGCGGAGTAGTCGATTTTGGCACGCTTTCTCAAAGTGTGAGGGCCCTTGCGGTAGGTCTCGTCTTCTTCATCGGCGGGTCCGTCAAAGCCGCTGGTGCGAGATCTCTTTCTAAGAGCCTTGCCAGGGCCAGGACCAGGACCGCCTGTGCTGGGAGATGAGCGGACGCTGAAGGGGTTATTCATGGGAATGGGCTTTGCGTTGCGGCGATTTGGAGGAGCCGTCTGAGGAGTGCGAGAGGCAGCAACGGGAGGAGAGCGCGTCATGATGCTCGAGTTTGACTCGCCGCCGGCGCTGGTATCAGACTGGATGCTGGAAGTAGGAAGAGTTTTCCGGCGATTCGGACGGCCACCACGAGAGCGCTGGTCCATATCTATAAGGGCAGCGGGTGTGTGATGGTGCGCTCAAGTAAGAACAGGTGAAGAGGTGACCTGGCTTACGGAGACGGATGTGTAGATGATTCGGGGGTAGAAGGGGAGCCGCAATAAGATGGCGGAGAAAGCCGAGAAGTCATTCAATGAGACGGGAGGCGACTGCTCTGAATATTGATTGTGATGTGGATGAGGAATAATTGATCCCCTCTCCCGTCGTAGATTTGACGGATGTGAGTGAGAGGCGGTCGAAAGGGGGGGGAGGGAGGTTGAAGGTGAAGGTGCTGGCAGAAACCGGGTTTGATGCAAGTAAGTGGTGATGTGGTGGTTTGACTTGGACCACCCGACTGACTGAGAGCTGAGAGTGAGAGCCAAAGGTGGTGAGTGGTGAGTGAGTGAGTGAGCGAGACCGAGAGAGAGACCTGAGCTGAGGAAACGGGCCTTGCTGGTGTCAATACCAAATAAGAGGTCAAATTTGGGAGCAGACAGGTCGGGTCTGCGCGATAGTAAGAGCAAACAAAAATACGCTCTGGAGAAAGCTGGAAAGCCAAGGAAAATAGCGACGATATTTTCAAGAGGGCAAAGAAGTTGTGAGGTTAGGATATCTGGCGTGGAAAAAGTGGTAATTTGCGCTGTTGGTGGCCCCTTCCTGTCTTGTTGCTGAGATGGCTCTTTCCCGTCTTCACTTTGACTTGCATTTCTCAATTTTGCCAGCCGGGGCCCTGTTCACGTCCACACGTCCACCTCTTGCTGGCCTGGCTCAGGCTGGCTGCCACTTCCTCCCGTTCCGTTACTGGCTGGCGGGGGCCGAGAGAGAGAAAGGGAAGGCACGACTGGGGCCCCTTTGGAATGCTCCTGCACTGGCATTGGCTGTTAGTTCCTTCCGAGCCAGCCACGCCTGGACCACAAGGCAATGGGAAGGGAAGGAACGAAAAAACCGGTACGTGGGTACAAGGGCCCAAGGGGGGAAAGGGAACTCGGGAGTGAGATACGTACCTCCGGTTCACTCTCACCCCAAGTTCCCGTCCCGTCGCAGCCATCCATCCAAGCTATGTACGGGTGCCGTGATGGGAGACCATCTAGCAGCTATGAGCCTTACTCAACTCCCTGTGATGTGCTCTCTACAGGGGGATCTCTAGTGGACAAAGCGCTAAATTCAGTGAGCAACACCCCTAACAGCCTGCTGCAAGCCTTGACAGACCAAGAATGGGAACTCAGCCCGGCCAGATGGCGACTTCAGACGGGGACCCACAAGACACGCTTTTTTCATTTCCGACTGGGGATGGGCGTCCACTCAGAGCCAATGAGATGACACGCTTCTCGTACACTCCGGATCTGGACTAGCGCGTCCCTTCTCTCCGCTTGATGCATGTCCCGTCCCTGGTGATGCATGTCTCCAGCAGCTGTCGCCAATATGTGTAGTGCTGTGCCTGCGCTGGTGCATCACATTTCCCCCGTTTGGTTCACAGTTGGACAACTGAGTGAAGGTTCAACTGCGTCTTCTTATCAACCACCCATCTTCATTTCAACAGTGAGCTGGAGTCCCTCTGTTACACTCCCCAATACCGCATTGATCGCTTCGGCCTGGCCCGTCGGACTTAGTACCCCACGCTATCTTGCTCCTTTGAGCTCTTGTTTCACGGTGTCCTGATACCTAGCGTTGCCTGACTAAGCTTGCCGGGCATCCCTTTTGGAGCTACCTAAACGCCCTCGAAGTGCTGCACCTTTTGGCTAGTGACGTCTGCCCCGCAACATCACCAACACCACAAGACCTCCATCGCCCAACATGGCTTCCAAGAAAACAAAGTCCGCCGCTGCCGGCGACGACATTGACGACCTCTTTGATGGCATTGGTGACAATGTTGCTCCCCCCAAGAAGTCGCTCGAGAAGAAGCCCAAGCCTACCACCGCCGCCTCCAAGGCAATGGCTGATAACGACATCCTGGCCGAGCTCGAGAAGGACCTCGAGCAACCCTCCCGTCCGCATACGCCGCGTCTTAAGGAGACGGCAGCGAAGGGCATTCCCAAACGCTCTGCGACCCCTACCACCGACGACAAGTCGACTGCCCCCCGCAAGTCTACCGACAGCGCACGATCTCTCCGCGCGAGCTTCACCCCGAGTGCCACGAGCTCTGACCTGCAAGAACCCGAGAAGAGGCCTGCCGAACAGCTTGCCGCCGCACCTTCATCGGCTGCTAGTACCGAAGCCGCGCCAGCTGCGGGAGGTGGCTGGTGGGGCGGCATCTTTAACACGGCCACTGCTGCCATGAAGCAGGCCGAAGCTGCTGTCAAGGAGATTCAGAAGAACGAGGAAGCCAAGAAATGGGCCGAACAAGTTCGAGGAAATGTTGGTGGCCTCAGAGCTCTTGGTAAGTCCCTAAGCTGATTGCGCCGTCTTGTCAACGCAACCAAGGCACGTTGGTAGACTTGGAGCAACCAGGTACTAACACTACCTCAACAGGTGACAACCTTCGCCAGCAAGCCCTTCCGACATTCACAAACATCCTCCATACTATTGCTCCTCCCATCAGCTCTCACGAGAGACTCCTCATCCACATTGCCCACGATATGGTCGGATACCCTTCCCTCGATCCCTTGATCTACGGCACCTTCTCCCGCGTCATGTCCCAGGTGGAGGGCGGTGAGTTGATGGTCATTCAGAGAGGCCAGGAAACTCACAGCCGCAGATACTCCAACGACGGTGGCGCTGGCTGGAGAGACGGCCCTTGGTGGAGACAATCTGACTCCCCGCGTGACCTGGGTCTGATCAAGGGTCTGACCGAGGGCACGAAGCTCTGCCGTGCCGGAGCTGAAGGGTACGCCAGCGAGTACTTTGCAGCCAACGGTGGTGTCGAGCAGGCTCGGCTACGTGCAACTGAGCCGGTGAGCGAAGACAACCCGGTTCGCAGCTCCGACCTGTTTCTTGCCATCCAGGCTGTGGGTACCACGGCCGACGCGGGTCTCTTTGCCCGTACGTCTGCTGTTGAGAAGGAGAAGGAGGCTTCGGCCGTGACCGAGCAGGATGAGGCTGACGAGATGGTTTGCTTCGCCGTCTTCTGCCTCGACCCTGTCCACGAGATCGAGTACTCGGCCATCAGCCAGTCCATCCCGGCCAAGTGGATCCGCTGGTTGGACGCCTCCAACCCGCTGACTCCTGCCAGCGGCGAGGATGGCCAGGAGGATTTCCTGGGTCAATCTATTCCGGACGAGATCCGTGAGATTGTCGAGGGCGGTGGTGTCGATCCCCGCGAGTGGGTCGCCGAGTGGATCGAGGAGTTGCTGAGCCTGGCTGTGGGTGTTGTGGCACAGAGATATGTTGCCAGGAGAATGGGTGTCGGTGAAGGAGGCATCGGCAAGGGCAAGAGGCGTATGGACGAGCTCGTTCAGGGTGGTGGTGGCGAGGCTGCTCGGGCTGGTCTCATCTAAGCCCGTACCGGATAGCGGTGACTGTATGATTTTATCTAGGTGTTCGGGTATACCGCTTTCTTTATCAATATCATTGAATATCCATTATCATTATACAAATGGCATCATCAGTGGTCACGTATTTGCCTGCTAGTGTGACATATACCTTGATCGTCGTTCAAACATATTCGGAGTTGACGAACAATTAGACCTCGGCATATAATCTAATGAAGCGCATGGTTGATGTTTCTCAGACAACCCCGCGGATGGAACGCCCTAGGACTTATTTTCGTTTGCGAGCTTAGACACCTGGGACATTCGTATTGTCACCAACTCCTTGAGTTCCAAGGTTGTTGATATTACCTCTGAGAAAGGAATCAAAAAAAAATCCATGTCGACGAAGAAACCTTCCAACTCGTTCTGAATCAAGTCAGATTATTGAGGTTATTCTACTCCTAACGCATGATTCTGAAGTTACCTTTATGCGCCAACCGACTTACACGGCTCGGGACTGAACAGCCGGCGCCAGCTGTGTCCCATGCCCGGCACCTCACCCGAGCCCCCACATTGGGTTCCTTCCCAAAAAGTCCACCCCCGCCGTTGTCAGGGATCGTGCGTATTACATAATCCAGAAGACACGCCGTAAAATCTGCAAAGAAAATTTCCTTCCTTCAGTATTTCCCATTCTACCAGTTTCACTGGTTGAACACCACATCTTGACTTGACCGGCATCGCCAAAAACGCAGATGGCTCGAGTGAGTCAAACAGGAACATTCTCACATATTTCTGTAAGAATGCGCATTATTCATTGCCTCCCTGAACTCTGCAGCGATGACCATCGCGTCAGAAAGTGGTGTGAAACCAAACGAACAGGAGGGTAGCTTTCAGCTATCGTTACCTACAGCAGCGTCTACCCAGTCACTCGGGATATTCACGAGTCTTTGCTTCGGCGAGGGTCTCCTTCTTGTGCCGCGTTTTGCGGTGCACTCTGGAGAGGACTGGAATACTACTATTGAACGGCGAAATCGAGGGAAGGGCGTTTACGTCTTGATCTTGATTTCGCCGGCTGCGAGAAAAACAGGACCATCATAGTCCATGCCCATCTTTTTTTCCTACATGGGCGAGGCTCCAGGCGTACCGACATATTTTTGCTGTGATTTGTTGTTTGAATGATTTGAAGTGAAGGCATTGCTGGCCTGAAGTGGTACTTGCCAGTCAGGTTAATGTTGTCCAAATGACTCGGTTGACTCCGAGTTGCTCCATTACCCAGGCTTGTGAAGCATCTGCACTGCGGCCACGAGCAGTCAGTCCATCAGGCGACAAAGTTACTCTGAGGTGGCCCGAGAACTGAGAGATTATTTCATGTTATGGAATATGGATTCAGAGGAGCAAAATGATTTTGCATCCCGGCCGAGTCCCAGTTTAAGGTTGCCAGTCTCCGAAGTTTTCCTCCACCCACATGCCATTGCAGCCAACCACCTTGGATGGGGAGGTGCAAGTTACTGTCGCCATTCACCACAAAGAAAGGCCTGACGTCACTTGGCAGTCAGCGCTCACAAACGGCAGGACGGCAACGCCAGCAAGCCGCTCTTTCCTCTCCTCCTCGACGCAGTAAGGTACCTTGATACCTCACGTTACCCCCTCCTTTCCCCCCTAAATGTACGTAGCTGTTCTTTAGCGTTTCTGTGCCAAGGAAACTCGACATATCCAAAGTCGACGTCGACGTCTTATCACAACCTCTCTACTGCTTGCATGTGCTTCACATCAGACCATCTCGACTCCCACGCCCACGCCCTCATATACCTGGCTGCATACCTTACGTAGACACTTCATTTCGTGCTGAACTCATCTTGAATCACTCGAGTCTCGTCAACATTCGATGCCACCCAGAATCATCGTGAACCCTCTTCGTAACACCATCATCACCCGCCGATCCCATCTGCCCCGTCTATCACACACCATGACTCCCACCAAGGACCGCAAGGAGTCCAAGTTCTCTCACTTGCCTCTGAGCACCAGCGGACCCATCAGCTGCGCCGTCACGGGCAGCGCGCTGCTGAACACCCCATATCTCAATAAGGGAACGGCCTTCCCCGAGGATGAGCGCCGCGAGTTCAACCTCACCGGTCTACTTCCCCAGAGCATCCACTCCCTCGACCAGCAACTGCACCGCGCCTATGAGCAGTACAAGAGCCGCCAGGATGACCTTGCCAAGAATACCTTTCTGACGTCGTTGAAGGAGCAGAATGAGGTGCTGTACTATCGGGTACGTGTTTGCATGTTGCCTCATATTGAAGTATTTGTGATTCTGAGACTGGGTAGTTGCTGCAAGAACATCTTCCAGAAATGTTCAGCATAGTGTACACGCCCACCGAGGGAGACGCCATTCAGAACTTCTCCAGGCTTTTCAGAAGGCCTGATGGCTGCTTTTTGAACATTAATGATATAGACCGTGTTTATCACGATCTCGCCCAGTGGGGACGACCAGGGGATATCGACTACATTGTCGTTACCGGCAAGTTTCCCCATCCCCGCAGCTGCCTTTGGTCTCTCGAACCTGTAGCTCTCGCATGATGTGCTAACTAGCTGCACCAGATGGAGAAGAAATTCTGGGTATCGGAGACCAAGGTGTCGGTGGTGTCTTGATCTCCGTGGCCAAGCTCGTTCTCACAACTCTGTGCGCTGGCGTTCATCCCAATCGGACTTTGCCTGTGGTGCTCGACTGTGGTACCGATAATGAGGAGCTCTTAAACGATGATTTGTACCTGGGACTCCGACAGAAGCGTGTGCGAGGACACAAGTATGACCGCTTCGTTGACGAGTTCGTCAAGGCTGCCAGGAGGCTGTATCCCCGCGCTTACATCCATTTCGAGGACTTTGGTCTCACCAATGGTACGTTGCTTGTGTGAATCTTGTTCCGGGACCTTTACTGACAAGCTCTGAACTACGCAGCCAGAAGAATTTTGGATCAGTATCGTCCCCACATCCCTTGCTTCAACGATGATGTGCAGGGAACAGGATGCGTCACTTTAGCGGCCATCACGGCTGCTCTACACGTGAGCAAGCAGAAGCTCACTGACCTGCGCCTGGTCATCTTTGGTGCCGGTTCGGCTGGCGTCGGAATCGCGGACCAAGTCAGAGACGCCATTGCCGCTGAAGGGAACATGAGCAAGGAGGATGCATCCAAGCAGATCTGGTGCGTGAATGTCAGCACCACTACAAGCTGCATCATTCTTGCTAACAGAGACACAGGTTGATCGACAAGCCCGGCCTCTTGACTACCGACAGCGAGGTATCCGCCGCCCAAAAGGGCTTCGCCAAGGACCCTTCAGACTGGAAAGACAAGGACGCGTCTCTCCTCTCGGTCATCAAGAGCGTCAAGCCCAACGTCCTTATCGGGACCTCGACGAAGCCCAAGGCCTTTACGGAAGAAATTGTCCGGGCCATGGCAGACGGCGTCGAGCGACCCATCATCCTCCCGCTCTCCAACCCAACCCGGCTTCACGAGGCCGTGCCCGAGGATATCTACAAGTGGACCGACGGCAAGGCTCTCGTCGCGACAGGATCCCCCTTCAAACCGGTCAAGGGTCCATGGGGCGAAGGCGGCAAGGAGATTGATATCGAGGTCGCAGAGTGCAATAACTCGGTCGTCTTCCCTGGCATCGGTCTCGGCTCCGTGCTCTGCCGCGCTAGCCTGGTGACGGATAAGATGCTCGTTGCGGCCGTGGAGGGCGTCGCGTCGCTGAGTCCCGCGCTTAAAGACCAGACGGCGCCGCTGCTTCCTGGTGTAGATGTCGTCAGGGACGTGAGCGTCAGGGTCGCGCGGGCTGTGATCAAGGCGGCTGTCAAGGAGGGCGTGGCGACGGAGGAGGGGATCCCGGAGGGGGACGAGGACCTGGACGAGTGGATCCGGGAGCAGATGTGGTCGCCCGAGTACCGCCCGCTCAAGCATGTTGAGTTTAGTGAGGCGAGTAGGGAGGCCAAGGGGGAGATGAAGGTTGCTGGGAGCTTTAGCAGAGTTGGGAGCTGGTAGATGCTGTCGTTTGGTTTCAAAGAAGGCGTGTCCAAGACCGGAGTCTCTTCCGAATACCGCAAAAGGGCAAAATACATGCAACACCGGGCATTCGCCGGTCGTCTCCGACCCGACTACTACTCCGGCCCTCACTGGTTTATCGATGGGAGAGCGGACGGGATCCCGAGTTCTCCAGTGGGTGTGGTCGCATGTGCTGTGTCGAGGGAGTGGGGATGCTCAAGTTAGGGAGAAGTTTGGTGGTGAGGCTCTGGAAAGGCTGATCAGCGTCGTCGGGGTCATTTGGGGAATGGAGGCAGAACAACCATTTAATAATCCTGAAATAGATACTAGAGAATGATTGGAAGAGTTTAACGCAAAGACTTGTGCAGAATTGTTTTGTGGTGGTGTTTGGTGAATTGAATCGGCATTTTAATGACTCTTTTCAAATACGAAAAAGTGGCAATACTAATGAACACCGCGACAATTGGCGACAAGTCTCGCCACGACAGCCAGTCCAGAAGGAAAATAAATACGTCGGATCGATCCGAGAACTAGCAATGATTTTCATGAGGATCATGAGAGAAAAAATAAAGGAAATATATTACCGAGGCTTTCCGGTAAAACTCACACTCATTTAGGAACAACGAGGGGCAGCAAGATAGGGGAAGACTTTTCTCACGAGGGCAACAGATTGAAGAAAACTACGGACTGCTAGTCTTGAGTATCTCAAAGAATGTCCCAGCTAAGAATTTCTTCATGAGACATGTACCTGCATCTCTGCTGCCTCTTGACAAAGGCAGTTGGCATTACACCGCATCTGAGCCTCATCCAATGACCACCGTCCTCTGACACTGATCCAGCCTCAACCTGAGAGTAACATATACAACGCCACTCAAGTAGACACAAGAGGTGAAATTCTTCATGAGGCTCATTCCAGTTCATTCAGTTGTGCGACATCGACGATTGCAACATGTCAAAATGGGTCCCAGCTCATGGACAGAGAGCCAAGCAGACTACGAACAGCTGTGGTTACACACGAGCAAAAGGAACCTGGGAACCCAGCCATCATGTCATGAACTTTTACTTTTTATTTCTACTCAGCCACGGCACTCATTGCTGCGACACATCAACCTTTGTCCACCAAAACTCCGACTCCTTCCTCGCCCACGTATCGGCATGCAACCTCGCCGGAACACCCGCCTCGCCCCCAATAAGCTCCTTATTCTCCTCCGCAAACACCAACGCCTTGGGCTCCTCCGCCACATACCGCTCCCACACCGGCCTCTCGGGCGCGCTCTCGCCCCGCACGGCATTCGGATCACCCGCGACGATGAAGCTGGCCAGGTACGCGTTCAGCGTCAGACACAGCTCCTTTTGCGTCGGCGAGATTTTCGACTTGGCGGGCTCGCAGGCCTCGTAGTACATATTCTCGCCGTGGCGCGCGCGGTCGAGGAGGGAGCTCTCGAGACCCCATTGGTAGAGGTATACCGGCAGCTCCGGGTCCGCGCGGGAGGCGAGATCGGCTGTTTGCCGGACGGGCGCGACGTAGGCGTACTGCCCGTAGGCGATTTCGAGGCGGCGGTATTGGGCACCCGTGCCGTCGAGGGATTCCTTGTAGGGCGAGGTGGGGATGGTGAGGGGGTCCGGGTAGAGTTTGTCAATGGTCTCGACGTCCTCCTTGGAGAGCAAGGGGAGCAGGTCTGCGAAGAAGGAGGTGAATTCTTCCGAGGCGGACACCTTTTTGGAGATGTAGATGGAGCCTTCGTTGCGGTTGAAGCCCGTCATGATGGGGACTTTGCGCCACTTGTTGAGGCGCCAGGATTCCATTGGCGGGCGGGGGATGATGTCGCCGTCGACGACGGGCTGGAAGGCCCAGCGGAGGGACGGGTTGTACTTGTCAAAGACTGCGATTTGGGCTTTTTGGACGACCTCTGTTGGCGCGGCGCGGAGGTAGGCGAAGGTTTCGGCGGCGGAGAGGTTGGGCGGGCAGCCTGTTTCTGTGAGGAAGTCTGCGAATTGGGCTTCGTGGATGGGGGCGCTGTAGGGGCGGACTGCGCGGGATGTTGGGGCGCCGGATTCGAGGATGACTTTGTGGAAGAGGGGTGGGTTGTATTGGCCTTCGTCGTTGATGAGGATGTGGCCGATCTGGGGTTGTTTGTTAGATTTGAGTCTTCTCTTTTGGGGGAAGAAATGGCAATGTCTATGAAGACTTACAGAGTGTGCTCCGGCGGAGATGCCAAAGAGGGTGACGTTGTTGGGGTCTCCGCCAAATGCCGTGATGTTGTCGCGAACCCACTCGAGGAGAATGATTTGATCTTTCAGACCGAGGTTCACGGAGCCCTCCTCGTAGCTCTTGGTTGACGGGAGGAAACCGAGCGCTCCGATACGATAGTTGAAGGAAACCGCAATGAAAGCCTGTCCCGAGTTGGCCAGGAACGAAGCCGTGTTGTGCATCATGGCCGTGCCTCTGTTGAACGCGCCGCCGTGGATGTACACGGCCACGGGCAGCAGTGTCTCATCTCGAGACGACGAGACGGGCCGGAAGACGTTGGCGGTCAGGCAGTCCTCGCTGTACTCAAACGCCGGTCCGCCGGGGAAGAGCTGCTTGCCCGGCGCGACGGGACCCCATTTCGAGGCGTCGATTTCCTTCGTTGAGGGTTCGACTTTGACCGGCGCGCGGAACCTGCGATCTCCTGTTGGCGGGAGCGCATACGGAATACCCTTGAAGGCTTCGACCGGCCGGGGGAGACTGTCTGACACTACTGTGCCGATGACGGTTCCCTGGGTGAGTTTCACTGAAGGACGGGCGTCTTGGATTGTTGAACCCATTGTGAGTGACTGTGAAGCTTTGGGTCTCTGCCTTGACTGTGTGTAAAGACGGATGATGGAGTTGAGTTGAGTTGAAGAGTCTCAAGTCGCAATTCACAACTCACAACTCACGACCGGGGTGCATCCCACGGAGCTCTTATCGATAATCGGCGGTTGCTCGTACCGGCTTGCCGTTTGAGTTGCAGTTGACTTAGACACGCCTCTTCTCGGACAAGCTCCGGATAGTGACCTGACTAGTATTACTCTGTAGTTATCGAATGGTTGCTTGGCACCGTGGCGGGAAAGGCTTGATTAGGCGTTAAATGATTGCGAGAGACTCAAAGAGGCTGTTGATACCGGGGGCTTTCCCGCGGGGACGAAACAGCCGATCTCGGCGGGCGACGCGCTTTCGGGCCCAGATCTGGGCGCCGGACTCCCCTTTTCACCTTTCGACAAGTTGAATAAAGTCAGCAATACTCCGTAAAGGTCCCCCGTTCCCGGCTTATCAGCCCCCGTCCGACTTGTGCTATCGGACGGACCCCGACTCATGGACCCCCCCGGCACGACTTCCCCGCGATAGCCAACTGCCATTGTTTCCTAGTGTTCCCAGCTGAATTCCCAGTCACCCAGTCTCGCGGATAACGTCGCCCGTAACATGTGGTTCCATATGGATCTGAGTTCAGATAAGACGTCCCATTGACGGACTCCTGGGCCTCCGCGTTATCATACCTATCTACCTGGTAGTTTACCCCGGACTGGGTAGCGTGGCGTGGTCAGGGTTGTCGAGATAATGACCAATTGGCAATGAGACATTAAAGGAGTTATCCCTCTCTTCAGAGAGAGACGGGAGTTCCTTGGAAAAATAGAAGAGAGGCTTCATCTTTGGCTCTCTTTCTCGGGATCACCACGCTCACCTTTTTCAAGTCTTTTGTTTTCGAAGTGTTCGCCTACATCGACAACAATGGCTGAGAAAGCGTCCAAAGACATCAAAGTCGCCGAGGATGGCCTCGAACCGACAAAGTCCTTCACGGCGGGCGAGGTCGCGCACCTCGACGAGTCCGAGGCCTTCCTCCAGGAGAACAACATCACAGAAGAGTACCTCGCCGAGCTCGTCAACGACAAGGAGAAGAACCGCCGCCTGGTCCGCAAAATCGATCTGATGATCCTCCCGCTCCTGGCCGGCACCTACGTCTTGCAATACATTGACAAGCAGGCGCTGTCCTACGCCGCCGTCTTTGATTTGTTTTCTAGCACGAGCGTCACGCAGACAGAGTACTCGTGGTTCGCGAGTATCTTCTACCTGGCTTACCTGGTTGCCGAGTACCCGTGGGTCTACATTGCGCAGAAGACGCGCATGGGCAAGGTTGTGGCGGGATGTGTTTTGTCGTGGGGTTCCGTCTTGATGATCACGGCTGCGTGCTCCAACTTCCCGGGACTTGCTGCATGCCGTTTCCTGCTTGGAGTCTTTGAGGCACCCATCACGACGTGCTTCATGATGATGGTTTCCATGTGGTGAGTACTAGGCGCATCAACCCCCCTGTTTCGATACTGTGTCTAACTCAGTCCCAAGGTACGTGCGATCGGAACAGCCTATGCGTGCAGGAATCTTCTACTGCTGCAACGGTGTCGGCAGCATGCTCGGCGGTGTCCTGAGCTACGGCATCGGCCAAATCGACTCCTTCCCCGTATGGAAGGCCGTCTTCCTCATCTGCGGCGGCATCACCGTCATCTGGGGCGGCCTGCTCCTCGTCTTCCTGCCCGACAGCATCCTAAGCGCCAAGAGATTCTCCCTCGAGGAGAGAGCCCTCCTGGTCGGCCGCGCCCGTCTCGCAAAGACTGGTGTCCTTAACAAGACCATCAAGTGGTACCAAGTCAAGGAGGCCTGCCTCGACCCCCAGGTCTGGCTGCTGACGCTCTTCGTCCTGCTCAACGAGGTCATCAACGGCGGCGTGGCCAACTTTGGCAAGCTCATCATCAAGGGACTCGTCTCTGACCCGCTGCTGACCACGGCGTTGGGAATCCCGCAAGGCGCGTTCCAGGTCTTTTGGATTCTCACGGGTGCCTACACCGCGTCGAGGTTCCGTAACCAGCGCACGACTGTCATGGCGGTGTGGCTCATCCCCACCATTATCGGCTGCTGCATGATCTGGAAGCTGGATAGAACACACTACAAGGTTGGTGTCCTGTTTGGGTACTACATGATTGGCTGCTATGTCGCCTCCCTGGTCCTGGCCTTGCAGATGCCGGCGACGAACCTTGGAGGATACACCAAGCGCATCACGGCCTCGGCTATTGTCTTCACGGCGTACTGCGTGGGTAACATCATCGGACCCCACGCCTTCCTTGCCAAGGAGGCGCCGTTGTACGAGACTGGGTGCAAGCTCATTCTCGCGTGCTCGGCTTCGCAGGTGGCTATTGCTGTTGGATTGCGGATTCTCCTTATTCGCCGTAACAAGCAGCGGGATGCGGCGGCAGCGGCAGCTGTTATCTCGCCGGATGCTGAGCACGAGGATGAGGGAGTCGATTTGACTGACAAGGAGGTGAGTTATCCGAGCTGTTGTGATTATGAAGAGACTTTGAAAACTAACATGTGGATAGAACCCCAACTTCCGTTATGTATTGTAAGATATGTTTGCGCGGGATATGTTATAGAGATGACTATAGACAAGAATCTGTTTAGAAGAGCGACAATTATGAGACCATGTTCGAATCGAGAATTGTACTTGAACTGTGAAGCGTAATAGAGCGTTGCCGGGGATTGCCCGCAGAAAGCTAGAGATACCGCCGGGCAGCCGGGCAGTGGCTCTGGATTGCCCGCGGAAATAGACCGCCGACAACCTAGAACGTAGGCCGGAGCTTCTCTAGCTTCCTCTTCCTCGATGACTCGTCTCGTTCCTGTCCCACGTATACACCTAGATGAGGAAGAGTAGTCATGTTCTTTTAGAACGGTTGCCTGTTAATCAGCAACTGTCAGGTACAAATTCGTGTTAGTGGTCTCTCACAAGGTCACGCAGCACAGTTCCGGAGGCAGGTCGAGTGGCAGCGGAAAACTTGGGGATGGAATCATAATCGTATTGACAGTCTGGCAGCTGCGCCTAGACATGTGAGACCCGTATCTGTACCATGACGAACACCTTAACGGCCACGGCTTTTTCAAGGCCTGCATCAATCTGCGGCACGGAGGCTATCAGAGTAGCCCCAGAATCCTCGACCATGGAGACCATCGAGGGTGGCACGAGAATCCTTCGCTAGCCGGGGCGTGGAAGAGGGAGAAAAGACATCGCATCGGGGGCGAAGGGGGCGGATGGTCACTGGGGACTTTTTTGTGGTTTGTCTTGATCTCGAACGCGGAAAATCTCATTTTGTTGGGTAGTCGTGAACCATTCCTATGCCATTTTCCTCTCCGCAGAGAGCCGGACGCCTCGAATTGGCGATATACCATGCAACCAACTCTAGATCCATGATGTCGACCGACCAGACCGAACGACTAGACCCTTTTGACAAGTCAGTCCATCCGTTCGGTTGTTGCAAACAGCCCTTTTGCGAGCCGTACAATAAAACTCCCGACGTACCATCCTTCCCCCCGAGGTCGCACCCTTTCAGCATTTAGCGCTGGCCGGACCAGACAGCCTTGACGAGGCCATCACGCTGGGCCAGACGGTTGAAGGCGTCGTCGGACTCGCCCATCGCGCGAACGAAACCGGAGAGGGCGTAGACGTGGTTCTCGCCGGGGACGGCGCGGCCGTTCTCGTCAACCTTGGCGACGGAGATCTGGACGGAGGCGTGGTCCTTGGCCTTGATGATGCGGTTGGTGGCGCTGCACTTGCGCGGAACGTAGCTATTCGACGGGGAAAAACACAAGAAATTAGCATGGACTCTCGATATCGAATTTTTGGTGTAGTCGCGCTTTTCTGCGAAAGCTTCAATTCTCTCTCGATTTCGTCGCGCGGAAGTTTCGTGGGACGGTTCGGTATGGGGGGAGGGGGGTTTCTCACAGATCGACGATCTCGCCCTTGTCGTTCTCCATTGCTGCGGCTTGCGTTCGGGTTGACTAGAAGCAAGTAGGTGGTGGTTTGCGTGGATGTTGTCGTTCGCGGGGTCGAGATGCAGGAGAGCTGTGGTAGACCTGACTGACTGCCTTCTTTTTTCGAAATTTCGTGTGGGCGGGCCGAAGCGGCAGGAAAGGGTTGAGATCACGTGGATCTAGCGACCTTGCTTACCTCATATCGAAGATAAGATAAGGAGGCTGTCATCGCCCAACCGGGAAGGTGATGGTCTGTGCTCGATGACCAGGATGTATCATGTACCCCTGCTGCAGACAAGGTACGTACTCAGGCCTGGAACTCGGTCCCCTCCACGCTTCCTGCGCGCGTGGGCTCCAGTGGGTGCTGGGGTGCTTTGTTGATGTTCAAAGTCGACGGCGTGAATTCCTTCCAAACTGCCACCGCCACTCGAATGCGCTACTCTCCCTCGACCAATTGTCCTGACTCCGTAATACGGGAACAACTGATGCCTCTATCTTCTGCATAGTCGTACGGTCTTTCATTCCTTCCATACCCACAAACTTTCAATCTGCTGCGAGTCGCATCGAAAACATGCGCTTTGCGCATCACGACGGGTTCGCCGAGATTCACGATGGGGTCGCCGTTTCGAAGCACCCGTCATGACGCCTATAAGCTCTCCTCTTCGCCGAGCTTGCCATCCCTAGACCAGATCAAGTCTCTATTCCCCAAGCAACCACCCATCCGAAGCCCCATGGTTGCCACGTCCACCCCAACACATGCGAGCCACCTCTTCGCCAATCCTTCGAGCTTTCTTCGTCAGGAACAACCTCCGATCGACTTGACAACACCATGCAGAGATGAGCCCATGCCACCTCGACCACAAGAAGAGGAAGAGGTTACAGTGATATCCATTGCGAACATACCGAGACCGAAACGCAAGAGGGGTGTCAAAGTTCTCGAGAAGAAGGCGTCCCAACCGCCTTCACCGTCCAAACCGATTAAAGATGCCTCTGCTAGTCCACCGTGGAAGAAATATGCGAACCCCAAGAAATCGGCTGCAAAGTCTGAGAAGAAACCCAAGGCTGCGAAGCCAAAGGTAGCAGCCAAGAAGAGTGGTGCCCAGAGTTGTCACTTTGCGAAGCCCAAGGTTGAAGGCGGGGAGGACTCACCTCCACTCCCACAATCACCAAAGAGGGATGCAAACGAGCCATTGGAGCTCGAGGCGGCTTTGAGACGCCGTGTAGACTGGACCCCGCCGCCAGCGGACAATGGCATGGCTTCGGCGTCAAAATTTTCTCAGGCCATCGACCTCCTTTCCTCGACTGTGGAGAGCCCGGGCCGTGCCGCGTCCAAGCAAACATTCGAGAACCTTTTCGAAAAGTTTGGTCGGCCGGACGAGGAACTGAAGAGGCCTTCAGCAGAGCCATCCGATGGCGACAGACCGGTACTGAAGAAGAGGAAGTTAATCGAGACAATGCCCGTAAGCGAATCGTCAAAAATGGGACCACCGCAGAAGGGGCCTTTGAAAGTAAAAGCACCGAGGAAAAAACCACGCACGATCACCGAGCTGGCCACGGCAGCCTACGTGGTTCCAGATGCTACCGAACAGGAGCAACCGTCTGCGCCTCCAGTCGAGAGTATTGAGGACGGAGGAGAGACTGCCAAATCAAAGGGAAAGAAGAGGGCATCGAAAGCAAAGAAACCGAAAAAGGCTCCTCCACCGGAACCAATCTTGTTGTCACCAACCGCGGCTCTCCGGCAAGCTGCGAATCAAGATTATGTTTTCGGGACCTCGAGCCAGCTGGCACGTGAACACTCGCCTACTTTCCTCAGGGATCTTCAGTCTGCGCTGCAGGCATCAAATTCAATGAGGGAAGATCCGTTCGTGACCCCGATCAACAGTGACGCGATTGAGCCAGAACCCAAGCAAAAGCTCTGGGATGTTGGCGCGAGAGACGAGGACGGCAGGCTGCTGGATTTGGAAGTCATCAATCTGGCCGACACTCCACAGGCTGCCCCAGACGCTGCGGATGGTCTCAATCCTTTTGGCTATGCTGGAATCGATCAGAGAGTGGCTCCGCCAGCTCATATGCCATCAGATGTCTCGTTTCCGGATATTGAAGATCTCCTGAACAAGGATATGGCAATCGAGTTGCCGCCACATCCTGTCGTTTCTACACAAGAGAAAGTAAATGCGCCGTTACCGGCTCAGATGTTGTCGGACATGTCCTTTCCAGACATCGACGACCTTTTGGGAAAAGAGGCGGATCACGATGGCAGGTCTCGGACACAAAACGAAGCATTGCCGTCCTCGCCACCCCCTGGAGCAGCTAAAATCACAGCTCAGTCAGTCGAAGTGGTGTTGGTATCTTCTGGCCCTGGAGCACATACCGAGGAAGAAGCTAGCAATCTACCACCATTCGAGTCACCATCAGCACAAGCGTCGGAAGCGTCAAAGTCTGTGGTGGTGGAGGACGCGGCCCTAGAGATTGCGAAACCAGACTTTGGCCTTTACACCGACAACCAACTTGCGCGAGAGATATCGTCTTACGGATTCAAACCAGTCAAGCGAAGGCAAGCCATGCTTGCTCTTCTAGACCAGTGCTGGGTGGGCAAGCAGAGGACCGCCCTTTCATTGCTTCCCACGAACCGCCCTATCTCGACGACATCCCAGGCGCAAGCTGCTGCTAAGGCACAGAAACCAGCTGCCACCGTGTCTCCGAAGCGGCCGCGGGGTCGTCCGCGAAAGACTAGTGTAATTGAAGTCGAAGCTGAAGTTGAAATGCCGTCCAGTGAACCGCCGCCGTCTGCTCAGCCACCACCCCCGTCTCCCAAGCGAGGCCGTGGTCGACCGAGGAAGAACTCCGAGGCGACGACAGCCACCGCCTCGACGGCTAGTAAGAAGGGCAAATCGAAAGCAGTATCTGGCGTACCAAAAGAACCCAAAGCACCTAGGAAGGCGGCTTCGCGAGTGGCATCACCGCCCAAGAAGAAAGCCAAAGTGAAAAAGGTCATTGAGATCCCGGATTCGGAATCTGAAGGGGCGCTTTCCTTGTCACCGTCACCATGCTCTTCGCCTGAGCCGACATTCTCGCCAGCTCCTGAAGAAGCCTCAGTGTCAATTGGCGACGAGACAGAAATGTCACTCGCAGCATCCCAAAGCCAGCGATCGGAACTTCTGTTTGCGCGCATCACTGAGGCTGTTACCTCGGCGCCTCCCACGACGGACCCCAAACAGCCGTCATTTCACGAGATGATGCTCATGTACGATCCAGTCGTGCTTGAAGATCTTGCAGGTTGGCTCAATACCGGACAGCTGTCTAGGGTTGGATACGACGGTGAAGTCTCACCGATTGAAGTAAAGCAATGGTGCGAGTCAAAGAGCGTCTGCTGCCTGTGGCGCGAGAGCTTGAGAGGAAAGGAGCGGAAGCGGTATTGATACGGAGTCTACATTATGCATTTACGATACCCCTTGAATAGCCTTTGCGTGAGATGGCCGGCGTTCATTGAGATGAGCTCCTGATGCTGTTTAGTCGAACACCTCAAATAAAACAACATTGTTCTTCACTCAAGATGAGCCTGATTGAGAAAATAGGATGTTCGAATCGATGTTCCCTGATTGAGATGAGATGTGCGGGTAGGCCGCATTGCTTGGGGTTGTAAGAGGCAGCAAAAGGGCGTGGTCACAGGGCGCACACCGAACCTCGGCAAAAACGTCAACCCCCGCCGGATCGGTGATCTTTGTCCCAGACACCTCATTACTTTTGACTAGAGCTGATCGGCTGTCACCATCAGCTTCTCAATGCCTTCGTCATCCCCATTATCCCGTACAGGTAGACTGTGTATTCCAAGAATCAGTTCGATACGTTCATTTCGATACCCAAGCTTCTCACTGCACTCATATCCACGTTCAATTGCGACGCGCATTTCGAGCAGGGATCTCAAGCCAAACACGTCACTCATAGCAACGCCTGTTTCACGCACAGTCCGACAACAAGCAAACATCATCATCATGTCACAGCGGCGTTCATCATCTTCGTCGCCGCCGAAGCGCGAAAAGGAGGTCATGGAGCCTCGGCCGAGTGCGAGGTGAGTCCCGCTCATTATTATGCTTGCAGATTCGGTGAGAGCTCACACGAGTCGGTCCTTAGCATCCTGCTCTTCTCACCGACAAACCAGGTCCTCCTGCTGCACCGAGTGAAGACGTCAACATCTTTCGCATCGGCGCATGTCTTCCCTGGCGGGAATCTAGACCCGTTCCACGATGGAGAGATCCCGCCAAGTGATGCCCGGGAACGGCACGAGGACGGCCACGCGTATCGGTTAGGTGCCATCCGTGAGTGCTTTGAGGAGACGGGTATTCTCCTCGCCACCAGAAAAGGCTCCGACGACAGGTCAACTCTCGTCAACGTCCCCACGGCAGACAGAGAGAAGGCTCGCAAGCAGATTCACGGCGGCAAGCTGCGATTCAGCGAATGGGTTGACAGCGTGGGCGGCGTCCCCGATACTGGTAAGTAACGAACCGCTGCATCAAGCACATCATCATGGGACCGCGCGAACGATTCAGTATCACTCACGCTTCCAAACAGCACGCCTCATCCCCTTCACAAGGTGGGTGACGCCCACCAACGTGCCCAAACGCTTCACAACGCAAATGTACATTTACATGCTCCCGCACTCGGCCTCAACCGGCGCCGACGCGGCCGAGAACGAAATCATCGTGCCGACCCCGGACGGCGGCGTAGAGCACACGGCCGCCAAGTTCGACGACGCGTGGACCTGGCTCTACCGCGCCGACAAGGGCGAGATCATCCTCTTCCCGCCGCAGTATTACCTACTCTACCTGGTCTCGCAGTTCTGCAAGGTCGCCGCGCCGTCGCCTGCGCCCGGCAAGGGCCACGGCGACGCTTACTTTGCGTCGCAGAGGCGGGGCCTGGTTGATTTTCTCCGGAGGGCGCCCACCGCTGTGTCTGAGGCCGGGCGGAAGCAGCCTTCGTCGGATATTCCGTGGGCGGATAAGGTTATGAGCCCGCATAACTTGTTCATTCGCGAGGGGGATAATCGTATCGTGCTCGGGCTTGATAAGCCTGGTCCCGAGCTCAAGGGGTCGGGCCGAGGAGGCGATTGGGAGAGGGTTGTGTTGGTCAAGTTTACGAGGGACGGGCCGCGCAAGGTCGAGGTGAGGGGTCGCGAGGAGGTGTTGAGGGAGGAGAAGGAGGCGAAGAGGGCTAGGGAGGCGGAGGAGGGTGATGGGAGACATAAGCTTTGAAGCTGTGGTCTTCGGTGACTGTCGCAGAGTCTAGAGATCCTAGTCAATTGGTGAATGAGAAGATGTTCTCTTACCTTACTTTTTGGCTCGTCTGATTATGGTCTGACACTCAAATGTCAGACGAGAGACAACAACTCGCGGCGTAGCACCCGCATAGTCATCTCACTTCACCCAGGACTCTGGTCAGCGGGTTTTTGGTATTCTACCACCACACATCATCGTAAAAAACCCAAAAAACACACTTTACGCGATGAGAAGAATGAGATCTGATGGATCTGAAATGGTCAACGGCAAAAGAGCATAAGTTAGTGTGCAGAAAATAAGGCATCCAGGGCACCCGTTGCAGGAGTTCGTCGAGTCAGGGCGGCCACACCCTCCCTCCTCTGCCCTGCCAGGCGAACCACGATTCACTGCAAAAACAGTCCAGCAGGAGAGTCAAGGTCGCCTGAAACTGGGGGATCGGATTCTCCCTGACAACTTCTCGGGCCAGAGGGAGAGGCTCTGGAGCAGAGCCGCACTCTGAAGTTGTCTGAAAGAGGTGGTTTCCCCCGATCCTTAGCACTCACCCCACAGCATACTGGATGTGTTGGAACCACGGTGAATGCATGATAATCCTTGCCCAAGCCTCTAGGGCCGCAGTGAATGCGGCCTCCATCTTAACCATCCATCCTTTTGTTTCCCCCCTCCTACTTAACCAAGAAGGGGCTTACCACCCCCTTCCCAACCTCCCCTTTCGATCATTGGCTCAAGATACTATGATCTGATAGCGTAAGTCCGCTTAAGCCGTGCTCGTCAGGAAGCTTGCGGTAGGCTCAAACTTAGTCTTTTGGTGTCTCGCACAAACATCTTCTAGTCGTGGGGAAGGTAGGACATGTGTTTCCGTGATGCTGATTCTTGCTTAAGGTTCCCTCATCCATCGAACCAATGTCAAGCCCGTCAGCAATGCTCCCCCACGCACTATACGCAATGGTTATGTGTAAACACTTTTCTTCGTCGACGACTGGTCTCGTATCCGAACGTTGAGGCTCTGTCCAGACTGTCCTCGGAGACGGCGAGAGTCTGTCACCGCTTAAACTTGCATCGCGTACGCGCTCGTGTTGGCGCCCTCTCCTCCATCCTTGATCCTCGTCCGTCCATCGTCACTTAGGGGTCGCCAAAGAAGCGGCATACGGCCATTATCTTGTGGCTTTCTCCCCCTCCTCTTCATACGTGGCATCGGGGACCACTACCTCCCCGGATGGCTTCGGTCTCGTGGACGCAGATCGAACCATCATGACGTTGAGTCCTGACGTTTCCTTGAATGATTTGATCAAAGTTCCGTCCGGCTGTTAACTCGAGACGGCAGGCCAAGCAGACTTTCTCCTTTGAAAGCAGTGCCGACCCTAGTTTACGCCCAATCGTATATCGTGGATCGCAGATTGGATCTTTGGTTGACCGTTCATCCCGCATTGTCACACCGGTTCTTTCGATCAAATTTAGGTCTTTGGAATTAAACAGCCAAGATCAGTCGTTCAACCGGCGTTGTTGGTCTTTCCATGTCTTCTGCTGTCTTTGATATCAGAGGTGGACATATCCCTGCGTAGGTAAGGTGACTGTCACTCTTCATCGCAGATCATCGGCTCCCCGATGTCAAGTTCACACTTGCCGATTCCGCAGTAAGCTCACCTACCTTACTTACCTCACCCACCTCCGCAAGATGCATGGTATCGCTCTTCCTCTGCCATATCTCAAGGATATTCACGTCGTACAAGACCTACCCTATAAGGATAATACTCAGCATGACAGCAACGGATAGTGGCCTGCAGGCTGGTCCCCCACATCGTACCAGACGCCATTTCATGCGCCCCCAGCGACTTGATGAGAGAACTCAAAAACCATGGCATGAAGGCTGAAGCACATCATAACCCTAGAGACCCCCTCTTTCGTGCATACATAAGCCTTCTTGATTGGAGTGTTCGGAATCACTGTTGGTGGGCTGCAGGCAACGTGCATGCAGGCCGTAGAAGCAACAGCGGATCTATGCTGCATTGAGTACTCCCCCCCGGGGCATGGCAACTGGGACAGGTTAGACAGAGGGAGAGAGAAACAGAGTGCAGATGGAGGGAGACCAGGGAGTTTGGCGTTAAATTGCTGTGCAAGGAAGGTCGTAGACGTCGAGGATGAAGTGTCGTTGGCATACTGTAAGGGTGGCCGGTTACTTCTCCCGTCTTCCCTTACCCGAGTTCCGTCCGTTTGATGTCCCATGATCCGATCGTTTATCCGTGGCACCCATGCTTATCGCAGCTTTCAACCGAAGGATGAGGGAGGGCTGGCAAGATGGTAGACGGGCCAATTAGGAGTCCGACGCCGAGAGAAGGATTCGAGGTATGGAAGCACAGTCTTCCAGCTACAACATATACGCAGAGCCTCAAAGCTCACGGGATCTCGGACAGTGGGGTTGAACAATCTAATGAGTTCTTCCCCCTCCGGGCCGTCTGTCGGTTTACGGCGGGTGAAACGGCATGTGGTGGAGGTCTCTTGCGGGCTTGAGGGTCTCAGGTGCGGCCGCGGGAGGGGGTGGACTAGCATCTATACCCTCCGGGAGTGGAACGTAACGCGTGCTTTGTGGATGGAGCAGATGACCGGGTCCATAGATTAGAAATTGGCTCGTAAGCTACTTTACGCTATGATGCCCGATGGACTGCAGATGAAGATGAACATCAAATGAGATCCGAAAGAGACAAACAAGTGTGACCCATTTGTCTTGGACATGCTGCTCGGAAAGTGAAGTTATAAATACTGGGGGTGTTTCCTATCTCGACGAGACTCGTTCACTGCAAACCAAAACAAACAAACTTCCCGAAGCTGGGCTTCCAGAAACACCTTCACTTACAATCTTGTTCAAGATATTACTCCACAACTTAGTTCCGTGGTCGATCCGTCGAGCTTTGACTCAAGTGTCAACCCAAATCTTGACTCATATCGGATCCATCATGCCTGAGTATGTTCTTCCATATTACGATGGAATTCGGCTTGAGAGAGTACCAACTAAACTCTCGACAGGGAAACTGTCCAAACCCCGCTTAGTGACTACATCGGCAGCACAAGCGTGACTGAATACATCGCCATGGGAGGAGGAACACAGTGAACACGTCAGGTCGCAGCTGCAGGGATGGACTCCCAACATGGATCCATCTGAGGATCGGGAATGAGGGAAATAACGTGGAATTATCTGATACCCTCTTGTTATGGAGTTGAAACATATCATTGTGCCCTTGAGATTGAGATCTTCTGGGCATGGGCGAGGGAATATGAGAGGTTGACGGGTTGACCGCAGCGCGGCTGATATTGCTCAGTAAACCAGCCATAGTAATTGCTGCTTTTGCACTGAAAACATGCCGGAAGGTCTGGACGTGAATTCTCAGTGATGCCAACTTGAAGTATGATGATCCTTCAACTATAATCGTCGTTACCGGTGCTTTCACTATACCCTCCCATCCAACTATCATGTGCCAAAGGACGCAACGTATGTATCTCTGAGACAAAGCTACCTGACCAGCATGCAAAAGACTTACAGCGAAGAGAGGGGAGGAAGTGGATAAGACGAGGGAACTAAGAAGGGGGCCAGAGCAGGAGGAATAGCGGATAATACCCTGGAATGCACTGAAAAGAGACGAGAGCCTGATAGTACTGTGTAGTCGTGAAAGACATTGGCCGAAGAGAATCTGCACCCGAGCCGTCTGCCGCCCGTCCTCGTGCCGGCCCATGGCGCCTATCATGTACCAAGCGGGACGAAGGGGGTGGGGGGAGCTGCAGAATAGCCAACCGCCGGAGGGATGATGGTAGAGTGATGGGAACAAGGAGCGGCGCGCCAACTCATGGGCACAGTCGCAGAGCCTCAAGAGACCGGGGTCTGAGACGTCGTGGTTGGCTGCGTACCCCGAGTAGCTGGCGGTTGGAGGCGGCAGAACGGGCCCGGTTGTGCTCGGCCGTTTGGGCCTGTCCCGGCCACAGAGTGGAGTTGAGCGACGGTGGGAGATTGTGTCGCCGTGGGATGTACCACACATAAGCTCGAAGATGAGCAGGTGATCGGTGATTAGAAATAGTTCGTAAGCTATCTTGTAGATCGAATGAGAGATCATCAGCTCTGGAGAAAACGTCTGAGTCCTCTGTAGTTCGGGTTGGGAGCTAAGAATACTTGACGGCAACCAAAAACCATAAATACCCATCAAGATCCCATGAGAAATCATGAAAAGCTTTCACAGCAAGAAGAGGAAATCTAGAAATCATTCGAAATCATAGTCTGCTACACATACTTTGAGCATAGGTCAAGCTACTTGCTATATCTCAACAAGAACTGAAGCCCCCCTACCCGCCGTATTACCAAACTCCTTCCCAGAGTCGAGATGCCAAACGCGCAAGTATCATCCTCAAATGTGATTCGAGCTAGTTGGCTTACATGAACCAAAGCCCACCGGCCCCCAAGCCTTCGCCGGCTCCTCAGCTGGATACCTTCATCAAGAATACAGATTCAGTCCAAGACCGACTGATTGCGGGGGCGTCGAAGGGAAATAAGACAAAGTAGCTGTTCCAAGTTCCAAGTGTTGAACGCGAGGAATATTGAAACAAGGAGACTCATTCCGGGCCAAATGTAGGAAGAGGGAGAAAGTTTTTTGATGCCTGCTTGGTTGTATGGTGACTTGGCGAGTTCCAAAGAAAGAGCTTCAAACCTTTGAATACTGATGTAAGAAATGAGGTCATTCATGTGGTCGAATATGGCCATACGATGACCATAGCAGAGCACAGATGCCGTGTGTCTACGAGCTCTTTCAAGCCCTAGTTAGTTATAGTACTACCGTGCTTTTGGCCATCTGAACCTCATCGACCATGACCCGGACCTAAACACTGTTGCCTGGAACAAAGTCCTTGAGCCTCCAACAAGGAATACAGAAATCGACGTCATGGATGTCCGCCACCTCGTAAAACGTGTCGTCGAGGTCGATTACTGCCTCGTTGATGATGGGATATCCGTTGTAGCGGTCCGCGGTCGGCTCGATCCTTCCTGCCGGAGTTGCGGTAGGCGACTGCCATCTTTTGACAATGAGCTACTTGTTGTCAGGACATGTGGCTTGGTCTCGTCTACTTCATCCCTGCCCATTACCCAGTTCTTTATTACCCAGTTCTTGTGGCTCTGGCTTATTATCGCATAATCAAGTAGGGAGAGGTAATGACGAGGGAAGCTAGGAGGGTTTCTTATTGACCCTCGACAGCTTCTAGATGATGAAAAGGGGCCTTCGTCCGTAATCTAAGCCAGGAAGCCAGCGGTGCCTGTGGTCCCGAGCTCCTTCATCTTCTGCTCCAGAGCCTCCTGTAACTCGGCCTGCGCCGCCTTCTGAGCCTCCGCAAACTCCTTGGCGTCGTCCACACCCATCTTAGTATCGCAGTCCTCATCCACGTGCTTTCCATCCCAGTCAGCCTTCTCACGTCGGATGATCTTGCCCATCATATTCTTGCGCTGCTCTTCGGTGAAGTCGGCAAAGATCTCCTCGGGCTTATCGTAGGGCTTCTCCTTGCGGAACTTGTCGATAGCGAGGGCAGTGGTCGTCTCTTTCGCGTAATCCTCGATGGGGTGCTGTCTATAGCGGGAGAACTTGACGGCGATTCTGCGAGCCTCGTAGAGGCACATCATGACGTTGGCCGCGACGGTGGCCTTCATATCCTTCTTGGCAGCGACGACCCAGGGGGCTTGCTTGGCGGCGAGAAGAAGGAGGCCGGGAATGCTCTCGGTGATGTGCTCTTTATGACCGGAGAGTCTGTCGGCTTCGAGGAAGAGCTTGGCAATGGCGAGGTCAACGGCCTCCTTGTCGAGGTTGGGGGACGCGGTGCGGAGCGCATTCTTGAAGGCCATGCCTTCGTCCATGTCTCCAAGGATCTGGAGGTCTTCACCGGCGGCATTCTGGTACATCTGGAAGCCTGGGCTGGAAGGAAGGACTCGCTTGAGGGTCTTGGGCTTGGGCTTGGTCTTGCCCTTCGCGCCCTTCTCTGCCTGTTTGATTTCATGATCGACCGACTCAGCGATATCCGTGACAGTGTCGGGCTCGATAGTGGGAAGCTGAGATTGAGGCATCGTGAGGCTTTGGGCAAAGTTAGAGATCAGATGATAAGGAGAGACGGGATTATTCGACTTACGCTATCAGAGGTGATTTAGTAAGATGAGAAGTTGGATGAGAGGCAGATGGTGATGGGCCGTTATGTTGAGAGCGAAGGAGAAGAGCCTGGATGAGAAGGTGAAGTTCCCAGGCTTGACGTGGTTATGGTGGTGGAAAATCAAGAAGGTGCGGCAGATTGAGAAGCATGAAAGCCGGCGACTCTCGGTGAACGTCGGTGAGCGTGGAGTATCACCATAGAGGGCAGGCACGCGTCGGTAAACCACCTCGCGTCTCACCGCCCGCCACACGCCCAAAGTGAGAAAAGGAGGTGATTCACTTCAACTTTGACCCACCCCTTTCACCCTCGCTCCTTCCATTCACCTCCTGATGCCCGCGTGACCTACTTGATTGCAAAAAGGGCCTTGTTCTTCCATCAGAGCGGCCGGGTGGCTGAGAGGTGATTCTCTCAGCTATCTGTTCAACAGAAGTCGATACTCCGCGGTTCGATTCTCGGTCGCTGCGCAAAAACTACCGAAGCCACTGGACGTATTTAAGACAGGGTAAGACTTGACCAAAGTGCGACCTTTGGAAGTGGTTTCAGGTGCCCAAAGCCTCCGATGTTGCGGGCGTTTGAGATCCGGTTTCGGTACGATTGCCTGATAAATATTTGGAAATACCCTCTGGTCAATGACCATCGATCTTTTTTTATGAAATTTGTTGAGAATGATATATTATATTATATGTTCTATTATATTCATCACCCTTCTTTACTACGGGCAAACGTCGGTGCTGTTTATAAGTGATATTGTTAAGAGAGGGATGAAAATAAGAGAAATTAAGGCAAGTAGATAAACAATGTGTCGTCTGAAGCCGTAATAACATAATAACATCGATCGATATACTAGAGCCTGACTTCGTGCAAGGTCTGACTTAACCGCCACCACCACCACATCCGCCGCCACCGCCGCCGCCGCCGCATCCTCCACTCGAACCCAGGCCAACCACTCCCGCTCCATGAGCGCAGCCTGTTAATCGCGAGACGTCAGAGCTCGTACATAGGCAGGCAAACTAGGATGTGGATGTACTTACCCCCAACTTGACGACTTGTTCCGGACCAGTACCCCTGATATCAAACCATGTCAGATACTCGGCCCAGGAAGTAGTGAAGGCAAATAACTTACAGCCATGTTGGTGCACCCACCAGCGCCGCCACATCCCCCAGCAGCAATATCATTCGAGCCGCAAAGCCCCTGAGCGCAGTCGGCCCAAGACCCATGAATGACACCGGGGTTCCCAGCAGGATAGATCCCACCGATAAGGTACGCGGGGTAGTTGTAGGGACTGTCTCTATGGTGAAATTTGCCCCAGTTGTTATAAAACTCCTCCTTTGGCGGCAGCGTCTTTCCTCGTTTAGCTGCGCGTTTCTTTGCGCGCTCGTAGGCGTCATCGAGACGCATTCTCCAGGCTGCGCGGAGTTGGCGATGCGCTATGTTGTGAGTAGCAGACCCGTCTGTGCGAACGGAGTTATGGGCGGAGATGTGGATTGAGTTGGAAGGAGTGCAGACTTGCGTGGCTGTTACTTTATCGAAGCTGTCGATGGCTAGAGGTAGGCATGATCAGTATTTTGGACTCTGCGCAGGGGGAGGGGTTGCTTCGTTGTCCAACATGCCTTTTTGCGGCTTGCTTTTGCCAAAGACCGAGGAGCTGTCGATTGTAATCTTTGCACGTACGGCTATTGAAAGTCATTAGCGGGCATTTCTTTTCAAGAAACATCATGGCACAGGTTGGTCTGAGAACATAGCTAGATCATACGAACCTTCGCAGTACCAGCATGTGCATTCCGAGTAGACCTCGTTGAACTTCTCCAAATACGTCTTGCTCGTCAACTCGAACGAGTTGGAAAGTTGGTCTTCGTCAATCTTGTCGTTGTGGTCGATGAACTTGGCCTCTTTGCTGGTACTCATGGCACTGTTATATGTCGAGAACTTGTAGTAAGCTCCAGGGGCCAACTGGTGAGTATGCCATGCGAGGTCCACATCCAGCGTAGGTACTGTCAGAGACAAGGGGTACTCGGTCATGATGAGCATGAAGCGCTGGTACTTTTGAATAAGTCGGTCCATGGTACCACGCGCATTAGGACTGTGCAGCCAATCAATCTGCAGGTGATTCTTGTTAGCACTCTCAGGGGTTGGAAGTATAGGCAGTAAGAATACTGACGTTGAACATCTTGCCAATGAACACCCCCTGGCGCATCGTCGCTCCAACAAGGTCGAGCGCGAAGATGGAGGTATTCTCCCAGTATCTAGACATCATCTTGCTGCTCTGGAAACGTTCCGTTCGCGTGATCAACCTACCGCCTGACAAGTCCTTCTTGCTGTACGGGGCTGGCCTCACCCCCTGTATTCTCGCAAAGGCATCATCATCGGCCAGTGCAGCAGAGACCAGGTCTCGTACATCCTTCATCGTCGGCGTCTTTGCTTGACCGGGATCGATGAGTCGTAGCAGCTCCTCGGAAATACCTTGCCCAATCAGTCTGTTGGGAAACGTAACGTGTTTGAGCTTTACGTCGGTGACCACTGGCATGCCAACCTTTGGGTCAAGGAGGGTGCTAGGGAGGGTGATGCCCTCGTTGAGATAGAGCTCCGCATCATTGATCAGCTTGGCAACGCAGAGTAGACGGTGCGTGATGATGGTGTTGCAGCCTGCTGTGCATAAGTGAGAAAACTCTCCATCGCCGAGTCCTTGCCCAACCAAACCTGGCCGCCTTTGACAAAGAAGTCAGCGAATTCCGCGAGGTAGAATATGATCTCAGTCATAATTGAACTTACTCTTCACCCTTGTACAGCTCTGGTAAGCCGCATGTGCTCCAAGGAACAAGAGTAGCCTGCTTGCATGCAGGACATTCAATTTCCTTCTCTAGTGGTTCGTCAAGGTTGTTCCATGCCCTTCCAGTCGCCTTCTCCCAGTTCAATTTGGCCAGATGGGAAACCTCATAGTTGAACTTGGAGTCAATGACTTGATTGACTTGGGCCCATGGCATCCCAGTCGTCCAGAATTCGCGGAGATTCCAGCGCATAGTGTCCTCCAGAAAGGCTCTGGGATTCAGCATGTGCGCATGAAAAATCATCAAGACATCTGGTCACTGTTAGATGACATCGAATCCTTTAGCGGAGTCAAATGCACCAGACCGCTTACCTAGTGGTGGCAGGTTATCCACTGTCCATGGATAGTCTTCACCCCCTTCAGGGAAACTCAAGTACTTGTCGGAGAACTTGTCGAAATCCTTCATCTCGGCTTCACGCAAGCGACCTCCCGAGATCGTCTTCCACCAAGTCTGATACCGATCTGCTGCCCGCGCCAAGTAGACCGCCCACCTCTTCTCGCGCAACATCGATAGCACTTCCTTCACCCGATCCTCACCTCCCTTGCTGGAACCTTCGTCACTATCCTTGGGGCCGGCCCGCGAATCCCACAAGTCCCACAGGCCATCGCTGTAGCCGACATCTTCCTTTAGCGTCTCAATGGCATAGAGAAGCTTCAGGTGCGCGAGACAGGAGTCAACGTCGGGATCTCGCTGAGTACCGAGGCGTAGCGAGCTGAAGGCGCTCGTGAGATTGGCGACATCCTGCTCGGTGTAGGGCTTGTTCCCGTTGGACCCGCCGTTAGCATCGAATGGTGGTGGCTGGTCGTCGAATGGCGGAGGCTCGTCTGGTGCGGCGCCATAGGCGGGAGGTGGAGTTGCTGGGCGATCTGCCTTGGCGTTCTCTTCCTCGGCCTCCTTTTCCTTGGCCTTGGAGGACCTCTTGAAAAAGGAAGGCATCGCGGGCTGGGGGCCTCTCTCTCTCTCTCTGGATGGCGAGCGGTGATCAGGTCAGGGGTGAGTGCGGGGGAATGCGGGGCAGAAGCTCGTCGACTTTCCTCTCAGGCTTGATGCTTAATCTTACGTTCACGGTTGGGAGGACCATGCAATTCTATAGCCGATCTCTGTCGTGGGTTCATGAATCGTGAGATGTAGGTTTGGACTTGACAAAGCCTCATCTCCTTGCGTCTTGCGAGAATCCAGGCCACGTCATGCGGCGAGTCTCCCGTCCTCTTGGCCTTGTGGTCAACCGGCGATTCAGCCCGGAGATCGCTTCATTCCAGGGCGGCTAGGCAGACTGGGTAAAACAGACACCGATTGCTATGCATCAATACGGGCGCATTTTCACAACAGTAGCTAGCGGCGGGCGGCTGGGACGCCCCCAAAGCTTCGGACGGCACGTGGACGGTGGCACAACGATCTAGTCGGGCGAGGGCGCCCCTCCACAATCGCTTCTTGACAGCCCAATAAGAGCATGGGTTTTGCGCCAAGTTGGAAAGCTTGAGTTGAACAAGCGAGGACTGGCTGGGAGAGATTGGTCAACCATGCTCAGGGCTGTCCAATAAGAACGCAACCCAGAGTAGTGGGAGCGGTTTATCTGTGAAGTGTTACCCGTCCGTGTTGGCAATGCTTAAGACTGCGGCAAGTGCAACGTTTCTGCAGAGAGTTTGGCGTAACTGATTAGAATTCACGACCACGGACTGTGTGCTCGGCAACCTATCGCTAAAGCTTGGCCTTGTCAGATAAGACAGACATGTGGCTGACAGCCTGACTCTGCCATGCTGATCATCTGGAAGCGAGACTCTGCGACTTGGCGTTACGACTGGACTTAATCTGTGCTTACATTCATAAATAGTATTGGGAAGCAGGGAACATGCAATATGTTAATGGGTAAAGTATCCTAGGAAATTAGAGGGCAGTCTCTCAAACATGTAAACTGCTGGTTTGATTATGTTTCTCCGAGTGGTATAATCTAATCTCAGGTGGTTTCCATCCGAGCACACTAATATCGGATATCAACCTCCCTTGAGAAACATAATTAATTATCATTTGTGTCCGGCCCAGAACCTTAGGAACGCCTCCTTGTTCTTTGGTGGCGGTAAAGCCTCTGGGTTGCGATCTTCCTCTTTTAAAGCTTGACCATCGTTTCCAACATTGGTGACAGCATTCTGCTGCTTGCCCAGGTAGAAGTTGGTCTGGAAGAGCGCAGCAATGAGGGGAACGAATGCGAGGGCTAAAGCTGGCACCAGGCAGTAATACAATGTCCGTCGGTACGCCTCGATAGCACCCTGTCTCATCGGGTCATCGAATGCGTACTTGGTGCGAATGGTACGGACACTACCGAAGAGAGTCTTGACATCCTTGTCAGTCGCGGTTGCGGGGAGGTACTCGCGCAAGAGTTTAGGTATCTTGTCGGCCCAGATGACAGCGACGATGGCACTGCCAATGGAGCTGCCAATCTTGGACCACAAGGAAAGCAAAGCAATGGCCAAGGCGACGTCTTGGTGCGGCACGGAAGCCTGAGATGCCACGCGAGAGCCGACAACAGAGAAAGCACCGCCGGCACCGACCATGATCAGTGAGATGACCATTGGGGCGGTGGAGTTGGTGGCTCGGGGACCATCGATCATGATGCCTATGCCGATGATCTTGATGCAAAGGCCGAAAATCTGCAGCATCTTGTAACGGTGAGTCCATCGCTGAAGCAGACCTGCGACCATGCCAAAGATGCAGAGCGCAAGTGTCAGCGTGTTGTAGTACACCCAGTCTTGCGAGGACCAAGGCTTCGCGATGTAGACGTAAGATGACCAGTATAAGCCACGCATGTTGCCGGCCACTGGAAACTGAGCGTGAACCGGGTGTAATAGGGGACTTTAGTAATAGTAAGGTACTTACACATGTAGAAAGAGTCGATAACAATGGCCATCAGGAACGTCTTATTTATGACCAATCTACGAGGGGCGCTCGGTACCTTGGCCCACTTGATCTCGTAAACCACATACGCGATGAGCAAGATGCCACCCACTACCATCATAGCAATGAGTGACTGGTTCCTCCAGCCATGTTCGGCATAGGTCTTGAGGCTGAATGGCAAAAGAAGCAAGCTCCAGCCGAAGCCCAAGAGTGTCAGACCAAGCGCATCGATTTCGATCAGGTTACGCTTGAGGTTACGCTTGAGGTCTTCCATCCAAGTGCCCGCCGGCTCAGCAGCTGGAGCCACAATGGCACCACGCGGTCCATTGTATCCCTTCTCCTCAGCCATCTCTCTCTCGCAGCACGACGCGCCGCGTTTGAAGAGGCCAGGTTGACGATACCGTCCTTGTTCGCTTTTCTGTCGAGGTACAGCAACGTAGCAATCGCAGGACCGAGAGCAGCGGGGATGATGATGGCAAACATGCCATAGCCCCCATCGCCACTGATTCCGAGCCTGCATCGCGTCGACAATCTTGCCGGCGAACCAGGTGTTGATGATGAAGGGGGCTGAGAGTAGTGAGCTGACGAAGCCGCGCCATTCCAAGGGGGTCAGGTCAGCGACGATGATGTCGTTGGTGAGGTCGAGGCCCGAAGACCCGATGGAGATGAAGACTTCGCCGACGACGTAGGCTGAGATCGATGTACTTGAGGCAGCGATTACATAGCCGATAACGTAGAAGAGTAATGTGACGATGTACGTGTACGGGCGAGATGTGATGTCGGAGATCTTGGCGATGAAGGGCTTCGAGACGGCCGAGATAATGCTCGTGGCGATCGAGAGGGTAGAGAGTACAGACGAGTGCTGTTTGTAGTAGGATGAGGCGTCGATGCTGTAGTAAGAGGTTGTCGAGCTGTCCAAAGAGTAGACCCAGGCGCAGACCAGGACGGAAAGCCCGACGAGGTAGAGTGAGATGCGGTTCTGCTTGGCTTCGCGGTAGACTACCTCCATGCGGGTGACACCCTGTGATTGTAAGATCTCGCCGACAGAAGAAATTCGAGGCTCTTATGATCTGTTGAAGGGGAGATTGTGCCATCCTTGGGAATGCGGGCGTCGTCTGGAAGACACCCGACTCCTTGTTGTTGCTCATCATGACGATGGCTCACAGATTTCGACCTTGGCTGGATGAACAAGAGATGACATTTGGCGCGGATTCAAAGTATTTGTGGCAAGAGTCGTTGGGGTTATATGCAGTTTCGTGTAAGCTCGCCAACGTCTTTGAGATCTACCCTACTACCGTGCTGCTTTGGCTGGCTGTATAATTTAGTACCTTGAACAAACTAACAATCTGGTTCAGAACTAGAAAATTCGCAGCCACCGTTAAACAAGGGAGGTAGGGATCATCGGGTCCCAGGAGGCTGGTGGTGTGTCTAAGTCGATGTTCTTCGGAACGATGTACGGATCCAGTCACAGATGCACATAAGTTCATGGTAGTGCGCATCGAAGGAGCAGCGCTAACTGGCCCCCCCCCTTGCCAAATCTAATCAGATGGATCCATCATCTTATATTTTCCCATCGTGGGCAAGTGAACTCGGCCGGCGGAGAGGGGCCTGGTGCGGAACTCCGGGACTATCATCGAGCTAGCCCGTCGAGTGGACAAATCACGACGGATCGAGGGAAAACTTGACAAAGTGAATTTACCACCAGCGGGATGATGCAGAATGTTTCCACTTGTTAGCTTGTAAAAGCAAAGGTCCGGCACCGTGGGCTCGGTCACCTTCCAGAGGTTATGTTATTACATGTCACCATGTGTTGGTTGCAAGTGGTCAGTCGTCCACGCCATGTCCTGGCTTGAGCGAATGGCCTACCTGCACAACAAACTATTTTGAGGGGCAAAATGTGGCGAGACATGGACATATTCCCATTTCATTTCCGATCCTGTCCACTTTGGTTCTCATTGTTCCTGGATCTCAGTAAGCAACCCTTTGCCGCGTAAGTCACCGCGGAGAAGTCATCCTCAGTGAGCCTACTTGTGTTGCTTGATTGACTGGTGTGACTTTGAGATGGAAATTTTTGCTCAATCCAGTCCATGTTTGAAGAACTTTGCAGAATCGCACGATCGAAGTGAAGACTGAAGGCATTGCTCGGTGCTGAAGCGCGTGGAGAACATACTTCAACCAATGATATTAACCCGTTGCCGTGGAAGTCGCGATGAAAAGCTTTTATCATTACGGACCCGTTACTCAGTCTGTATTAACGAATCTTATGATAGTCGGGTCTGATTCAAAAGCTCTTTTAGATGATCATAAGACATGTACGGTGACCCTAGATCCTCCCTAATCAAGCTTTCGTCCAAGTTTGCCATGATGAAGTCCATCCATATACGGTTACCGAGTTCAAGATGCGGCCAATGAGTTTGCTGACTGCAAAACTCAAATTATTGTTCAGTGTGTTGTTTTTTATACGTATCCGCAACTGGATTTTGTGAGGCGTCGGCACCTGTCACTAGCATGGTGCCAAACTTCTCTTCACCCTGAAGCGTTAGCGAGGTGCGCCGATGCATCGGTTGTGGTTAATGGTCTTAAGAGCGTTCATTTCGTAACCGCGCCGATTTGTGTACGACTTCTACCGTAATCACAAACCTCCTCATCGAAGGCATGCCCCCATAACCATTCTATTTAAGTGGCAGGCAGCGTAAACAAGGAACCTTCAGTTGTAAGCATGAGTTGTTGGTTTGACGTTTCCACGGAATCACAGATAGACCGCACGGCGTTATGTGTGACCCGTGCGCTTGTGTCACTTTGTCGATCAAGAAGGCGAAATGCGGGCAAGTCATCCGAACAGGGAGGCGATCTGATGTAGTACGCTGGAAACATCAAACAAGACGATCGTCGCTCAACTTCTCATGGAGGATTTAGCCATTATGAGATGAATGATGTGGAACATGTCGTCCAGCCTAACTTCAGCTCAAGCAACTTTGTGATTCAAAGGTGGGAGAGTTGAACGCTCTCGACATGACGCTACTCCCTCAGAGTTATTTGACGGACAAATTAAGCCTCAATTCTTCCGCATCGAAGTTGCCACGTAGCCGCCCGTCATTGACTCAAGTGCCGTGGAAGCCCCCACAATCAAGGCGCTAGAACAGATGATTCTCCCTCCCCTCACTTTATTCCAGCAAAGAAGGGTGTCCCCAACTAACAAAGTTATCTCATCTTGAACAAGGGCACCCTTCTGAAACAGGTCATTTTGCCTGGAGGCAATTCTCCCCTTAATCAATCTGGCGGCCCCCAAATTCACTCTTTCAAGTCCAACAAATTCCCAGTCGAATGTTGTCATCCGAACTATGCGGAGACTGGGGAGATCCGAGAACATGAGCGGCCAGCACTGCCGGTACCCCTGACTCCTGAGGAGGATGAGCCGACTTCATGTGGTCTTTCGGACCCAAACTCTCCGTGAGATCTTCATGGCCTAGGCTGCGGCCTGTCCAGCTTTGTGGAGCAAACCCCAAGGTTTGCCCAATCCGGCAAACTCGCCAGGTCCCAACGGCTCGGCGCCAATGCACTGGGCCGCGCTCCAAGCATCATCCCCGCCGGACGAGCCCCGGCGGCGTTGTATCTCACACGGCCGAAAAAGTAACGTCTAAGGCTCAGAAAGCTCGGCACGGAGAACCTCAGCGATCGTCCCGATATTCTGGGAGATTCACCTCTAAGATGAAGGACCTGTGCGTTTCCGGAACCCTTGGACCTTGCTTTGCTGGTCCGGTCCAGCAATCAAGGAATAATAAACTTCGGAGTTGAGGGTTACGTCCCCAGCTTGGCGGAATCAATGGTATTGTATAAGACGAGAGAGACGCCCGCCTTACTGTAAGATACTGGCACGATATCTCACCACGCAACTTCCGTTTCGGGGTTTACATTCTTTTCTCATTGCACCCATTTGTCCACTCGTTATTTCAACATGGTTGTCGCTCATCTCTTGCTCGCAGCAGCGCTTGCGCCGGCGGCACTAGCTACTCCCCTCAAGCTGCGTGATGTCGCGTCCTACGAGGGAAACCCGCTGGCGGATAGACAGCTCTTCCCCAACCCCTACTACACAGACGAGATCACGAATCTCGCCGTCCCTAAGCTCACTGGCGATCTCGCAGCGAAGGCAGCCAAGGTCGCCGAGGTGCCCACATTCGCATGGCTGTGAGTGAATTACGGCGCCATCATACTTTGCATGCCTCTGCTAACAACCATGTTAGTGATACACGCGAAAAGATCAGTCTCATGAACAGCACTCTGGCGCAGATCCGCAAGCTGAACCAGGAGGGTGCCAACCCGCCGTACGCTGGCACCTATGTCATCTACAATTTCCCGGACCGTGATTGCTCTGCCAAGGCCTCTGCCGGCGAGCTCGTCATTGCCGACGGCGGTGTCGAGAAGTACAAGAAAGAGTATATCGACCCTATTGCCGCTCTTGCCAAGGAGTACTCGGATGTTCGCCAAGTGTTTGTCTACGGTAAGTTTTCGCCATGTCGATTGGGGCTACATGTTTGCGGCATGCTGACGACAAGTAGAACCTGATGGATTGGCCAACCTCATCACCAACATGAACGTGCAGAAGTGCACTGGCGCAGCCGATGCGTACAAGGAAGGCACCGATTACGCTTTCAAGACCCTCAACCTCGACAACGTCGCAATCTACGTGGATGCGGGCCACGCGGGCTGGCTGGGCTGGGAAGCCAACCTGAAGCCCACTGCCGAGCTGTACAGCGAATTGTACAAGAAGGCAGGCTCTCCCAAGGCAGTTCGAGGCTTGGTCACAAACGTGTCAAACTACAACGGCTGGAACCTCACGAGCGCGCCGGCGTACACAGAGAGCAACAAGCAATGGGACGAGTCCAAGTTTCACGCCGCGTTGACCCCGTTCCTCAAGGAGGCTGGGTACCCGGCAAACTACCTCGTCGACCAGGGCCGCAGCGGCAAGCAGCCGACAGGGCGCCAGATTTGGGGTGACTGGTGCAACATCAAGGAGACTGGCTTCGGCACGAGACCGAACGTTAAGACTGGCATCGATACCCTGGATGCCTTTGTCTGGGTTAAGCCCGGTGGTGAAGCTGATGGTACCAGCGACTCAACTGCGGCTCGCTATGATGAGAAGTGCAGCTCAGGATCATCCGTCATTCCGGCCCCGGAAGCTGGAACTTGGTTCCAAGAGTACTTTGTGCAATTATTGGAGAACGCCAATCCCGCATTCTAGGTGATTGCCCAAGGATCCTAGTTGCAGGATGTAGTTATCACTTAATCTTCCTTTCTTCGTATATCAAAAGGGCCTAGGGGTTGAGCGAAATGCAAAATCACAAAAGTTCTCACTGCACAATCTTCATCAGTTTGTGGGTACATTCGGTTCCTACAACATACAAAATTACTCAGACTTGGAGTTATGCATATGCCTAAGCTTGGTTCAGCGTTGTGGGGTCCACTATTCTGGAATCGAGCCTTTAAGCAAGATGGTGACGGATGAGCTTATGTTTTGTCTCTTCAACTCGCGTCAGAGTCTCTTCAAGTTGAACCACTTCAAGCTGGCAACTCGTCCAAATAGGAAACTTGCCAGATCAGCACCCCGAAGTCAGCGGCACCAGCAGACCAAATAGAGACCGAGAAGCAGCGGCTAACACCAACATCTGTCGAGTTCAAACACCAAAAAGGAGCTCGATGGCGCGCTTCGGCCCCGCATGGCCCCAGCGGAGCACCTGCAATCTCGCCCCTTTTGGAATTTCCACCGCCCAGGCCCAAGCTTCAACTGGGAGTTCCACCAATCGCATTGAACAGCACGTTGGCCGAGTATGGGGAATTCAATGTACTGCAAACGCACAGTGACGAAGTCTTTTTCATCAAGAGCCCCTTGGTGCCGAACTCTCTTGTTCAGATTCTTGGTCAACGGGTCGAAGGGGGAGCCAAGCCGCCAGTATAATATGTAAAGCATCGCGCGTCCCACGCGAGCCGGCCATCTGATCTGTTCACCTGTACCGTTCTCAGTCGTCCCGTCTCTCGTTGGTGTTCCCTGCACGGTTTCCAAACCTCTCGTTCGCTTCTCATTTCTATTTACTATCATTCTTCTTGTTGATATTTTGCTGGTACATAACATTACTATTCCTGGTCCAAAATGAAGTCCTTTACCCAAGCCCTTTCCCTGGCAGCCGGCCTGTCCCTGTCCTTTGCCAGTCCCACCCCGGCCGTCTTCCCGAGACAGACCAACAGTTCTACAAGTAAGAACCTGATCGTCTTGTAAGTCACCCGCATTCCTGTTCCGTACATCCATAATTGCGGAATGATAAGAGAGAAAGCTCCATCTGACTCGGATACCCTCCCCGCAGCGGCGACTCTTACTCCACTGTCGGCTTCTGGCCCGGTGGCACCCTCCCTGCTGCCGGAAACCCGCTCGGCAACCCCTCCCTGCCCGGCCAGACCACCTCTAGCGGCCTGAACTGGGTCGGCCATCTCACGAGCACTCTCAACACATCGACCATCTTGACCTACGACTTTGCCGTGACTGGCGCCACCACCGACAAGGATATCGTCGACACTTACGCCCAGTACTGCGTCGACGACCAGGTCGACCAGTACAAGCAGTACGTGTCTAGCGTCGTCAACAAGGACAAGGCCCTCGTCGCCGTCTGGATCGGCATTAACGATGTCGGCGAGCCGTTCTGGGACAAGGTGTCTGCGCCCGTCACCAAGATTATGGACCGCTACTTTGAGCTCCTTCAGACTCTCGCCGATGATGGTCTGAAGAACTTTGTCCTGCTCTCTGTGCCTCGTATGTTACTCCCCGGAGCCAAAGTCTTTTTTAAGTATATTTAATCCTAACATCTCTCCACTAGCCTTCTCCGACCAGATTCCTGCCATGATCGGCCAGTCCGAGACCGACCTGGCCCGCCTGCGCTCCGACATCACCTCGTACAACACCGCCCTCGAGACCCGCCTCGCTACCTTCAATTCCGCCAACAGCGGCGTCAAGGGTCTCGTCTTTGACACCAAGCCTTCCTTCGACACCGTTGTCGAGAATTTTGCGCAGTACGGCGCCAAGGATGCTACCTGCTACGGCTCCAGCGATTGCATCTGGGCCGATAACTACCACGCCGGCTTGGCTATCCACAAGCTTCTTGCTCAGAACTTGGTTAAGGGTGTTGCTGCGAACTTTGTCTTCTAAGTACGTAGTTGTTTGTCGGAAAGATGGTGAACAGGATATGAAAATTGAATACAACTGGGCTCTCACAGCTCTCATTCAGTCTCACCTTAACTTGCGCTGCATCCAATTACACTTATACCTACATGTAATCACTGCTGAGACAATTTCAGCCAGCAAATGCGCATGATAACAGACATCTCGCCGCCAAGGTGAACCGGAGTCCAAGGTACTGAGCCTCAAACTCAAAAGGTCGGCTTCAGACATCAATCCAGGGTTCAAGTGGGAACCTACCAATCAAGACCTTTCTTCATTTCACATAGAACTCGTGTAAGCTCTGCTGTTTTATGATGCAACACAATCCCATGGAATGAGTTGAGTCATCGGAGGCAAAATCGAACTCGAGTCCCGTAAAGTGCTGGAAGCATCAGTCTGTCATCAAAGAGCTCAATATGTCCAAGTTGATCATGTCAGCAGTGTGCTTAACTCCGGTGAGGGGAAGTGGGTATGTCGACAGTAGTCTATCGGCAAGCAGTATTGCCTATCACGACAAAGAAAGCATTCCTACATGTACCAACTACCTTACGTTTGTCCTGCAAGCTCCACGGTGCCAAGCTTGAGCCTCTAGTCCCGGGTCGGAAGCTGTGAACAGGAGCGGAGACAACACAACAATGCACAGATCACACCATTCTCTCACATTGAGCACCAGATTGAGAGTCAACTCCGAGAAGCTAGTGTACCGATGAAGAGGATGGAGCTTGAGAAAGTTTGAATATTAGGTCTGTGTTGGCTATGATGACCTGAAGGCTGACCAAATGATATTGTAGAGGATTTCTAACTGCGAGTTATACTTGTGATGAGGGGATAACCGTGGTTTCCACAATCCGCATTCAGATGCGAACGTCCCTCGTTATCCTGCTTATTTGTCCCCATGGTCGTGAAGATAGGGTCCCTATGAGCAAAAAAGACGGGATCAAGCTTTTGAAAAGAATTTATTTGCGCATTTGCACGTAAACAATCTGATTAATGCGCCTTAAGGTGCTCCTCATCATCCTTCGGAACACCTGCAGCGATGTAACACCGAGAACTTGGATGTCAGTCGGAGTAGGTCTCCAATGAATGCAATGCAGCGATAAGCACCTTGGCATTGCTGCATCTCGGACAACAACTCAGATTGACGGAAAGCCCGCATTCGTGTCTAAGAGTTATGGGATTCAGCGAGTAACAAAAATGAACAGTACACCTGTCGCAAAAACGACGCCGTTAATTACGGGCAGCAATTAACGCCATACACCCCACGACAACACCATATGTGATCCAACAAACGTCAAATTATTCGTCGATGGGTCTAACGAACCACATTATATCTCTCGGTGTTCACGCCAACAATACAACAACTAAGCTTCTTCTGACAATCTGTGACAACATCTTTTGGGTTTCACGACATTCAGCCTCTTTCTCGTGCTACTCAGTCATGCGGTTGTTCCTCTTCCTACAGTCCTTGATCTGGACATTACATGCAAATCCGGTACTTAGCGCCTCAAGCCTCAAGCCTGATATTCGAGCAGACACTAATCGTGATGGTGTGGTTGATATCGATGGCGAATCCGACATCGAAAGTAAAGCTACGTGGTCAGCAACTAGAGGGGCCATCTTCCTCCCAAATGTTGGGGATAAGCACTCGAGATGCCCCAACTCAGACCTCAACAACATACCACTGAGCAATGACGAGTTAGCGTTTTGTAGCGATTCCTCAGGCCACCTGCTTCTTGCGCCTGAGTACATAGCACCTTTGAGGACTGTACCTCTCGAGGATGTCTCGGACGGCACGACAGCACACCTTTTCGCGACACCTCGAGCGGCGTACGAGAGAGTCCAAATCTTCCTGCTCGTTGATCCGACGAGGCCAAACTCAACAGACTCTTGGCACCTAGTCGATAAACAATATAACTTTAACGCAACGCAACTCAGCGCCGGCCTTACCCTGGGAATTGACAGCCGAGAGTCCGTCAAGGAGTCGGAGATCTGGGATGGTCATGTATCCATCAACTTCGATATCTACGAGACACCTGGCTCTCAGGACTACATCAGAGACACTGTGGCCCTCAAAGTGGCTCCAGTCCTGACGCGTCACCACCTACAAAAGGTTGAGACGCTGGTGTCAACTTGGGCAAATGACACCAACCCCGTACAGCAGTACTTTGTGGAGCAGTTAGATGCTGGTCGCGAGCTTGCGGGCATCGAGAATCCCTTGTGGCTATTCAATCAGTCCGGAGACATCTGGGCTCAAGACATTGTCGAACCAGCGTACGCAAGCATGCCGGGTCCAGACGGTCCTATCGCGATACGCATCATGCTTCGCTCCGCACAGTCGACACGCACAGGCGGCAGAAAAATCTTTGAGCAGATGCGAGGACCAGGCTTCGGAGCTTTTCAGCCCAGTGGCTCTTCTTGAACGGGGTTTCCAGGATCAGGTTTCGGCTAGGATCAGGTTTCGGCTATCACACCATGAACAGTTACGGTAACTTGGAAACTATCCCGCCTCATCGCTCGAAACGAGACGTTCTTTACAAAGCTGGCCGGATCACCCAGGGCAAGCACTATGATAGCCTTCCCGCCCAGTCGGTTCGGGATCTTATTTTCAGCAACGGGGTCCAGTCAACTCTTTTCTTAGAGACGGGATGGCTGCGTGTCGGCCACGTTGACGAATTCATCCAGTTTTTACCGTATAATAACGATCTCGGCTTCACTATCGCCATCGCAGACACAGATGTTTCGATCGAACTCCTTCAAGATGCTCAAGCTGCGGGGCATGGGAGTGCGAGAGCAATCAGCTTCGATGCCACGCCTCAGATGGAGCGCTTTCAGTTGGATAACTTGCCCCCGAACCTAGACTTGACCATCGACGACGTTCTTTCTAACGCGACCTTCATGGAGGTGAACGCATATTTTTTGTTCTTGTTCTATTTAACGCATATGCAAAGAAATGGATCAACCACAACCTCGAAATCCTTCTTTCTGAGATTCCCTTGGACCGGAAGGACGTTATTCACGTCCCGGGACTTTACCGCGATAGGTCTCGAGGGGATGTGTATGTCAACCCGGACGGCTTGGACTATTACTGGCCACCTGTGTTGAAGGGCGAATATCAGCTGGGCGATTTTCTACCAGCTCCCATCAACGGTATCGTAATCGGGAACTTATACCCAGCTAGGACTCAAGGCCACCCTCGCTTGCGCTCCCGAACTAGCCCTGCCGCGGGCTATCCTTCATCATCTCCTAGCAGCCCGATCAGGCCATGGAGACTTCGAACAATACCACCAACGCTTTAACCATACAGAAGCACTGCTTACCTGCTCCTGCGGGGAGGCAAAGGCGGTAGACCATCTGGTCTACTGCCAAAAGACCCTAGTGAGGAGGCATCAGTGGCCTACCCTCCACCCTTCTAGCCCACTCGATCCTATAGGACCTATAGGATCTCTTGAGCGGTACAGGGGTTAATTACTGATCCTATTGGCTTCCAGGCCTTTCTCCGCGTGACACACTTCTTTCAGAAGATCTGCCCGCGGTACTAAGGACTAGGTCTTGACCTAGGCCCGACTAACGAATTTCTCCTCCTAGAGGGACAGACGGTAACAACGGAACTAGGGAACCAGCGGGAACTAGGGACGGATAGAACAGACAGTAGCCCACGGGCAAGATTTGGAGGACGTATTGGTCCCCGGGGCACCAAGATATAAAAGGAAATGAAGAAGCAGACAGCCTAGCTAAGGAGGGAACAACTCTGCCAGGCCCTAGGGGCCAACTAGCTACTCTGTCAGGTATCAAGTGGCTTGCTAAAGAGCGGCCAAGACGCCAATATAGACGATGGTGGAAACAAGAGGCAACCCCCCGCTATACCCAACTAGGGCTCAAGGCCACCCTTGCTTGCCCTCCTGAACTTGGCCTCCCTAGGGCTGCCCTTCATCACCTCCTTGCGGCGCGGTCAGGCCACGGGGACTTTGAACAGTATCACCAACGCTTTAACCACACAGAAGCACTGCTCACCTGCTCCTGTGGAGAGGTTAAGGAGGCAGACCATCTGGTCTACTGCCGAAAGACCCTACTGAGGAGGCAACAATGGCCCACCCTCTACCCCTACAGCCGCCAGGAGCCCGTAGGACCTATAGGGTCCCTCGATCGCTACTTCAAGGGGCTAATCACTGACTCTGAAGGCTTTCAGGCCTTCCTCTGCGTGACAGACTTCTTCCAGAAGATCTGCCCGCGGTACTAGGAGATAGGCCATAACCTATCCTCCAAACGACAAACTACCTCTATTAGGAAACCAGATGGTTATAACGGAACTAGGGCACCAGTGGGAACTAGGGATGGATAGAACACATAGTAGCTCACGAGCAAGACTTGGAGGACGTCAGGATACGGCATGTACTATATAGTATATAGCTGGAGCCTGCGACCCTCCACGCCACATACCCTTCGGGAGGTCTGCCGCAAGGGCGGCTGCGCCCTTGCCGCCATGGCGTTAAATATAAAACAAACAAACAAAACAAGAAGGTGGAGCGTGACGAGCAGGAAGCCGAGGAGGCTTTGGAGGTTTTGCAGACATAGCTGACAACGGCTTTAGGCGTTTATCCCGTCTTCGAAAGTAAAAGAGATTTCTGAAGGAGCGTAGTTCGGATCTAATTCGTCGTAGAATACAGTCTGTTGAGGAATGGGAGGCTAAGGAGAGAGCCCTAGAAGCGCAGGAGTCGCGCGTCGTGGGTGATTTGGCTACTTAGGGTGGTTCGAACGAGAGTAACTGGTCTTCCTTTAGCACTAGCTTTGTAAACCTAGGCATCCCGGTGTTACGACCCAACATGCATGATCAAGACCAGGGCCTGCCCCGTAGGCTTACGGCGGCTACAGCGCACCATATATGCATTGGGCACGTGATGATGATGATGATGATGATGATATATTTAACGTCTGGTAACAAAAGGACGTGCCGGGCGCTATGCCGACATGGTCTATACTAATCTAAACTATGTTACAGGCTACCGTCTTCACCTAACGTTCCTGTTCAATGACTCGGGTAAATTTCGGAAAAGAAATTGGTCTCCTCTATCCATTCGCATAGAAGAGAGGCTCCCTTAGCAGAACCTAACAAGAAATCAATACTTGCTTTAGCCATACGTTGGCGGAGGTAGCGCGGTGTAGCCTTGCGTCCACGCTTGCAGAAGTAGAAATGGACTGGTGTCTTGGGTTTCCCACAGCTGCAGTTGAGCAACGCATCTTGATGAGCGAATCTCTCGTGGTATGCTGCAAAGTCTCCATGATGGGATCTTGCTGCGTATAGCCTTCCTAGTAAGTGCCGAGGGAGGCGGAGTTCGGGCGGCTTGGGGTGAAGAATTATCTCGAGGTCGGCATATTGCCGAGGGCATTGGGACAGCCATTTTCTGGCAAAGGCTTGGAAGGCAGCTGCTTTAGCTTGCCTTTCTAGGTGCGCTAATGAGGGCTGTGGTTGTGATTTTGGGATTAGTTTGCAGGCTTCCTTGGCTAGAGCATCCGCTTCTTCATTTCCTGGTACTCCCGTGTGCCCAGGGCACCACCAAACATAAACCCTGCCGGGGGTTGTCAGCTCTCTCTTTGTCTCCGAGTCCAGGAGGAAGAGAGCCTATTGAAGGCCCTAAATCTAGCCTAGCTGCTTCCTGTGCTCTGGGAGTATAGTCTAACCGCGACTACGAGGTTGTCGAGGTAGATGTGGACGTTATTTGCTATACGAGCCGTAGGAGCCCGGATGGCTTCCATTAGGCCGTGATACGCAGCATGTGCCTCCGCGTCATATACCTCAGTTTGGGAGCCGAGTGGTTCGGATCCGCGGAAGATCTGCCGTGTAGCTTGGTACCCTACCCAGCCTGCTCCGGCGGAGGTGCTGCTGCCGTCCGACATCTGGGCCCCGTCAGTATAGACAACAATGTCCCGCTTGGAGAAAGTTGCCATCCTGCCTGCAAAGGAGAGGGCCTGTTCTTCTTTGGTCTTATTAGGTTCGTAGCCGACCCTGGCGAGAGCTGTCTGCCAGTCCGCTAGTTGCTCCCAAGGGGGGAGTTCTAACGGATCGATGTATTCGGTATTTTTGCTTACGAGGCTTGCCATTCGTCGTAGCCGTGAGTTTAGTCCTGATTTGTCCCTGAGTCTCGTTCGGAGAGGGTGTCGCTCGTCCAGACGATGGATTCTGGTGGACGCTGTGTGGAGCTTCGCGTCCAGTATCACCTCTGCTGGGGGTAGAGCCGCCTCGCGCTATAGGATCGGTACAGGCGTAGTTCTGTATACGGGGACCATCTTTCTGATGGCTTTGGTTTGCGTCGCGTCTAGTTAGTGTAGCAGACTACTAACCCCGTTTGAGATAGTACGTCCATTCTTTATCCGGCTCTTACCGGGCCACCATACTTTAGATACATAGTACTGAGTAGGTAATATATAAGAGGTGATCGCTCGACGAAGTAAGTACGTAAGCGCGCCCTAGATAGTATTCCCTAGTCCCTATAGTCTATTAATTACTTAGTATGCTTTTATAGAGAGGTTTCTTACGTAACTCTTGAATATGAGTTTATGGTCGAAGTGAACGCCGAGCTAGCATAGAGAAGAGCCTTCTTTAATAGCCTGAACTATATAATACCTCCCATCCGGTAAACCTACTATAATTAATAGGTTTCCGTTTTTTTATCTCTTAGTGAAGTGGATCAGTTTGGACTTATCGAGGTCAAAAGTGATTCCTTCCGTTGCGCCCTATCCTAAGGTTTCTTTTTATTCCTTGGTTAGGATGTTATAGTTGTTCTCTAGTGATGTTGAGCTTGCTAAGATAGCGATGTTATTGGCGTAGCCGAAACGAGATCGCTTCCTTCTTAGGCGAGCTATGCCTAGCTTGAAAAGAGGTTCAATATAGAGCATGAATAGAATGGGAGACACGGGTGAGCCTTGTGGTAGTCCGTATTCGAGACCGAAGACGTCTCTTACCTCCCTATCAAGCCTTATTCTTGCTCTCCTTCCGGTAATAAAACTTGAGACCTAGCGTACGAGGTTCTCTGGCTATCCTTGTTCGCAGAGGCGTCGGACCAGTCGTCCTGGGAGCATGGCGTCGAAAGCCCCTTTTATATCGAGCGTAAGTATAGAGGTAACCAGGCCTCTTTGCCAGGCGTACTCGATGTCGTGGATGGCCGCTGCGATGAGGTCGCTGCAAGAGCGAAGAGGGAGTGCTCTAAACTGTTGATCGTGCAGAACACGATGTTTAACTGCGATCTAGGTAAGTCGTCTGGCGATGAGTCTCTCTAAGCCTTTTCCGAGGACGGCCAAGAGCGTAATTGGCCTATAGGAGCGCGGGAGTGTCTTGTCTCTTTTTCCCGGTTTTGCTAGGATCACGAGAGTTGCTTCTTTAAAACAAGTAGGATGCTAACCCTTGCGTATATACCCGCTATAAAGTGAGAGGATAATATCCTCGATAACTGGCCATGCTATTTTCAAAGCAGTCGTAGTGATTCCGTCGGTCCCAGGAGTCGTGTTTCCCGCGGTGAGAACCGAAGACCGTACCTCGTCCTTCGTAACCTGCGGGAAAGGAAGCGTAGCTTGCCTTTGTAGGACTGGGCTTTCTGTTGGTATGTCCTCGGAGATTGCAGCGTTTCTAAGGAGGACGCGGGTAAATAAGTCGCGCTTCTCTTTTGGTTGTGAGACAAGCGTGTCTTGGTTATCTACATCTCGGAGTGGCGGGGTCTGAAAGGATCCTGTGGCTTTGTGCTAACCGACCATTTTAAATATGTCTTTGCTTGAGGAGGCTGAGGAGATCTTATCTTTCCAAAAGGTATCCTTGGAGCGTTTAAATTTGTAGAGGAAGTCCTGTTTTAGAGCTTCGACCTCCTCTTCTTCCTATTAGCAGTTCACTCCGGCTGTGCGGAGTCTTGCTAACATCGCTCGCTTACTCGCATAGGCTCGGTGTTTACGTGTGCAGCTCTCGCTCCAGTATGGTCTCCCTGTACCTTTCCCGAGCGTGCGCTTTGTGGAAGCCGTGAGTGCTTTAATAAGACAGTCCGTAAGCTGTTGTGCTAGGAGATCTAAAGACTGTGGGTCTTGGATGTTGCTTGTAGTGCGGCGTATGGGTTGTAAGTTGCGTTTAATGATGCCGAGGAAAAGCTCCTCGTCCATCGTGTCGAGCCGAAACCTTCCCGGGGTCTGGCTGGGTGAATCGATCAGGGCCAAGGGGACCCGGGTAAGCAGAGATTCGTGGTCTGATGTCGTGTGTAGTGACGTTTCTATGCTGGTGGAAGCCCCATGGAGGTTGCTGGACGCCCAGCATAAATCTAGGGTGTTGCCGCCTTTGTGCGTGGGTTCACCTATAGGTGACATTAGGACAAGGCTAGCGGCTTCTGCCCATTCTACTAGGTTTTCAGCGTCCGGGGAACTCGTAGCCTCGGGCTACCACGTCCAATGGTGTAAGTTAAAATCCCCCGCAATCAGTACTCGATCCTCAGGTTTGGGTTGCCAGGCCGCTAGGATGTTCCTGAGAGCCTGGCCAGATCGCAGAGAGCCACGAGGGCCGTTATATACGTTGATAACTATAAGGACCTCCTTCGTTCCTAAGAGGAGTCGTAAGAAGAGCAGGTCTATAGATAGATCGGGTAGAGGCCGTATTTATACGCCTCGTACTCCAGTTCCTCTGCGGAGGTAGGTAAGTACCCTGGGACGGTCTTCGGTCCAGTTATCTACTGGGGTGAAAGTCTCAAAACCTGGGTGGTGTCTTGTGAGCCTCCTCTCTTCCGAACGGATAGACGGCTCTTATATTAGGAATATATCGATCTGGGCTACGTAAGCCAGGTTCAGTGCTATTTCGTAGGCGGATGCCCGCCTACCTACATTCGCTTGCATGATTTGCAGGGTTTTAGAGGGCTATATTCTTCTTTTATATCTTATTCGCCAGGGTATAGTCTATCGCTTATTCTTCTTCACGGGAATATCGATGCGACTGCTGGGTCGTATTTCTCCATAATCTTTCTCCCTCAGCTCGGATGGCCCGTAGCTGAGCCTTATCCCTCCTCTGGACTACCCCCTTCACCACTTTAGGTTGGATAGGGCAAGTCGCATCGAAGGCGGCGTAAGGCCCGTTACACGACGGGCATTTAAAGGGGCAGTCGCAGCCATCGTGACCCTCAGTGCCGCCGCAGGGTGCCCGGTGTTGATCAGTTGTGTGGGAAGGAGAGCTGCACTTGAGGCATCTCTTCCTTCTGGTGCACGTTCGTTCGCTGTAAAAACCGCCGCAGCGGAGACATTAAGGAGACCTCTTCTCCTTCGGGAACTACAGGTTTACAAAAACGCTAGCCCCCATCAAACGGAGGCGTCTTAATAGTTACCTTACGGCTTCCGCCTTAAACCAGGCTATCACCGTGCCTAGCCTTTCGACTTCGTCCTTCCTAGAGAAGTGTGCTTTTTCAGGCTTAAGTTTCGTCGAGACCTGGATCTCTTCAAGGAGCTCCTCGGTCGTAATTTCCAGCTCAGTATTGGTTACCAGACAATACCTAGTGTAAGGGACGTTTGCGATATAGGCTCGGATCCAGGTATCGCGTTGCTCGATCGCTTACGCTTGGAGAAGGGCAGCGATCTGTTCTCTATTCTCTAGCAGGACTTTTATACCATCCATTAACGAAGGTAGGAGTGCTAATCCTATCTTGACATGGTCGATCCCCTTAAGGGCTTCTCGGGCTTGGGGACTTAGCCTTTCCCGAACGAAGATGTATATGTCGTAGGCTTTCTCGTTCCGAAGCGGGCTTTCAGGCGATAGACGCGCGAAGACGCATAGATCCTTTAAGGCCGCCCGGTTTATAGCTTGTTTTGCGCCTTGTTTGGCTGGCGTTGGTTCATCCTGTCTTCTGGACAGTGGCTGGCTCGCCGCCGCCGCGTATAAACGGACTAGGGGCGGCTAGTTCTGGGTTGTATGCAAGGGATGCCCCTGGGAACTCAGGTCAGTCTCGCTAGGCCCTGTGCCAATAGCGTGCATAGACCTTACTAAACCACGTTAATGCCGGTTTGAACGCTGTTTCTCCTCCTAAAGTTCTCTCTCCAAGGATTCGATCTTCGTCAAACAGTCTTTCAAAAACTATTCCCTCTCGGCGTCCCGACGTAGGAGGTCCTGGACAAGATTCGAAAGCTTATTAATCTCGTCTTTAAGCTCAGAGTTGTCCTGGTGGTTAACCTACTTAACCATTCTGACCTTTGCAGTCGGCTTCCGGACTCGTCCCGACCGCCGAGATATACCGGCGTCCCCGTAAACCGTGATCGATGGCCCTACATCTAGGGAGACCGTCATGGTCGTGGAATTCAGCTCGTATGGGCTGATGTTGAGAGATGATAGTGCAGTGGGCCGTAGCCCTCTATAACCTTAACAATTACTAACAGTGGGTACCTTTCGAGGTATGTGTTCAGAAGTTGTGCATTGGGCACGTGAACGTAAAATGTCACCTACGGAACTGAAGAACTATGGACCAAGTCACGTGAAGATAAGATAAGACGATGAGCGATCATGGTGGGTCCATGAGCGCTCATGCCAAGTAATAGGTGAAGACGGTAGCCTGTAATATAGTTTAGATTAGTATAGACCATGTCGGCATAGCGCCCGGCACGTCCTTTTGTTACCAGACGTTAAATACATCATCATCATCATCATGCCAAGTAATGAGCGAGGACAATGAGCGCTCACCAGATCAGTGGGACTGATCATTGACAAAGAATGTATTCAGGATCGAGACTTGTATATAGTATGGACTTGAGCCAGGATCAAGGACAGACTTCCCATAGCTTCTTCAGCAATTAACTTCGTATCAGATCTTATGATTGCTTTCAGCTATCTTCCCTGAGAACCTCTTTGACAAAGACTACGATTGATCACCGAAGCCTTACCTACCTTACGACTTACAGATATAGCTTCCCTGAAGCTATTCCCGCCTACGATACTGTTACCAGTTCCGCAGCCTCAACTTCTGCAAACATACCTCACTACGACTAGCTGGCCGTAACATGAGCCTCGTCGGGCGCTACAACATAGACGTCCTTGTTACGGCCAGCTAGTCGTAGTGAGGTATGTTTGCAGAAGTTGAGGCTGCGGAACTGGTAACAGTATCTGTGGCAGGTGCAGGTGGGTCACGTGAGGCAGCTCCTTCACATCTCGGAGCTGCCCCACCTACACCTTGCCCAGATATCCAGCCCAGCCAGCGCTCAGCTTTTCCCATCATCATCATCAGATCCAATACAGTAGTATTGCCTCCACAGTATCGTAGGCGGGAATAGCTTCAGGGAAGCTATATCTGTAAGTCGTAAGGTAGGTAAGGCTTCGGTGATCAATCGTAGTCTTGTCAAAGAGGTTCTTGTTACGAGCAGGTCAAGGCAACCAACTGTGGCACAAAGCAAAAGCTTCGATAATGATGACTCCGCATCATTTTCCCTTGTTCTGCATTATATAGCTACGCCATGACAGGACCAACTGTTTAGGCCGTAACACAGCGGGGACCAGGGACGGCTAGAACAAATATAGTAGTTCACGAGTAAGATTTAGAGGACGATAGGAAGGGTCATGTACAATAGAGTATATAGCTTTATCCTGAGGCCCTCAACGCCGCATACCCCTCGGGAGGTCGGCCGCAAGGGCGGCTGCACCCTTGCCGCCACGGCGTTAAATATAACAACAACAACAACGAGACGCGTTCGTCGACGTGAACGATAAGATCGTTTGCTTAGTCATATTCATGGGTACGTACCCGTGACACGCACCAGTACCAGTGAGCCTATTGGAAGATAATCCCCCAAGGGCACGGACCACATGCAAGATATGTAAAATAAATAAAATAACTGTATAAAGGGGTTTGGCGGGGCTCCACTTGCTGGCCGCCGTACTGTTAAGTAAGCCGCAGGGGAGAATGGGGCTAGGGGGAAAGGTTGTCTGAGGTGTACAGGGTATGTGGCTGGGAGATATAATAGAAGGAGTAGCTACTCTTACCTCCCAAACCTTACCACTGTCATCCACTTCCATTCCCTTTAATCATAAACCTAGTACCGTCCGCTACGCCTCAACCGCCATGCAGAACACACGTTCATCGCCATTGACGGAATCATTTATGGTCTCTGCACCAGGAAAAGTCATCGTCGTGGGTGAACATGGTGCGGTATACGGCCATCCTGCCATTGCTGCAGCGATCTCACTACGATCCTATCTTTCTGTTCAAACCCTCTTCGACTCCGAGCGCTCCGTCACACTGGACCTCAAAGATATTGGCTTGTATCACACTTGGAATATAGACAGTCTGCCTTGGCCGGCCTCCGATCATGCCTCCCCCGAAAATAAACTGTACCAGTGTCACGGTCCCTCTCTCGACAAAGAGCTCCTCGCCTCCATCAAGCCACTCATGGAATCGGTTTCTCTCCATCATCCACCAAATCAGCAAAGGATACACCGCGGATCCGCCACGGCCTTTCTCTATCTTTTCCTCTCTCTGGGTTGCCGGCAAAGCCCTGGATTCGTGTATACTCTCCGGTCCACGATTCCAGTCGGTGCTGGCCTGGGCAGTAGCGCGAGTGTTTGCGTTTGCTTTAGTGTTGCAATGCTCATTCAGGGAAATGCGCTGGGAAGAACCCGTCGCAACCTGGAGAAAGAGTTGGAATGCATCAACAGCTGGGCATATGCAGGAGAGCTCTGTATCCATGGAGATCCGAGCGGAGTTGATAACACGGTCTCGTGTCTGGGGAAAGCTGTGCTCTTCCACAAGATGGCCGACAGGCCTTCCTCTGTCACCCCTCTCGATAACTTCCCAACACTACCCCTTCTCCTCATCGACACCAAACAGCCGCGTACAACAGCCCGACAGGTCGAGAACGTGCGAAAGCTTAAAGATGCAAACCCGGAGGTGATTGGATCAATCTTGGACGCCATCGGCAGCGTTGCAGAGGAGACGCTGGAGTTCCTCCCCTCTGACGCCACCCACTTCAATGACGAAAAGAAGCGTGAGGCTATCGAGAAATTGGGTGGCCTAATTCGCAAAAATCAAAGCCTTTTGATTCGCCTTAATGTCTCCCATCCCTCCCTTGACCGCGTGGAGCACCTCGCAGAGACTGCAAGGATTGGTTGGACAAAGCTCACTGGTGCTGGAGGCGGCGGCTGTGCTATTGTTTTGCTCCGGCTGGACGTCAGCGATAATGATATAAGGGCATTTGAGCGAGACATCAAAAAGGAGGGGTTCGTGAAGTACGAGGTTGTCTTGGGGGCTCCTGGTGTCGCTGTGCGTGGGCGCACGGTCTTTGGAAACGGGACAGAGAAGAAGCAAGATATTGAACAGATAGACGAGAAGAAGTTTGCGAATGCTGTTGATGCTCGGGAAATCGAAGAGCTGGTCGGTCTAGGTAGGCTGGAAACTGGTGGCGGATGGATGTTCTGGGAACAACAGCTGAACTCTACACATGGGATTTAGGAATTCTTCTCTGTATAGGGTTACATTTAGAATTCATAATGGCAAGATTTTGGTCAGCTCAGCTATAAGAAGCAGGCCCTATCTATTGATCTCCACGTCAGTGGTTCACAGCATGAGCCAAATGCTTGATTCTATAGAACTAAACCTCTACTGATACCTTCCTGGGGAGTTTTGCTCAAAAGGAACTAGACGATGATTGGCTAGCAGCTCTTCATCCAAAACAATCACTTGGCTAGAGGTAATTGTTTCAGATTGCTAAACTACTCCTGCGATCCACCTGCCCCCAATCGGATCAAGCGAGGGTGAGTGGGAGGTATGTAATAGCGGCGAAGGCCATGAGAGACATTCTGGGCGGCGAGGAGATCACGATTTGCTACGGGACTGATGAACACTGTATCTGCGAGGCGCATCAGGAGTGGAGGTTATTGTGCATGGGCCATAGCACCCACTTGGGGTGGATGTGACCCGTGCACATCGGACGAGCTGGGGGACCGGAAATTTGTTTGTTTACATAGTATAAGTAGTAGTAGTAGTATTAGTAGTAGTAGTAGTAGTAGTAGTAGTAGTAGTAGTAGTAGTAGTATTAGTAGTAGTAGTAGTAGTAGTAGTAGTAGTAGTAGTAGAGTAGTAGTACTACTAGCGGGCTCCCACGGCACCGGCCGGGTCGGGTTAAGGCTAGGCTAAAGGTTAGGTAAGGGGGGGGATTTAGATTCGGGTTAGGGTAGAAGGAGGAAGGTAGTGAGTAGAGGAGGGGGATCGAGGCAGGTAGAAAAGCCCCCGGGGGCTTTTCTCCAGTCGCTCGAGGATGGAAAGTGAAGAAGCCCCTGGGGGCTTTCTCGAGTTACTCGAGGATGGAAAGTGAAGAAGCCACTGGGGGCTTTCAATTCATATACCCGAGCGCGCACCCAAGGCCCAATCTGGATGTACGGTTAGCCCAGCTCGTAAAGTTTCCTACACAGATCTCCGACGAACTATAGCAGGATTCTCGCCATAGCTCTGATGACCTCAAATAGAGGACGCCTACTAGCTGCAACAGAGTGGCATTAGTGGGAAGAGGAGGAGTAACAATAGTATAGTTGGTAGGTAATCCTAGTGACGGTGGCGGTGGTGTCTCCGTCAGTTACCGGCAGACGGTTCCCAGCAGCCACCTACATCGTCACTCACCGAGGAGGGCAGGGCCTAGCACGACAGCTCTACGCAAAGAGAGGAAATCGGGTTCTATTTCCTCAAAGTAAGGTCGAGAAATAAGAACAAATAGTGTAAAGAACACTAGGCGGAATGGCCGTCCATACTAGTAACGGAATCAAGGGATACTGGAATGTGCTGGTGACTCAAGGGACAAGCAGCAAGGACAAGGTCGGAAACAGAAAACGCAGATCGCCGGTGACGAGGGGGTTTGGCTAGCCGCGCCGTCCCCTCTCGGGCCGGGGCCAATTAACCAAGGCATCGCCGCTGTCTATGTCGTGGATAGTACCTTTTGTTTTATGCATTGACGGCTACGTTTAGAAGCCGAGGCTCGCAACTGCGGCGACTACAGCACCGGCTCGGAGTGCTTCCACCCATGCCGTGTCGGGGAGGTAATATCCTAACCTGGTGCTTCAGTAAACGGGGCCATGCGGTATGGCGAGGGCATATATGATGTCGTAGCATTGACTACAGACATCGCCGGAACCGGCAGGTATGGAACAGAAGTACAAGGGTCCTTCAGCATAAAAAGACCTCCATTGCCGCAAAATAGGGCTTGGGGCCCCGGGGTAGCCTTCGGAGATCCGAGAGATAGTAGGTAATCAGGCACCTTCGTAAAATATCGCGCAAGATAACAGGAGAGGAAGCGGCTCCCCTAACGCCGTATACTAAACAGGAGCGGGCTGGGGCCGCAGCTTTAAATAGCCAATCTACGGGACTCGTTGCCCAGCCTCCGCATTCGACAGTGAGGCCAGACCTATGTCTTGCTTCTTTGGGGAAAGGTCGTGCTGTACTAGGTACGTAGGGGAAGTCCTTGAGGAAGAATGAAAGAAAGCTTAGGGGTACGTACTGGGGACACTCGTAGGCCGTGTTATTATCTAAGCAGGGCTACTTATGTAACCAGAATCGGCCTGTTATCACGAACGTAGCCCAGCACCACGACCAACGCCGTGATAATCGACTAGATACAAGCAATACTTAGCAAAAGATGGCATGACCTGACGCCCACGCCTCTACCTCTCTGATCTCCTGACTACTGAGAGTGTGCGGACTGGTACGAAGATGCACCTTGACTTGTTTCCGTGTAACCGCGGTCTGGCACGTACGGCAGCAGAGAAGCTGGAGTTCTGGTTCATAAATAAAGTATTCCATTGTAAACATATTCAAAAAACTAGTATCGTACTTGAATATTCTAAGCTAGCCATCTATTAAGTAATCGCAGTACTTTCTTAAATCCTCTCTATTCTACGGTAATAGATCAAGTTACATGTTGTTAAATGTGTTAAGATATGTTGCTACGGTGACTGTTGAACTTTGTAAGTCAAGAATGTAACCTGGTTGGCTGTAGCGAGCTGGTCCGTGCTCATATGCCCTGTCGTTCAACCACCATCAAAAAACTAACCGAAAGGCAAGATAGCTTCAAAGCGACCATACTTATAAGTAGATGTATTGTAGTTGGCATTAATCGACTCGTAGTCGATCCTTTAACAAGCTTACCCATTTTTAACTCGCTGCGACAAGTGTAGCGCCTAGTACGCTAATCGTCGGTAGACGTTAATTCCAATCGTCGCTAGACCCATGTCCTGCTAGCGCCGAATTTTTTCTCATACAAAATTAATCGTCGGCTGCCAACCGACGCAAGAAATTACTGTCAGGATTTCAACCATCACCTAGTAGGTGTTTGAAGTTGCCAGTATGTTAGGATAATAACAACAACAGTATTATCCCCTCCGTCACCCATGTTACCGTATACGGTATATCGAATCCCCTGTGATTCCAACAGGAACAGCAAACTGCAGCTCGTCGAAAATATCAGGCAGCTACGACAACCCTAACTAGGGTACCTAAGGATTTCGCTGGATGGATCACTTCCTGGGAAATGGCTACGAATCATGCGCTCGTCAGAAAGACTGGCGGAGTGGAGGACCCCAATACTTGGTTCGACGACTTAACCAAGGCTATCCAACCAATTTTGGGAAGTTGGGTCACCATATACGCAGGAATCTACAAAGACAAACTTGAGGAGAAGTCGTTAACGATCGGAGAGGTCGCGAAGGACCTCAGAAAGGAAGCTGAACGTCGCGATCTCCTTGGCTTCCAAGAGAAAGGCTCCCAGGTCACCAGAGGCGTATTTGGTCCGGTATTCGCCGCAGTGCCAGAAACGACAGCCCAGCCAGATGCTGTACCAGACAATGAAGGGAGCAGCACGCACACTCAAGACCATTCCAACAGCCGAAAACGAAAACGAACAGCCACCACAGGAAGCACCGGCGTAGTGTGTAAAGCCTGTGACGGCATTCACGCACTGGAAAAGTGTTATTACGTTTTTCCAAAGAATGCACCAGAATACTTCAAGGGCAGGAAGCTGATCCGTGACGCGGTTGAGCATCGGCTCAAGAACGACGCGTTCTTGAAGGAAGAAATCAACCGCATCAAGAAAGTCAAGCAACTTGAAGGTGTCGATTGACTTGAAAGAAGTATTGGAGAATGTGCAACGAGCTTCGTCATCTCGTCATTTAGTTCAGCGCTCTCCAGTACGCACTATCCATTAAAGAACTCAGCTCTTCTCGACTCAGGGTCAACCATCCACATCTTCAACAACGTCAAGCGGTTTGATAACTTCAAAAAGGGGGAACCTGGAGATTTCGTTCTAGCTGGAGAACACAAAATACCGATCCAAGGATACGGGAATGTGAATATCCAGACCAAGGGACCAAGAGGACCGAGGATAATCCAACTCCATGACGTCGCATTCTGTGGGAACTTTCCTTGCAATCTAGTATCACTTCGGCAATTGCGAAAACGCGGATACTGGTGGGACAACCGTCTTCATTCCAACTACCTACGCTCAAGCGATAACTCCATTGTTTGCAAGCTTGTGGACCGACATGGCCAGTTCGTCATCGAAGATCTACCCCTCAACGCCACGAATAGTGCATTTGTCACCCGTAGACATGATTACAACTCCTGGACAGAAAGACGCCCAGTGAAAGCGGATGCAGGAAGATGGCATCTTCGCCTCGGACACCCAGGACCACAAGCTCTGGAACACCTTGTCAACACCTCAAAAGGAGTACGGATAAAAGGACTGACCACCGTTGAGTGTGATGGATGCGCACTATCCAAGATTAAACGTCAAGTACACCGCCAACCACGGAACGTCGGCCAAGGGCCCGGTGAACGATTAGCGATCGACTTTCATGACCTCCCTAGAGATTCGACGGGGAGAAATAGCGTGATGCTCATAACAGATCGCTGGTCCGGAATGATTTGGGACTATTATCTCGCGGAAAGAAGAATGGGAACAATCAGCATGGTGTTAGGAAACCTAATCGGTATTCTTGAACGGCAATACCGAGGGCCATCGAATCCGACAACGAGATCTTGAGAGACGGAGGAGTCGTTTCCTCACTACTTCACTCACGACACATCAAGGTCGAACCATCAGCACCCAACACCCAGGCTCAGAACGGAGGAGCTGAGATGTCGGGCAGAATCATCAAGGCGAAAGCGAGAGCCATGCGGATGGGTGCTCGACTACCAGAGCATCTATGGGTCGAGATTTATCGCACGGCCGTATACCTGTACAACCGAACCCCAAAGTACATCTACAGCTGGCGAACACCGTACGACCGGTTCCATACGGCCCTTGCACACAGAGACGGGATTGTGGTCCAAGACCGTAAACCGAACCAAGCACACCTGCGGGTCTACGGATGCAAGGCGTACGCGATGACCTCGGATGCTCAATTGCAGCTGAAGAAAATGCAAAAGCTGAACCCTAGGGCGTGGATTGGATTTCTTGTCGGATACCAATCAACGAACATATATCGAATCTGGAACCCACAGACTGGAAGAGTCATCGCAACACGAGACGTCATCTTCAACGAAGATGAACTATTCAATGGAAACCTTAATCAACTAAGAGATGACC